TTGTCAAACTACAGCCGCCATGACTCCATAGCATTGAACCAAGGAAGTTAAAATGAATTCATTCTACAGCATCAGTGCACCCAGGGTTTTCTTTTCCATTGCTGGATGCTTTGGTGCTCTCACACTTCATTTGTTAAAGAAGGAACTCTAAGCAGGCAGCAACAGTTGTGGGCATATTACCAATTTTCTGGTTGTGTGATTGATATTGTTGTAAGCCACCCAGAGTCCCTTTGGGGAGAGAGAGAGCAGAATATAAATAAAGCTTTATCATCATCATCATCAGCATCAGCATCATCATTATATACTGTATTCCATTCTAAGATGCAATTTCCCCCCCTTCCCAAAAATGAAATGCAGGTGTTATTTTATGGCATCTTCTTGGTGATTTTGGTAGTAATGATAATCATAAGAATCATAGAATCAAAGAGTTGGAAGAGACCTCATGGGCTATCCAGTCCAACCCCCTGCCAAGAAGCAGGAATATTGCATTCAAAGTACCCCTGACAGATGGCCATCCAGCCTCTGTTTAAAAGCTTCCAAAGAAGGCCTCCACCACACTCTGGGGCAGAGAGTTCCACTGCTGAACGGCTCTCACAGTCAGGAAGTTCTTCCCAATGTTCAGATGGAATCTCCTTTTTGTAGTTGAAGCCATTGTTCCGCGTCCTAGTCTCCAAGGAAGCAGAAAACAAGCTTGCTCCCTCCTTGCTGTGGCTTCCTCTCACATATTTATACATGGCTATCATATCTCCTCTCAGCCTTCTCTTCTTCAGGCTAAACATGCCCAGCTCCTTAAGCCGCTCCTCATAGGGCTTGTTCTCCAGACCCTTGATCATTTTGTTGCCCTCCTCTGGACACATTCTAGCTTGTCAATATCTCTCTTGAATTGTGGTGCCCAGAATTGGACACAATATTCCAGGTGTGGTCTAACCAAAGCAGAATAGAGGGGTAGCATGACTTCCCTAGATCTAGACCCTATGCTCCTATTGATGCAGGCCAAAATCCCATTGGCTTTTTTTGCCGCCACATCACATTGTTGGCTCATGTTTAACTTGTTGTCCACGAGGACTCCAAGATCTTTTTCACACGTACTGCTCTCGAGCCAGGCACTGTCCCCCATTCTTTGCATTTCATTTTTCCTGCCAAAGTGGAGTATCTTGCATTTGTCACTGTTGAACTTCATTTTGTTAGTTTTGGCCCATCTCTCTAATCTGTCAAGATCGTTTTGAATTCTGCTCCTGTCCTTGATTTATATTCTGCCCTGTTTCCCCAAGGGGACTCAAGGAGTATTCCAACAAACAGAAAGGCAAACATTCAATGCCTTGATAAAGCAATAAATACAAAATAATAATGCAAAATAACCCAAACATATAAGAGCACACGATAACATGACAACTAAAATTAAATAATAATATAAGCGGGTTTTCTAGGTTGTATGGCCATGTTCCAGAAGCATTCTCTCCTGGCGTTTCACTCATAGGATGCCTGCAATAGATGCAGGCAAAATGTCAGGAAAGAATGCTTCTGGAACATGACCAGACAGCCTGGAAAACTCACAGCAACCCAGTGATTCTGGCCATGAAAGCCTTCGACAACACAATAACATAACCTATCAAGTAAATTATATCTAACATAGAACATAACACATGAAACATCAAAATCAGCAGAAATTTACAGGCGCCACCAAAGGTTTTATATTAAATACTAGCCATCCCCTGCCACGCGTTGCTGTGGCCCAGTCTGGTGATCTTAAAAATAAAGTAATGAGAAAGTGTTGGTTTCTAATATATGTAATTCCTTTATGCTTGTGGGTAAACAGTATTTCTTGTTGTTTCTTTGTCAGTGTTGATGTGAAGAGTGTCTGGTTTGCCTACTCTGGAACAGGCAACATCAGTGTCCTTCTTTAGGGGTTCCTTTCAAATCTATATCTCTCTGTGTGTGTGTGAATCATATTATCTATCTATATCTATGACGGGATGGCTCTTTGTCAGGAGGTTTTCTTGCTCTGGTGAAGGGAGTTGGACTGGATGGCCTTAAGGCCGCATTTCTCAACCTGGGGTTTGGGACCCCTGGGTGGGGGTTGTGAGGGGGTGTCAGAAGGGTCACCAAAGACCACCAGAAAACACAGTATTTTCTGTTGGTCATGGGGGCTCCGTGTGGGAAGTTTGGTCCAATTCTATCGTTGGTGGGGTTCAGAATGCTCTTTGATTGTAGGTGAACTATAAATCCCAGTAACTTCAACTCACAAATGTCGAGGTCTATTTTGCCCAAACTCCATCTGTGTTCACATTTGGGCATATGGAGTTTTCGTGCCAAGTTTGGTCCAGATCCATCATTGTTTGAGTCCAGAGTGCTCTCTGGATGTAGGTGAACTACAACTCCCAAACTCAAGGTCAATGTCCACCAAACCCTTCCAGAATTTTCTGTTGGTTGTGGGAGTCCTATGTGTCAAATTAGGTTCAATTCCATCCTTGGTGGGGTTCAGAACGCTCTTTGATTGTAGGTGAACTGTAAATCCCAGCAACTACAAATCCCAAATGACAAAATCCATATTTTTTGAGTGATGGGCACTCCTTGAATACACCCGTAGGTGTATTCTGTTAAAATTTGGTGGCAATTCGTCCAGTGGTTTGTGAGTTATGTTAATCCCACAAACGAACATTACATTTTTATTTACATAGATAGGTATAATTTATATTCTGCTTTATCTCTCCAAGGGGACTCAGAGCAGATTACAGAATACATTCAAGGAAAACATTCAGGGCCATTATAGAATTAACAACAAAGACAGACAATACACAGACAGAGGCAAAGACTTCCCCCTTTTCATCTCTGACATCTGGAGGCTGTGTTCGACTCTGGTCATGGGGAGGTGCTCTTCTTCCATTTTCCATACCAAGGAGCCTGTTGTCTGTGGACACCTTCCTGATCATATTGCCGGCATGTCTGCATGGGTGACTTTAACCTTCCTGCCAAAGTGGTACCTATTGTTCTACTCACATTTGTTTTCAAGCTGATAGTTTGGCAGATAATAATAATAATAATAATAATAATAATAATAATAATAATGGTTGTTAAGATCTTCTAGAGGGGGCCTGCTCTCGGTCCCACCTCCTTCGCAATCGCGTTTGGTGGGAACAAGGGACAGGGCCTTCTCGGTGGTGGCCCCTCTGCTCTGGAACTCCCTCCCGATGGAGATTAGATCTGCCTCTTCCCTCCTGACTTTGAGAAAGCTGGTAAAATCATGGCTTTAGGATACTGCATTTGCAGAATGATGATTGAGTCAATAACTGCTGACCTTACTGGCGGATGGCGATGAATTTGTGATTTCACTCTGACTTTTTGTAATTTGTATGAATTGTATTTTAATGTATTTTATATTGATGGTGTATATTGTTTTATCTCATTGTATTGAATCCTCTGTTGTTAGCTGGCCTGAGTCCCTCTCTGGAGGTCAAAAAGACCGGGTTATAAAAACTCTAAATAAATAAATAAATAATCTTTATTTATACCCCGCCACCATCTCCCTAGTGGGGACTCAGAGTGGCTTACATGGGGCCAAGCCCGGACAACATATTACAGCAGAATAAAACCAAAAACATAAACAACAAACAACATCATCAAAATTACATAGGAAAAAAACCATTCCAATAAACACAGTCACGATAACAGTGGGCGGGCAGAAGCTAAAACTAAGAGCAGGAGCTCACCCCAACCGGCTTTGAACTGTCGACCTTCTGGTCAGCAACATTTTCTGCATCTGGCGGTTTAACCCACTGTGCTACCTTGTCTCCATTAAAATATATAAGTTGATTATGAGGCCAGTGACATTAACTGGGCTAACAGGGTCTATAAAGCCCGAGAACAATAGTTGTTTCCAATCAGAAATGTAGTAGCAATATATCAGCATCATCTAGTACTAAAATGAGGGTAAGCCTTACAGGAGATTCCATCTGAACACGAGGAAGAACTTACTGACTGTGAGAGCCATTCAGCAGTGGAACTCTCTGCCCCGGAGTGTGGTGGAAGCTCCTTCTTTGGAAGCTTTTAAACAGAGGCTGGATGGCCATCTGTCAGGGGTGCTTTGAATGCAATATTCCTGCTTCTTGGCAGGGGGTTGGACTGGATGGCCCATGAGGTCTCTTCCAACTCTAGGATTCTATGAGTCGTTGGTGTCTTCCAGTGGAAGAAACAGGGTCCCTGTCCATCTATATTGCAGAGCGAAGGCATTTGGATTCCACTTTCACCCAGTTCAGTGCAATCCTGGGAGCTGTTGTTTTCCAAGTTCTGCCACATCGTGCCAATTGCAGCTCCCATGATTTCAGAGTATTAACAAGTGAAAACCAGGATTGTGGCGCAGCTGGATGAGTGTCAGCTGCATTAAGATCATGCTGACCAAAAAAAGGTCATGAGTTCGAAGCCAGCCCGGGTTGGAGTGGGTTTCCAACCAATTGTGTGTAGCCTGTTGTCGACCTTTGCAACCCGAAAGACAGTTGCATCTGTCAAGTAGGAAAATAAGGTACCACCTTAAAGCGTGGGGAGGCTAAATTAACTAATTTATGAGGCCATAAAAAAGACTCCAGCAAAAGCATGCGGGGAATGCGGACGTACTTCATCATGTCGCAGATGGACGATGAAAGCGACAGCTCCCCTGGTGGCCAGAAAAAGTTAAATAGCCTCCGTCTGTGTCTGTATATGTTGTATGTCAAATTGGCATTGAATATTTGCCATATATGTAAACAGTGTAATCCGCCCTGAGTGCCCTGCGGGGTGAGAAGGACGGAATATAAAAGCTGTAAATAAATAACATAATAAAATAAATAAAATGGTGTCAAACTGCATTAATCCTACAGTGCAGATGCAGCCCTGGAACCCTGGTCAGGAAATTTGAGGGACGGGGATGGCCTCCTCCTCTTCCTCCTCCTCTTCCATGTCTCCAGGTGAGAGGCATCTGTCAGCAAGACTTGCCTGACTTCTTCTGTGTGTCTCATTTCCTTGCGCAGTGTCTCCGGCTGCAGAGAGGCTCCGCTACATCCTTGGAGAAGATGACGAGCCACCGAACCCCACACTCTTCACAGAGATGGACACTTTACAACACGACGGCGAGGAGATGGAGTGGAAGGAGTCCGCCAGGTACAAGAGCCCCTCTCCACAAATGCAGGTCCCTAGCTGCCTTGGTCCCTAGCTCGTTTGAAAAAGTTTCACCCAGGCATGGGAAAACTTGGGAACCACTGACACAGTGGAAAGAAACACCAAATTTCCTCTGGTTTGGCAGGGGAGGGGGGGCAAAATAGTTATTTATTTATCTATTTATTTACATTTATATATTCCACCCTTCTCACCCCGCAGGGGACTCAGGGCGGATTACAGTGTACACATATATGGTAAACATTCAATACCAATTTTAACATACAACATATACAGACATACACAGAGGCTATTTAACTTTTTCTGGCCGCCAGGGGAGCTGTCGCTTTCATCGTCCATCTTCGACACTGATGAAGTACTTCTGCATTCCCCGCATGCTTTCTGCTGGAGTGCTTTGCTGGAGTCTTTTTTTATGGCCTCATAATTAGTTAATTTAGCCTCCCCACACTCTAAGGTGGTACCTAGTTTTCCTACTTGACAGATGCAACTGTCTTTCAGGTTGCAAAGGTCGACAACAGGCTACACAATTGGAAACACAGTTGGAAACCCACTCCAACCCAGGCTGGCTTCAAATTCATGACCTTTTTTTGGTCAGAGTGATCTTAATGCAGCTGACACTCAGCCAGCTGCGCCACAATCCCGGTGCAAAAATACTGTTTGCTTACACTTGAAAATTATCTAGGGCTGGCCCTGCATGGGCCAAATTGGGCCCTCCCTCTGGGTGTTTTAGGCTCCAACTCCCACCATTCCTCACAGCCTCGGGTCCCTTCCTTTTCCCCCTCAGCCACTTAAGTGGAAAAGGAGAAGAAAAGGCTGTAAGGAATTGTGGGAGTTGCAGCCCAAAACACATGGAGGGCCGAAGTTTGCCCATGCCTGTTAGCCCAACGTTAGCAGAGTCAAAACACAATCGGAATTCAATTGAGGTATCAACAGTTTGCTCATGAAAGCTTGTGCAAAACAACATACAGGTACTGCAACTTAGTTGCAGTATTTCAAAGCTATGACCCAAAAGAGTGAATCAAAGAAATGGGCACGGAGCACGGCCTGCTTCTTGGGCCTATGTGCAACCGGTACCCATCAAATGCCAATTTGAAATTCTTAATTTGCAGTGGAGCCAACAGAGCTGCATATGTTTTGTTTACTTCTCTGTTGGTTTGGCACTTGCGTCCCAGCAAAGGGGTTCCTTTTCTCCAACCGCTAAGAGCAGGCCTTACGGAGCCAGAGAAGAGAATGCTTTCGGATCTCCTCCACTGATCGAATGAGGAGCTTACCGGAGGGACCTGTTCTTTTCTTTGAAGAGCAAATGAAATCCAGCTGGAATGTCCTTTTCCTTCCTGGCTCCTTGAGCATTTGCCCATTATTTTGCATTATTATTAGTATTAGCGGCATTAATATGGGATCCGCCTTCAGAGCCCGGCTGAGCCTCTTGGTCAGTCAGGAAGAACAAAGGCCCCGTTTTTGCTGTTTGCAAATCAGATCAATGTGGTGAGGTCAGGCGGCTCATAATATGGATTCTTTCCCTTTCGTGATTATTGCAGATCACTTGCCCGGAGCGTCCAAATGAGGAGCCACAAAATGACCTTGGCTGCATCCGCACTGCAAAACGGATGTAGATTAGCCCCACTTTAACTGCCGCGGCTCAATGCTGTGGGATGATGGGATTTGTAGTCTGACAAGGAGGAGGAATACAGACTGGCCCAAATTTAACTTCTGTGGCTCAGTGCTGTGGAATGATGGAATTCTGTAGTTTGACAAGAGGGATGAATGGCAATTGGCTGCATTTTAACTGTTCGATGCTTTGGGATGATGGGGTTTGTAGTGTGACAAGGAGGTGAATGCAAACTGACCCCACTTTGACTGCTGTGGCTCAATGATTTGGGATGATGACCAAGGGGTTTAATAGTAGGTGGCCTGGGAGTTGTAGTTTAGCAACATTTGGAGATAAATGCAGATTGGCTGCACTTTAACTGCTGTGACTCAATGCTGAGGAAGGATGGGATATGTACAGGGGGCATCTACACTGTAGAACAAATGCTGGGCATTGTAGTCTGAGAAATGCTGGCCATTTTTAGTCAGTCAAATGCAGGGAATTGTAGTCCCACAGTGTTATTAGTGCCCAACCAGCAGAGTCAAGACTTAGGAGATACTTGAAATCACAGTCCTGCAATGTTGTTAGTCTCCAATAAGCATATCAATGGTGAGGGATGCTGGGAGTTGTAGTCCTGCAATGTTGTTGGTGTCGAATCAGCAAAGCCAAAGCTGAGAATCATAGCCTCACCATATTTTTGGTGTCCAATCAGCAGAGCCAACTGTGAGAGATGCTGGGAGTTGTAGTCCTGCAATGTTGTTTGTGTCGAATTAGCAAAGTCAAAGCTTAGAATCATAGCCTCACCATATTTTTGGTGTCCAATCAGCAGAGCCAAGTGTGAGGGGATGATGGGAATTGTAGTCCTACAAAGCTGTTGGCATCCAATCAGCAGAGCCAAGGCTGGGAGGATGCTGGGAATTGTAGTCCATCATCCCGACAGATAGTCATCCAGCCTCTGTTTAAAAGCTTCCAAAGATGGAGCTTCCACTGGACACTGAGGCAGAGAGTTCCACTGCTGAACAGTTCTTCTTGCAGTCAGGAAGTTCTTCCTAAGGTTCAGGTACCCCTCTGCTACCCATGCTCTATTCTGCCTTGGTCAGACTGCATTACCTAGAATCACACTGTGTACAGTTCTGGGCCCTGCAATTGAAGGGAAATGTTGACTCTAAACTGTGTTCAGAGGAAGACGGCGATTCAAATGATCCAGGGTCTGGAGAACAAGCCCTGTGAGGAGCAACTGAAAGAGTTGGGCATGTTTAGCCTGCAGAAGAGAAGCCTGAGCGGGAGACGTGATGAGGACCAGGGATCAAGTGGTGAAGGGAAGTCATAGGGAGGATTGAGCAAGCTTGTGTTCTGCTACCCTGGAGACTAGGACACAGGGGAACAATGGCTTCAAACAACAGGAAAGGAGAACCCACCTGAACATGCTTTGAATGCGATTTTCCTGCTTCTTGGCAGGAAGGGGTTGGATTGGATGGCCCACCAGGTCTCTTCCAACTCTAGGATTCTATGATTCTAGGTGGAATCTCCTTCTTTCCTGTCATTTGAACCCAATGGCTCCATTGAGTCCTAGTTTCCAGGGCAGCAGAAAACAAAGTCTGCTCCCTCTTCCTTATGGGACCCTTTCCCATAATTATCCATGGCTCCTCTCATGCCTGTTCGCCACCTTCTCTTCTTTAAGACTCCTCAGAGGGACTATTAATAGTCTCCAGACCTTTGGTCATTTCAGTCTCCTTCTTCTTCTGGACTCCTTCCCGCTTAGAGTCAATCTCACTTTTAAATTGCTTTGCCCAGAATTGGACACAATGTGATTCCAGGTGAAGAGATCTATGCTTCTTGCCTTCCTTCATTCCTTCCTACCTACCTTCCATCCATCATCCTTCCTTCCATTCTCTCTCCCTCCCTCCTCCTATGTTTCAGGTGGATCAAGTTTGAGGAGAAGGTGGAAGAAGGCGGGGAACGCTGGAGCAAGCCGCACGTCTCCACCTTGTCCCTGCACAGCCTCTTTGAGCTCCGCACCTGCCTCCAGACTGGCACTGTCCTCCTCGACCTCGATGGCTACTCCTTGCCACAGATCATTGGTATTTATTCCTTACTATTATTACCATTGTTATTACTATTACTATTATTATTATTACTATAAATGGTTCTGGCCCAACTTACCTGTCCGAACGTATCTCCTCCTATGAACCAGCTAGGGTGTTAAGATTGGCTGGGGAGGCCCTGCTCTCGGTCCCGCCTGCGTCACAAGTACGTTTGGCGGTGTCGCATCTCAGGGTAGATTCACCTTGCTCAAGACACCACCACGCACCAAGGCTGTAGGTTTTGTAGTTTATTGAAGAAAAAGCAAAATCAAAAACATAGAAGTAAAGTTGCAAAAGTTAAGTAGACAAAACAGAGTCTTAAATGCAAAGGCAAAGGTCCCAAGATCCAGAGGAAAATAACATGAAGTATATTCCTTTAGCACTGGTTAAACAAGAATCCATGGCAGCATGACAAAGTGCAAAACCAAAGTCCCAAAGAGCTAGAAACTTTCTCCAAAAGCCGAGGTAATTTCAGAGAAGTTAACAGGGTATAAGCAACATTGCACTGACAACGGGCAGACTTCAATCAGATCGTTAAATATGTTTCCCCAACATGAAAGCATTACGATGACCTCAAATTTCAAGTTTGTTGGCAAGCGTGCACTTTGGCGAACCCTTAATTGCAAACGGTCCTCCCTAATCAAATCTTCATCTTCAAGGCCGGATCCCTCATTATCCAGAGACTGGTCTCCCTGGGAACTGAGAGGCCCTGAACTCCCAGAGGGGGCCGACTCCAGCTCATCCACCTGCAGCTGTGAAGTTTCACTATCTTTATCTAAAACAACATTCCTTTCCCTGGGGAACAGAAATGCCCTCTCTTCTTCAGAATCAACAATGTCTGCCTCAATAACAGGAAAAGGTTCAGAAATCTGTAATCCATCATCCTCCTTGTCCTGAGGAAACTCAAGCTCAGAAAGCTCAGGCTCCAAGTGAGCCACAACAGGTGGGGACGAGAGACAGGGCCTTCTCAGTGGTGGCCCCTCGGCTGTGGAATGCCCTTCCTACAGATATTAGATTGGCACCCTCCCCGTTGACATTTTGGAGGAAAGTGAAGACCAGGTTGTTTGAGCAGGCATTTGAATAGGCAGTGTAACGAACATAGGAATACGGAACAATTGGATGATGAGACTGGATTTCGATCTTAACTATGAGATGTGAATGAGATGTTTTATTGATTTATATTGACTGTATGCTGCTGTTTTAATTGTTTTTAACTGTTTTATGTTTTTAAGCTTTGCATTTTGCTATTGTTAACCGCTCTGAGTCGCCCAAGGGCTGAGAAGAGCGGTATACAAATATAGTAAATAAGTAAAATAAATAAATTATTACAACATTTGGGACATCCTGTGCGGCAGGCATGGGCCAATTCTGGCCCTCCGGCTGTTAGCAATTGTGAGAGTTGGAGTCCAAAATACCTGAAGGGCCAACGTTTGTATACCGATGCTTTTATGTTAAGCCACTTTGAGTCTCCTTCAGGAGAGGTAAAGCAGAGTGACCACCAAGCACAGACACTGATCAAGGAACACGAAAGGCACTGCAGACTACTTCAACCAGAGAAGTCTGCCATTGCAGAGCACTTGATGGACCAACCTGGACACAGGATATGATTTGAGAACACAGACATGCTGTACCACTCTCACTACCACCATGTCACTGAAGCCATTGAAGCATGTGGACAAGTTCAACAGAAAGGTTTACCTGTCCAAATGTATTCTCCCCTATGAACCAATAAGACAATTAAGTTCTTCTGGTGGTGCCCTGCTCTCAGTCCCGCCACTTTCACAATTGCGTCTGGCGGGAATGAGAGACAGGGCCTTTTCTGTGATGGCCCCTCGGCTATGGAATTCTCTCCCAATTGAGATCAGATCTGCCCCCATCAGGAGGGAATACCTCTGGAACATGGCCATACAGCGCGAGAATAGAATAAAATAATAATAATAATAATAATAATAATAATAATAATAATAATAATAATAATAATAATAATGGCATTCTATTCATCCCAGACCCGAATGACAGTCCTTGGGTCAACTTCCCTCTATCAATTTCTGCACTTGCATTAAAACCATCAACTTTTTTGTTGACTATCCTTTATGCAAACTGGAAATTAATGTTGGTCTCAATAGATGGAGGATAATAGTAAGTGTTCTTCCTTCCCTGCAGATGACGTGATTGACAAGCAAATAGAGGACGGCTTGCTGAAGCCGGAGCTGAAGGAGAAGATCAGCTACGTTCTGCTGAGGAAACACCGGCACCAGACCAAGAAGCCCATCCACCGCTCTCTGGCCGACATGGGAAAGTCCGTCTCCAACACAAGTGAGAACCAAACAGGCCACTCATGGGGAAGGAGTCGGGGCAGAGGGCCTGCTTTGGGTTACAGTCTGAACTTTAGCTGTGCAGAGCGGAGGCAATGCAGCTTGTCCAAGGCTGCATCATGAGTCCCACGGCTAAGAGTTCAACCCCAATCGCCTGCTATGCTCAAAATATGAGGTGTATCTACACTGCAGGTTTAGCCCAGTTTGATCCCCCTTGAGGGGTTGTAGCTAAGAGTTTGGAAAGGCTTCAGCGATCTTTGGCAGACAAAGTCCAAGGCTTGCTCATTAATAATATTTATTTATTTAATTTGGGTATTTTTGCCCTACCCTTCTCAACCCCCTAGGGGAGGACTCAGGGCAGCTAGTAGTAGTAGTAGTAATAGATACATAGCTGGTTTGAGTCCCCTTTGGGAGAGCTAAAGTGGGGTATAAATAAATATAATAATGAGTTGTAATTTGGTGACACTCATTGCCCTTGCAAAACTGCAACTCCCATGCTTCTCTTATTTTACTAATATGGGGATAATATTATAATTTTACTGATTATAATATTGCTGACATATAAATATCATGGGGATCCTGGGTGCGTCTACACTGCAGAGTTATGCCAGTTCGATCCCACTTGAAGGGCTGAGCAGTGGTTCAATGCAGTGAGTTGTAGTTTGGTGACACTCGTTGGCCGGGAAAGCAAAATGCCTTGCAAAACTACAGCTCCCATGCATCTGTTGCATTGTGCAATTAATTAATGATTAAAGTGGTGTCAAACTGCATTGATCCTGTAGTGTAAATGCAGCCCAGAAAGAGGACTGCAAGAAGGGGAGTACACATCGTCATCATCAGTGTATTATTATTATTATTATTATTACACATTATTATCAATTTGTTATTATTATTATTATTATTATTATTATTATTATTATTATTGGGTTGTTGTAGGTTTTTCCGGGCTGTATGGCCATGGTCTAGAGGTATTCTGTCCTGACGTTTCGCCTGCAGTTTGGCAAGCATCCTCAGAGGTAGTGGGGATGCTTGCCAAAGTGCAGGCGAAACGTCAGGACAGAATGCCTCTAGACCATGGCCATTCAGCCCGGAAAAACCTACAACAACCCAGTGATTCCGGTCATGAAAGCCTTCGACATTATTATTATTATTAGCATGGGAGCTGTAGTTTTAAAATATACAAATATGCAAACATTAAAACAAGATTAAATATGAACTATTTAAAAATTCCGTTAGAAACCATTAAAACAGCCTGAAAACAGAGAGGCATGAAGGGAAAGGCTTTGTTGTTGATCCTTGGTGCAAACACCTCTCTGAAACCACGGCCGGCCCGCAGAAATGGGCCTTTTTCATATTCCAAAGTTCTTGTTTCCATCGTAGGGAGAGGCAGGTAAGAAATAAAATGATGGTGGTGATTCTGTTTGCAGACCGCAGCCCGGTCCGGAGCCCTGCAGCTGGAGTCAGCCTCCACCGTTCATCTGAAGACCTCCGGATGCGGCAGAGTGCCAGCTATGGCCGACTGCGTGAGTGGACATTGAGAGACAGGATCCAAACACTTCCTAAATAATGCATTCAATCCCATCTGAGTGTGGGAGTGAAAAAGAAACAGCTCTAGATCATCCTCAGGTGGGAGGCGGGCAACGAACACCAGGCGATTTTGTTTTGGAGCTGGCAAAACCACCTCTGAGTCCTCCTTGACTAGGAAAAGCCAACCACGAATGCCTTTAAGGCACTGGATCCAACTGAGTTTGGAAGCTAAGCAGGGTCATATTTCAAAGGAACCTTCCAAGTAAGTCAGGTTTTCATTCCCAGCAGCATAGAATGGCAAGGAGGAGCGACCCACTACCACTAGCCCTTCTTCTCGGTGCAAGCCTCCCTTTGATGCTATGGAGCGTTGTCCTGTGCCCATGCTGAGTTATATTGGTCCATAGAATCACAGGAGCTTTGAATCTTAGATTTGGAAGGGACCCCCAAAGGCGATCTAGCCCTAGCCACCAGTTAATTCCAGTTGCTGCAAGTAATCTTTCAGCGGATGGAACGGAGCTCCCAGTGGCGCATTGGGTTAAAGCCCTGTGCCGGCAGGACTAAAGACTGACAGGTTGCAAGTTCGAATTCGAGGAGAGGCGGATGAGCTCCTTCTATCAGCTCCAGCTCCTCATACGGGGACATGAGAGAAGCCTCCCACAAGGATGATAACAACATCAAATCATCCGGGTGTCCCCTGGGCGACGTCCTTGCAGACAGCCAATTCTCTCACACCAGAAGCGACTTGCAGTTTCTCAAGTCGCTCCTGACACAACAAAAAAAAAAAAGCGGATGGAACTGGCCAAGCCACCTCTGAGGTTTCCTTTCCTTAAAAAAAACCCTGGGAATGCCATACACACAGTGATGGGTGATGTGAAGGCACATACACACAGAGCCTAAATTCCTTAAAGGTGCCAAATCGTAAACTGTGGTCTTTGTCCCTCTTCAGGCCATGCGCAAAGCCGGAGCATGAATGACATTACAGACACGCCAAGCACAGACCAGGTAGGACATTCCTGGGAATCCCAGTGCAACTGCCTCCGTGCACCATTGAGCTTGAAGTGCGAGGGAACTGCAAATGCTGACATGATCAAGAGACTTTACAGCAGCATTTCTCAACCTGGGGGTCGGGATCCCTGGGGGGGGGAGGGTCGCGAGGGGGTGCCATCAGAAAACACAGTATTTTCTGTTGGTCATGGGGGTTCTATTTGGGAAGTTTGGCCAAATCCTATCGTTGGTGGGGTTCAGAATGCTCTTTGATTGTAAGTGAACTATAATCCCAGCAACTACAACTCCCAAATGTGAAGATCTGTTTTCCCCAAACTCCACCAGTGTTCACATTTGGTCATATTGAAGATTCATGCCAAGTTTGGTCCAGATCCATCATTGTTTGAGTCCACAGTGCTCTCTGGATGTAGGTGAACTACAACTCCATAACTCAAGGTCAATGCCCACCAAACCCTTCCAGTATTTTCTATTGCTCATGGGCGTTCTGTGTGCCAAGTTTGGTTCAGTTTCATTGTTGGTGGAGTTCTGAGTGTTCTTTGATTATAGGTGAACTATAAATCCCAGCAACGACAACTCCCAAATGACAAAATAAATCCCCCACCCACCCTTACCAGCATTCAAATTTGGGCGTATCGGATATTTGTGCCAAATTTGGTCTAGTGAATGAAAATACATTCTGCGTATCAGATATTTACATTACAATTCATACAATTACAGTTATGAAGTAGCAACAAAATAATGTTACGGTTGGAGGGGGTCACCACAACATGAGGAACTGTATTAAGTGGTCACAGCATTAGGAAAGTTGAGAAACACTGCACTCCTCTGATCTATCAGATTTGCAAGTCTATCCAAATATAGTAGTTTTGTGTTATTTGTTTTGGCAAAGCCCTTGTTGTGCTACTGAAGTCAAAATCAACAGGAGGAAAAAAGGAACAAGCATCTTTCAGCAAAAAGTTCAAGAGAATATGCAAGGAACTTTCCAAGGAAGGAGAGTTGGGCAAATCATACTCTGTAACACTCTGATTTTGGTTCCTGGGTTATCAATGTCATTCCTAATTAATTATATCATTTAAAAAAACATGGGGAAAGTTTATTAAACTGCACAAACTTTGTTCTTGTTGGAGGGAGGGACATCATCTTGCTATGCCATATTTTGCCAATGACTCTTTCATCATCGAGTCTCAACCAATTCAGCCTAGTTTGTGCCACAAAAACAAAGTTTCTGGAGGAGAACAATGACTTTCAAAGGAAGGACCTCATAATTAAACAGGAAATAAGACTTTCAAATCAGGAACAGAATTTTTCAAATTTTGTGAGATAATGTGATTGTGTTGTCGAAGGCTTTCATGACCAGATTCACTAAGTTGCTGTTAGTTTTCCAGGCTGCCTGACCATTTTCCAGAAGCATTCTCACCTGACACTTCACCCACATCTATGGAAGGCATCCTCAGAGGTTGTGTGGTTTGTCCAGGGTGTGCGAAAGAACTCTTGTCTGCTTGAGGCAAGTGTGAATGTTAGAGTTGGCAACCTTGATTAGCATTGAATGGCCTTGAACCTTCAAAGCCTGGCTTCTTACTTCCTGGGGGAATCCTTTGTTAGGAGGTGATTAGCTGGCCCTGTTTGCTTCTTGTCTGGAACTCCCCTGTTTTTTGAGTGTTGCTCTTTATTTACTGCCCTGATTTTGGAGTTTTTTTAAATTCTGGTAGCCAGATTGTGTTCATTTTCATAGTTTCCTCCTTTGTTGAAATTGTCCACATGCTTCTTGTGAATTTCAATGGCTTCTCTGTGTCGCCTGACATGGTGGCTGTCAGAATGGTCCAGCATTTCTTTGTTCTCACATAATATGCTGTGTCCAGGTTGGTTCATCAGGTGCTCTGCTATGGCTGACTTCTCTGATTGGATTAGCCAGCAGTGCCTTTTGTCTTCTTTGATTTATGCCTGGGCAACCAGAGAAGTCAGCCATACTAGAGCAATTTGGTACCAGTATTTAAAAAACCTCTAAAATCAGGACAGTAAAGAAAGAGCAACACTCAAAACAGAGGAATTCCAGACAGGAAGCAATCAGGGCCAGCTAACACCTCCCAACAAAGGATTCTCCCAGGCAAGAAGCAGCCAGGCCTTGAAGCTGCAAGGCTAGTCAGTGCTAATCAAGGTGGCCAATGGCAACATTCACACACACCTCAACCAGACAAGAGTTCTTTCTCCCACCTTGGACATTATTCCACAGATATATAAACTCCACTTGCATAGTTTCCAACAGACCTCACAACCTCTGAGGATGCTTGCCATAGATACGGGCGAAACGTCAAGAGAAAATACTTCTGGAACAAGGCCAAGAAGTCCAGAAAACTCACAGCAACATAGTGTAATTGTTGCAAAATCGAGACACAGACCATGTGGACCTCCCAGTATTGTCAAGTCACACTTCCTATCAGCCCTCAAGATATAGCCAAGGGTGAGGGATGCTGGGAGTTGCAGTCCAGCCACGGCATCTGCATGGTCCTTACTTTTGCTTTGCAATATCAACAACATTGCACAACCCGGTTGCCTTTGAAAGCCAGGCCAGAGTTCTCCAAGGAAGCTCTTGCAGATCTAAACCTGCTGCTCTGGCTTTGGATTTGAGTTGGTGCCCTTTGCCACTTTGCTTTTCTTCCCTATTTTGGTATTTGTTTGTTGTTGAAGGAGAATAATGGGTGTATATGGGGAGGGTGAAGGCAGTAAAGGCACGAGGGGCATTTCCCTCCCAAAAGAACACCAGGCATTAATTCGGTCGGAAGGCCCTGACAAAGGAGTTTTACAGGGAGTTTTACATGCAGCTTAGCGTTTGGTCAGTCGGTCGCTCTTAACTCCTGCACTCCACTTAGTCAGCTTCTCCTCCAGCGTGGATTTAAAGGCTTAGAAGAAAAAGGAGGGAGCTGCAAGGAGAAGGGGGGGCCTTTTGCCGTATTCACATACCTCTTCTTATGCCAAGTGGGGCAGATTAGCCCAAAGCGCAGCCAGGTGCAGGTTGGACCCCCTCAGAGTGGAGAATAATGCCACAGCCTCCCTTCAATGGGGCCCAGAGCCTGTTCTTTGCAACGAAGGGGTCCTCATCCAAAGGAGGGTTTTACTGGTTGTCAAATGCTTTCATGGCTGGAATCACTGGGTTGCTGTGAGTTTTCCGGGCTGTATGGCTATGGGCCCCCGGTGGCGCAGTGGGTTAAAGCACTGAGCTGCTGAGCTTGTTGATCGAAAGGTCGCAGGTTCGATTCCGGGGAGCGGCGTGAGCTTCCGCTGTCAGCCCTAGCTTCTGCCAACCTAGCAGTTCGAAAACATGCAAATGTGAGTAGATCAATAGGTACCGCTCCGGCGGGAAGGTAACAGCGCTCCATGCAGTCATGCCGGCCACATGACCTTGAAGGTGTCTACGGACAACGCTGGCTCTTCGGCTTAGAAATGGAGATGAGCACCACACCCCAGAGTCAGACATGACTGGACTTAATGTCAGGGGACTACCTTTACCTATGGCTATGTTCCAGCAGCATTCTCTCTTGACATTTCAATAGCTGTGGCTATTGACATCCTCAGTTGGCAGTGAAGCAAGTGGAGTGTATATATATCTGTGGAGTGTCCAGGGTTGGAGAAAAAAACTTTGTCTGCTTAAAGCAAATGGGATTGTGCAAGCTTGAATAGTATTGAGTAGCCATGAAGTTTGCAAAGTCAATCCATGAAGATGCCTCCTGTCCTCTGTTGCCTGGTGGCATCCTCTGTTTGGGAGGTGTTAACTGTCCCTTGATTGGGCTGTTGTATGTTTTTTCGGGCTATATGGCCATGTTCTAGAGGCATTCTCTCCTGACGTTTCGCCTGCATCTATGGTAAGCATCCTCAGAGGTAGTGAGGTCTGTTAGAACTAGGAAAACGGGTTTATATATCTGTGAAATGACCAAGGTGGGACAAAGGACTCTTGTCTTCTGGAGCTAGGTGTGAAAGTTTCAACTGACCACCATGATTAGGATTTGATGGGCTGGCAGTGCCTAGGGCAATCTTTTGTTGAGAGGTGATTAAATGTCCCAGATTGTTTCCTCTCTGTTATTTTGCTGTTGTAATTTTAGAGTTTTTTAATACTGGTAGCCAGATTTTTTTTTCATTTTCATGGTTTCCTCCTTTCTGTTGAAATTGTCCACATGCTTGTGGATTTCAGTGGCTTCTCTGTGTAGTCTGACATGGTGGTTGTGAGAGTGGTCCAGCATTTCTGTGTTCTCAAATAATATGCTGTGTCCAGGTTGGTTCATCAGGTGCTCTGCTATGGCTGATTTCTCTGGTTGGAGTAGTTTGCAGTGCCTTTCTTGTTCCTTGATTCGTGTTTGGGCAATGCTGCGTTTAGTGGGCCCTATGGAGACTTGTCCACAGCTGCATGGTACACGGTAGACTCCTGCAGAAGTGAGAGGATCCCTCTTGTCCTTTGCTAGCATTGGTTAGTTTTTCTTGGTGGGTTTGTAGATAGTTTGTATGTTGTGTTTCCTCACCAGCTTCTCAATGCGGTCAGTGGTTCCCTTGATGTCTGGCAAGAACACTTTTCCTCTGGGTGGATCTTTGTCTTGACTCTCATGGCTTGTTCTCGGTCTTGCAGCTCGTGTGATGTCTGAGGTAGAGTCTCCATTGGCCTGTAAAGCCTAGTTTAGCTGGTTCAGTTCCTCTTGGAGGAGGTGGGGTTCGCAGATTCTTTTTGCACGGCCTGCTAAGGCTTTAATGGTGCTTCTTTTTTTACTTGGGTGATGGTTGGAGTTTTTATGTAGCTATCTGTGTGTGGGGGTTTTCTGTAAATGGTGTGACCCAATTGTTGATCTGGTTTACGGATGACTAGGACATCTAGAAAAGGCAGTCTTCCTTCATTTTCTTTTTCCATGGTGAATTGTATGTTTGGGTGGATGCTGTTAAGATGGTCCAGGAACCTGTTTAGTTCTTCTTCTCCATGGCTCCAAATGGTGTCTGGAGTTCTCCTGTTCTGTTAAGCTTTTGCAATGGACAAAACAAGTCCAATGCAAAGTATCCAGAGAATGAGTCCAATTCAAACATCCACAAAGAAAGGCTGATACAAAACATCCACAAAATATCTCCATTGCAAAGTATCCACAAAACAAGGCTGATACAAAGCATCCACAAAACAAGTCCAATGCTAACATCCACAAAGCAAGCCTGATAAAAACCATCCCAAAATATCACTGTTGAACTTTTGCATTGGACAAAACATGTCCAGTGCAAAGTATCCACAAAACAAGCCTGACACAAAACATTCACAAAACAAATCCAATGCAAACATCTACAAAACAAAGCACCCATGTTACAAAGTATCCGCAAAAGGAGTCCAGTGGGAACATTCACAAAACAAGGCTGATACAAAGCACCCACAAATACAAAACCCATACAAAGCATCCCCGAAACCAACCCTTCAGCTCCTGACCCCATTTTCCCCTTCCTTTCCCTTTGCAGCTGAAGAACAAGTTCATCAAGAAGATCCCCAAAGACGCAGAGGCCTCCAACGTCCTAGTGGGCGAAGTGGACTTCCTGGAGAAGCCCTTTGTCGCCTTTGTCCGGCTCCTGCAGTCCACCATGCTGGGTGGCGTCACCGAAGTCCCCGTCCCAACCAGGTAGGACAAGAAGGGAGGGAGCGAGGGGGGGAGGGAGATTGCGTGGTGAGATGTGTTCCTCACTGGGCATGAATACTCAGCAGCAGAGTAGCATAGCACAAAGGCAGATGTCTTCACTGTGTCTGGTTGTAATCCCCAGGTTGTGCCAGTCAGCTTTCATATGATATTATTTCTAGGGCCCACTTTTTGCTTGATATTCAAGCAGTGCTTCTTGTAGGTCAGAGTGACTCCCAGGTATTTGGGTGTGCTGCATTGCTCCAGTGGGATTCCTTCCCAGGTCATCCTCAGAGCTCGAGATGCTTGTCTGTTCTTAAGGTGAAAAGCACATGTCTGTGTTTTAGATGGATTAGGGATCAGCTGGTTTTTCCTGTAATAGGCAGTAAGGGCGCCTAGAGCTTTGGAGAGCTTCTGTTCAACCATCTCAAAGCTCCCTGCTTGAGCGGTGATGGCACAATCATCTGCATAGATGAAACTCTCTGTCCCTTCTGGCAGTGGCTGGTCATTTGTGTAGATGTTGAACATGGATGGAGCAAGCATGCTCTCCTGAGCCAGGCCGTTATTCTGTTTCTGCCATCTGCTTCTCTGGCCCTGGAACTCAACAAAAAAGCTCCTGTTTTGTAGCAGATTTCCTATGAGACAGGTGAGGTGGTAGTCCTTTGCCATCTCAAAGCTCCCTGCTTGAGCGGTGATGGCACGATCATCTGCATAGATGAAACCATCTGTCCCTTCTAGCAGTGGCTGGTCATTTGTTGAATGTTGAAAAGAACCTGTGCTTTAAAGTTATTGAAAAGTTCTTTATAGCATAGATCCAGTCTAAAATGTTATTGGAAGACTGTGCACAAGCTGTGCTTGATGCAAACCCAGCTCAAATTACACTTATGTTCTCCTTCCTTTACTTGGTGCCATTGGTCCACCCATAGTGTAGAAGGCATGCAGTTTGGCACCATTTTAACTGCCCAGGTTCAAGGCTATGAAATCTTTGGAGTCATGGTTTTACAAGGGATTGTGCCTTCTTTGCTCCATCCAAAAATATAAGTCCTAGGTTTCCATAGCATTGAGCCCTAAACTGGTGTCAAACTACATTTATTCTACAGTACAGATACAACCTCTGAAAGGTGGGTTTTGTATGTCCATTTCAAACCAAATCTGTCTCTCTGAGCAATGTGACATTTTATTTTGCATGCTTGGAAATGCCATTGTTTTTACAAACTTATTCTTATCTCCACCCCATGAGACCTCTCCTGTTAAGGAGGAAATACTTTGCCTTTAAATCCAAGAGCATCACCACAGAATAGTTTGCCAAACCAGCCTCCTTTTCTTCATCCACCAGATTCCTCTTTATCCTTTTGGGTCCCACTGGAAAAGCTAAATCCTACAATGAAATTGGCCGTGCCATTGCCACCCTCATGGTGGATGATGTGAGTATGTCTTTCCAGAAGGTTGTCTTCGGCCTATTTGTGAATTTGGATGATCATCCTGCAGGTAACTCCATCTAATGATATTTCTTGCTTTGGCCTCCAGCTCTTCAGCGACGTGGCCTACAAAGCACGCGACCGGGAAGACCTCATCGCCGGAATTGATGAATTTCTGGACGAAGTCATTGTCCTTCCGCCAGGAGAATGGGACCCAAACATCCGGATAGAGCCGCCCAAGAAAGTGCCATCTGCTGATAAGAGGTAGAGGACACATCCCAAATTGCAGCCCCTTCTTTTAAGCTAATTGGGGCAAAGTGTAGCAGGGTTCAGCTAAAGGTAAATAACAAAGACAGCTTCAGGTGCATCTACACGAGGTATGGGCAAACTTGGGCCTTCCCTCCCAGGGCTTTTGGACTGCAACCCCCACAATTCCTACTTACTTACTTAGGTGATCCCTCGTTGGCCGAGTAGGATAGTCCCAGGAGCAGTATTCTTGTGGGTCCGTATGTGGCTGTGGAGCCCTATTCTTGATCTGCATCTTCTTCCGCAGTGAGGGCATCGGTTTCCAGATGGAAGGCAGTCTCGGTCGAGGTTGGCTTGACGCACCTTCCTATTGGCACATTTCTCTCTTCCACCCTCAATTCGTGCCTCTTCAAATTCTGCAGCACTGTTGGTCACAGCTGACCTCCAGCTGGAGCTCTCAAGGGCCAGGGCTTCCCAGTTCTCAGTGGCTATGCCAGAGTTTGTCGTGGGAGTTCTGTGTGCCATATTCGGTTCAATTCCATCATTGGTGGAGTTCAGAATGCTCTTTGATTGTAGGTGAACTATACATCCCAATAACTACAACTTGCATATGTCAAGGTCTATTTTCCCCCAAGAGCGCCTCAAGAGCACCCCTGGGCAAAACCAACTATTCTGCAAATGCTTACTTTGCGTAATGGATTGAGCCGCCTCTGTACTCGAGCATAAGCCTAGTTTTTCAGCCCTTTTTTTAGACTGAAAAAAATCCCCTCGGCTTATACTCGAGTCAAGGTTATTTATTATTTTACTCCGCTATTAGTATTATTTTTATTACATTTATTATTTTACATTATTATTATTATTATTATTATTATTATTATTATTATTACATTCACATTATTTTACTCTGTTATTACTTTTATTGCATTTATTATTTTACTCTATTATTGTTATTATTACATTTATTACTTTATTATTATTACTATTATTATTAAATTTTCATTATTTACTCTATTATTTTTATTACTTGTTATTACAGTTATTATTTTATTCTATCATTATAGGTAATAGGTAAGCACATTTACATTGAAGGAGGTTAGAATAATGGTTGAATCAGAGTTGGGCAGTCTTATCTTAAATTACAGGAGCCCCCAGTGGCGCAGTGGGTTAAACCCCTGTGCTGGCAGGACTGAAGACTGACAGGTCGCAGGTTCAAATCCGGGGAAAGGCAGATGAGCTCCCTCTGTCAGCTCCAACTCCCCAAGTGGGGACATGAGAGAAGCCTCACACAAGGATGATAAAAACATCAAACCATCTGGGCGTCCCCTGGGCAACGTCCTTGCAGATGGCCAATTCTCTCACACCAGAAGCGACTTGCAGTTTCTCAAGTCGATCCTGACATGGCAGAAAAAAATCTTAAATTACAGTTTTGTGTAAATACTCAAAAACATTTAACCTACTGACGATTACCAGTAGCAGCTACATTTCTCACCCTTGGCTTATACTTGAGTCAATACGTTTTTCCAGTTTTTTATGGTAAAATTAGGTCCCTCAGCTTATATCCGGGTCGGCTTATACTCGAGTATATACGGTACTTTGCTCTTTGCAAGGCTTCGTTGCATTTTTCTTTGCAAGGCTGCATGCTTTTCCTTCAAAGTCAGGATTCCATTGCTTCTCTCCAAAGCTCCCACTTTGCTCAATGCTTTTCATGTCCTCCACAGGAAATCGGTGTTTTCCCTGAGCGATGCAGGACAGATGAATGGGGCGGCCGGTGGAGCTGGAGGAGGAGGAGGCGGTGGAGGAGGAGGAGGAGGCGGCGGCAGCGAAGACGAGGAGATGCCAGCGGTGCACGAAATCGGGGAGGAGTTGATGTGGACTGGAAAGTAAGCAGAAGGACACTGATGTTGGCAGTAATGCAAAAATAGAAGCTGCTTTTGCGGCAGGGAGTGCCCTGGGTGTATTGCTTTCAGCAAGGGCACCATAAAGAGACCCCTGTGCCATTAATCCTGTTATAATGTTATTTAATCCGTTTTCAGTGGGACAGGGTGCATCAGACACTTTCAGAGAAAGAAAGAAGTAGACACACAGGCTCCAGTAATAGTAGTAGTAGTAATAACACAACAGGTAGCATACCACCCCCTGTTGTGCCAGCTCCACTGGCTGCTGATCCAATTCCGAGCATAATTCAATGCGCTGGTCTTGACCTATGAAACCCTATATGGCTCAGGTCCAGCGTATCTGTCCGAACGTATCTCCTTCTACATCCCACCTCAGAGCTTAAGATCTTCTGGGGAGGCCCTGCTCTCAGCTCCACCTTTGTCTTAAACACGTTTAGCAGGGACGAGGAACAGGGCCTTCTCGATGGTAGCCCCCCGCCTGTGGAATTTGCTTCCCAGGGAAATTAGGTCATCGCCATCCCTCCTCACCTTTAGAAAGAAGGTCAAAACTTGATTGTGGGACCAGACCTTCAGTCAATCAGGTTAAAGGACAATTGATAATGTTTGACTATGGCTTGGAAGTGGATTTGGATAAGTTAATGCAGAGTAATCATTAGTATATGGCTAGATAAATAGCCACCAGATGGTCAATAGCTAAATGGATAGTGTAAGTATACGGTTTTAATCTTTATTTATTAATGTTCATGTTTTTTAATTGCTATATTTGCTATTTTGTATTTTATGATGCGGCATTGAATTATTGCCAATTGGAAGCCACCCTGAGTCCCCGCAGGGGTTGAGAAGGGCGGGGTAAAAATGTTCTAAATAAATAAATAAATAAAATAATAGTAACAACAACACCTTTATTTCTACCCCGCCGCCACCTCTCATGGGGACTTGGGGCAACTCACAAAATAGCCCACAGAGATGCTGTACATATAAATACACAACATACCCCCTACCAACCACAGAGGCCCCTCCGTTCTGAGGACCAAGATCTATTGGAAATTCCCAATGTCAAGACCTTGCGTCTAACAGCAACCAGACGCAGAGCCTTTACAGCAGTGGCACCATCACTCTGGAATACTCTGCTACCTGAAGTCCGTGCCTTGCGGGACCTATCAGCTTTCCGCAGGGCATGTAAGACATATCTGTTTCGACAGGACTTTGATTTTTGATATTGCTGTTTTTAAATTGTTTTAAATTGTTTTTAAATTGTGTTAGATTTTAGCCATTCTTGTAAGCTGCTCCGAGCCCCAGGGGAGTGGCGACATATAAGTTTGAATAATAAATAAATAAATAAAAATGCAACCACATGAAAACAATAATAACATTACATAAACTAGATATAAAAATTGGATAAAGCAACCTCTATTAAAATCGAATCAGTTAAAAGATCAATATAATCAATATAGCAGTCCAGTTGGATGCATATAAGATGTAGATAAAAAGTGCTAAGTGATTGGCAGTCCATTCTGGTTACTGTCTGAACAGTAAATGCCTGCTGATTAAGCCAAGTTTTCAACTCTTTCTGAAAGTGTTGCCAGACCTTAATAGGCCCTTAGGCAGACCCCAATCATGCAATTTCATTCAATCCACTCGTCATCACACCTGTCTGGGCCTTTTATGGCTGCTCATCATAAAATCCTAGAGTTCAAAGGAACATTGAAAAAATAATTTACACTTTTCCTGCTTCTTGGCAGGGGGTTGGACTGAATGGCCCACAAGGTCTCTTCCAACTCAATGATTCTATTATTCTAGGCAATATATTCAATATATGTGAGAGGAAGTCATAGGGAGGAGGGAGCAAGCTTGTTCCCTAGAGACTAGGACACGGAACAATGGCTTCAAACTACAAGAAAGAAGATTCCATCTGAACATGAGGAAGAACTTCCTGACTGTGAGAGCCGTTCAGCAGTGGAACTCTCTGCCCCGGAATGTGGTGGAGGCTCCTTCTTTGGAAGCTTTTAAACAGAGGCTGGATGGCCACCTGTCAGGGGTGCTTTGAATGCAATTTTTCTGCTTCTTGGCAGGGGTTTGGACTGAATGGCCCATGAGGTCTCTTCCAACTTTATGATTCTACTAGCTGTCCCCTGCCACGCGTTGCTGTGGCCCAGTCTGGTGATCTGGAAAATAAAGTAATGAGAAAGTGTTGGTTTCTAATATATGTAATGTCTTTATACTTGTGAGTAAATAGTATTTCTTGCAGTTTCTTTGCCAGTGTTGATGTGGAGATTGTCTGGTTTGCCTATTCTGGAATATGCAACATATCATAGTCCTTCTTTAAGGATCTCTTTCAAATCTATGATACTATATCTGTGTGTGAGAGAGAGAATCATATCTATCTATCTATATTTATGACTGGATGGCTCTGATTACATTACTAGAAATCCCAAATGTCTATTTCCTCCAAACTCCATCTGTGTTCATATTTGGGCATATGGAATATTCGTGCCAAGTTTGGCCCAATTCCATCACTGGTGGAGTTCAGAATGCTCTTTGATTGTAGGTAAACTATAAAACCCAGCAACGACAATTCCCAAATGGCAAAATCAATTTCTTTGAGTGGAGGACATACATTGGGTTGTTAGGTGTCTTGTGTCCAAATTTGGTGTCAATTCCCCCAGTGGTTTTTGAGTTCTGATGGTATCACAAACGAACATTACATTTTTATTTATATAGATTATTCTATTAATCTGGCCCTAATGGGACCATTTGGGGACTTTTATGCCCAGATCGTGGGCATCTAGTTTTGTTCTGAATGTTTAAAGAGGAATCATTAAATCTATCCCTAAATTGCAGAACAAATGCAGTTTGACACCACTTGAACTCAATGCTATGGCAACCTGGGAGTTATAGTTTTGCAGGGTCTTGAGCCTTCTCAGCCAAAGGGTGCAAACTACAGCTCCCGGGATCTCATAGCATTCAAGTGTTGTCAAACTGGTTTAATTCTGCAATATGGATGCCCTCTTGGGGAGTAAGAATGAAGCCAGGAAAAGCCTAGGGTGGATTCCTTGCTCCACTGGAATGGGACTGGGTCTGATGTCTCTCTCTGCTCCTGCTCTGCTTCCCCCAGGTTTTGCGGAGGCCTCTACCTGGATATCAAGCGAAAGCTGCCCTGGTTCCCCAGCGATTTCTACGAAGGTTTCCACATCCAGTCCATCTCCGCCATCCTCTTCATCTACCTGGGCTGCATCACCAACGCTATCACCTTTGGGGGACTGCTGGGGGACGCCACCGAGAACTACCAGGCAAGATCCTCCAGGGTGGAAGAAGGGGCCGCGATTGAAGCTGGAGATAGACTTCAATCTATCTCCAGGGGGGTGTTTATGTCTAGTTCCGCATCATCAACTTCCTCCTCTTTCTCCGTTTCCTCTTCCTCCTCCTTCTTTTTCTCTTTCTCCTCTTTTTCCTCCTCCTCTTTCCCCTCCTCTTCCTACTTCTCTTCACCTTTTCCTCTTCCTCATCCTCCCCTCTTCCTCCCTTTTCTTCCTGTTCCTCCTCCCTCCTTCTTTCCCCCTTTTCCTTCTCCCTCTTCCTCCACCTCCTCTTCCTCTTTGTCCTCTTTTTCTTTCTCCTCTTCCTCCTTTTCCTCCACCTCCTCTTCCTCTTCCTCCTCCTCTTCTTCCTTTTCCTCCTCTTCCTCCTCTACCTCCTCTTCTTCTTTGTCCTCTTCTTTCTCCTCTTTCTCCCCTCCTCTTCTTCTTCCTCCTCTCCTCTTCTTCCTCCTCTTCGTCTTCCTTCTCTTCTTCCTTCCTTCTCTTCCTCCTCTTCCTTCTCCTTCCTCTTCCTCCTTCCTTTTCCTCCCCTCTTCCTCGCTGTCCTCTTTTCTCTCTCCTCTTCCTCTTCCCCTTCTTCCTTGCAGGGAGTCATGGAGAGCTTCCTGGGCACGGCCATGGCAGGAGCCATGTTCTGCTTCTTTGCTGGGCAGCCCCTCATCATCCTCAGCAGCACTGGCCCCATCCTTATCTTTGAGAAGCTGCTCTATGATTTCAGCAAGTGAGTAAAGCCCTTCTTGCCCCAACGAGGGCTTCCACATCCTTTCCTTTTTCCTGCTTCTCAGGCTTGGCTTTTGCACAAAGTCAGAACAGGGATCTGTTTTAAGTATGTGTGTGTGTGTGTGTATATATATATGTGTGTGTGTGTGTGTGTGTGTGTATACACATATACACATACACATACACACACACACATTTACACACACATGCAAGCTTTGGATTGCCTAGGGAAGGGTGAAGCCCTGGGGGTTCAGAAGATTTTATCTCACTTTTTGTCCCTTTGCGAATGGGATTTTGGAAAAATTGGCTTGTTGTAGAAGCGAGGACTGGAGATAAAGCTTCACTCCACAACCACCGCGATAATAACTTTTCCAGGAGTTGGTTTTCCTTTCTTCCGACGTGCAGATTCCTCTCACTCCCTGTTATTTCAGCCCTGTTTTTAACTTGGAGTCATTTGTAATTTGGATGTTTGTAACTCAGTGACTACCTATAGTATTAGAGATCTGGAAGGGACCCCCAAAGACCATCTGGTCCAGCCCCCTTCTTTCTGCTAGGCAGGAAGACACCATCCGATCCCTCCTGACCAAGAACTATCCGGCCATAGATAGGATTGAGGTACAGGCAGTCTCCAAGGGGAATATTCCTCTTTCTTCCTGTTGTCTCAGCCCCATTGTTCTTAACTAGGAGTCATTTGTAAGTAGGATGCTTGTAACTTGGGGACTTCCTGTGTATATGTGTGTGTGTCCTGTGTAATCACTGAAAAAAATGTTTCAATACTCACTATGAAATTAGTGGAGGGGAAGGGGGGAATTCATTTCTAAAGTGCTTCCAAAATTGGACGAGATTTGTATCATAAGTATTTTATTTATTTATTTATTTATTTATTTATTTATTTACAGCTTTTATAGTCCACCCTTCTCACCCCGCAGGGGACTCAGGGCGGATTAAAGTGTACACATATATGGCAAACATTCCATGCCAATTTTGACATACAACATATACAGACATACACAGAGGCTATTTAACTTTTTCTGGCCGCCAGGGGAGCTGTCGCTTTCATCGTCCATCTGCGACGCTGATGAAGCACTTCCGCATTCCCCGCATGCTTCCCGCTGGAATGCTTTGCTGGGGTCTTCTTTATGGCCTCATAAATCAGTTAATTTAGCCTCCCCACACTTTAAGGTGGTACCTTATTTTCCTACTTGACAGATGCAACTGTCTTTCGGCTCGCAAAGTTCGACAACAGGCTACACACGATTGGTTGGAAATCCACTCCAACCTGGGCTGGCTTCGAACTCATGACCTTTTTGGTCAGAGTGATCTTAATGCAGCTGACACTCAGCTAGCTGCACCACAATCCCGGTGCTATAACAAGTTAACTACTTTTTGGTCACTTTTTGTTAAGTAATTATGCAAATGAAGATACTTTGGGGGCTGCTTTCTCCCTCATTGCTAGAGCAATTGGAGTGAAATTTACTACAGTGGTAGAACACACTAACCACTGTGAGCCCATCACATTTCAGAACGTTTCACTCATCCACAGATTTTTGGGGAATTTTCAAAGTTTGTACAAACGACATTTTTTAAACAAAACTACAAGAGCGATCTGCTTGAATTTTCTGTCCAATGTCACAAGATAACACGCTTAATGTATACACCTATTGCATTGGCCTTTTGGCCCCAGGGGCAACAGCATAGACTACATGGAGTTCCGGCTGTGGATCGGTCTGCACTCGGCGCTGCAGTGCCTGATCCTGGTGGCCACAGATGCCAGCTTCATCATCAAGTATATCACCCGCTTCACAGAGGAGGGCTTCTCCACCCTCATCAGCTTCATCTTCATCTACGACGCCATTAAGAAAATGATCGGCGCCTTCAAGTACTACCCCATCAACTCTGACTTCAAGCCTGACTATGTGACACTCTACAAGTGCGAGTGCCTCGCCCCGGACCCAGGTGAGCCCAACAGCCCCTGATCTCTGTTTGAATGTATATATCTGTGCTGGGAGGCAGTCCGATGGCAAGCGCTACAATAGCCCTTTGAATCTTGCTTGGTGTAAACAGCCATCTGTCCTTGCCATGCACTAGTCCAATTGCAATGCCACGGAGCCCCAGAAATTGTTGCAGCCCAGCCACTTATTTGATACTTTTTCACTCAAATATATCTCAGCTAACAGGAATCAATCAAACGATATAAAGTTTATTAAAGAAAGGAGTGTTCTATAGAAAAAGCTAGTTCAAAAATACATTCCAGGGTACAAAATAGAAAAGTATTTCCAAGGTATACATAAAAGGCAAAAGCCGAAGTACATCCCAAATACTGTCTCCAAAAATCATTCCACAATATAGGTTACAGCCATAATATTCTTTATACAGCAAGCAGACCAATACTAAAAGTAAAGCTAAAAATCCACCAGACTTAGAAAAAGAACTGTATCCAAAACGTGATCCCCCAGTTCCAGAACAAGAAAACATGGCAAGGAAACAAGGCCAGAAGCTCCTATCCTGGAACACATGAAAAAGGTGACTTTCTCTTGAAAATTCAAAGTTGCTCTCACCCAGAACAACTCAAGGGGCTAACTTATTTATTTATTTATTTATTTATTTACAGCTTTTATATTCCGCCCTTCTCAGGGCGGATTACAGTGTACACATATATGGCAAACATTCAATGCCAATTTTGACATACAACATAAACAGACATACACAGAGGCTATTTAACTTTTTCTGGCCACCAGGGGAGCTGTCGCTTTCATCATCCATCTGCAACACTGATGAAATACTTCCGCATTCCCCACTTGCTTTTGCTGTAGTCTTTTTTTTAATGGCCTCATAAATTAGTTAATTTAGCCTCCCCACACTTTAAGGTGGTACCTAATTTTCCTACTTGACAGATGCAACTGTCTTTCGGGTTGCAAAGGTCGACAACAGGCTATATAATTGGTTGGAAACCCACTCCAACCTGGGCTGGCTTCTAATTCATGACCTTTTGGTCAGAGTGATCTTAATGCAGCTGACACTCAGCCAGCTGTGCCACAATCTCGGTGCATTAAGAAACCAAATCCATTCCCATGGAGACACTATCAGTAGAACACCTGGAATCCTGCTGTTTATCTTTCAAACACTGGGAAAACCTTAATTGCCTTTCCTTGGCACTTTTCTCCGTAACTGGAGGCGCTGTGTTACAGGCAGCAACCCAGCCTCTTCCACCTACCTCGCCTCCTTCTCAGAGTCAGGAAAAGGAGGCAAGAGAAACATTAGGCTGCATTTCCTGGGAAACATTCTGACTAAATGCAGATCTGTCTGGAAGGCAATTCCAGAGGAGAGCTGCTTTTTCCCTGAGGGACTGCAGATATAGGGGCTCCCACTCGGGCTCCCATTCAGGAACATCAGGCCCCACCACCAAAAGGTCCCTGTCCTTCTCAGACCAGACTCAAAAGAAATGGCCATCTGTGCTGGACAATAGTCCGAATGCGTGCATTTAGCCCAAGGGAGCTCTGGGAATAACATTGGGGGCTTCCTTGTTTGCAAATACCCATTTGTCCATGCCGAGCACTAGTCCAATTGCAATGCCACGTAGCCCCAGAAATGTTCCTTTGGAGCTTCTCACATGTTATTTTCAGGTATTGTTATGTTTTTTCTATTACAATGTATGTACCATACTGATGGGCGTGGCCTCATGTAAGCCGCACAGAATCCCCATAGGCAGGCATGTAGCCCGGGGGGGGGGGGGGGGGCTTGAGGGGCTTCAGCCCCCCCCCCCCCCCGAAATTCTCATGGTGGTTCGCGAAAAGGCCTTACTGGTGCATTATTTAAACTGTTATGTTTATTCATATCATGATCTGATCACCATACTCAATATATCCCATATGCATGGGGGTATTGGGGTAATGATACAAAAGGTTTGCTAGGCTAACCCTCTTTCACTCAGACTCAGCCCCCCCCCCGAAACTCAGCCCCCCCCTGAACCCCCTTGAAAAAAATTCAGCCCCCCCCCCCCAACGAAATCCTGGCTACGGGCCTGCCCCTGGGGGAGATGGAGCGGGGTATAAATAAAGTTATTATTATTATTATTATTATTATTATTATTATTATGTTGGATTTTCCAACATGTAAATTCCATCCAAAACATTGAGAATAAAATAGGAACTGAAATAGAATACACACACACACACACACAAAGAGAATGCCATACTATTCCCTCCCCATAGCTCCCAATTAAAACTAACAAACTCTATTGCCTTCCCCTCCCCCTTTTTAAATAAAAATAAAAAATAAGTAAGTAATAAATCACCTGAACGCAGCACCGGAGCTTAAGGCATACTCTTTGGAGCTTCTTAACCTTATGGAGGTTAAAATCTTCTGGGGAGGCCCTGCTCTCGGTTCCACCTAAAGAGGCGCGACTGCTGGGGACGGGAGACAGGGCCTTCCTTCTCCGTGGTGGCCCCACGGCTGTGGAACTCCTTCCCTTGTGGGATTCGATCAGCCCCTTCCCTCCAGTCATTTTGCAAACAAGTGAAAACTTGGCTTTGGGAGTAAGCATTTGGGTATAAGTAAATTTTATTATAATAAATACATATTACAAACGCATTACAATCAAATGAGACAATGCTTGTAACTTCACTTAGGCAGAAAAAATGAAATGCAAAGATACAAAATGGGAGATGCATGGCTTGAGAGCAGTATGTGTGAAAAAGATCTTGGAGTCCTCGTGGACAACAAGTTAAACATGAGCCAACAATGTGATGCGGCGGCAAAAAAAAGCCAATGGGATTTTAGCCTGCATCAATAGGAACATAGTGTCTAGATCTAGGGAAGTCATGCTACCCCTCTATTCCGCTTTGGTCAGACCACACTTGGAATAGTGTGTGCAATTCTGGGCATCACATTTGAAGAGAAATATTGACAAGCTGGAATGTGTCCAGAGGAGGGTGACTAAAATGATCAAGGGTCTGGAGAACAAGCCCTATGAGGAGCGGCTTAAAGAGCTGGGCATGTTTAGCCTGAAGAAGAGAAGGCTGAGAGTAGACATGATAGCCATGTACAAATATGTGAGAGGAAGTCATAGGGAGGAGGGAGCAAGCTTATTTTCTGCTGCCCTGGAGACGCAGAACAATGGCTTCAAACTACAAGAAAGGAGATTCCATCTGAACATGAGGAAGAACTTCCTGACTGTGAGAGCCGTTCAGCAGTGGAACTCTCTGCCCTTGAGTGTGATGGAGGCTCCTTCTTTGGAGGCTTTTAAACAGAGGCTGGATGGCCATCTGTCGGGGGTGCTTTGAATGCAGTTTTCCTGCTTCTTGGCAGGGGATTGGACTGGATGGCCCATGAGGTCTCTTCCAATTCTATAATTCTATGATTCTATTATTTACATTTTCTAAATTATTACAGTTACAGAACCAGTTGTGATATTTCTTCACAGATTTTCTTCTTTGGTTTCAAAACAGTTATAGTTACAAACACAATTGCAAATTCACAAACACACATACATCTCAGTTAATGTATTGTCAAAGGCTTTCATGACCGGAATCACTGGGTTGTTGTAGGTTTTTTTGGGCTATATGGCCATATTCTAGAGGCATTCTCTCCTGACGTTTCGCCTGCATCTATGGCAAGCATCCTCAGAGGCAAACATCCTCACTACCTCTGAGGATGCTTGCCATAGATGCAGGCGAAACGTCAGGAGAAATGCCTCTAGAACATGGCCATATAGCCCGAAAAAACTTACAACAACCCAACATGTCAGTTAATATATATAAAACTTTTCTAACTTTTCTTTGGTATTAATTATATCTATCTATTTATATAAAACCTACAACCCTTCAGGTGATCCCTGGCGTGGTCTCTGCCAGCCAAGGCCAGAACTTCTTCCAACGGTTAGAGGGCATCCTGCCCCATTTCGTTTTAATCAAGGCCCCTATTTTCTCTGCTGCCCAATTAACACTAGACGTAAGATTTGCTGGGTTTTGAGTTGTTATTTCTCGGTGTCTCTGGAAAACCAGAGCCAGGAGAACATACAAGTTGACCAACCTTGTTGTTGACCAAAGAACATCCCAAAAGGCCTCCCATGTGTCCCCCAGCTGTCCCCTCTTCCTCTTCCTTCCTTGGTGTCGAAATGGCCCCCGAATACCAGTTTCCGGTTCCATTTGGGAGCAAGCATTTGGCCCAGCATCCGTGCAATACAGTTGGAATTGATCCTGGATTGATGAATATGATTATTTGACTATCTGGCTTTGGATCTATGCACAATAGTCATCTAATGTTTACATATTGTTTTAATGTTGTTATCAATTGTCATTTACTTGCTTTTAATTATTAAAAATTATGTAAGCTGCCCTGAGCCCCCTTCGGGATGAGAAGGGCAGAATATAAATGCCATAAACAAACAAACCAACAAACAAACAAACAAACAAACAAAAATGTGTATGTGTGGGTGCATATATGCTTATATACATACACATAAGAATCATATATATTAGATTTTCCAAAACATAATTTAAATCCAACACGTTGAAAATAAAATAAGAGCTAAAATAGAAAACGAAACAAATCAAATACAAAAAGAATCTCATAATATTTCTTTCTCGACAGCAATGCAATCTAGTAGATAAATAATATAATAATAATAATTTTTATTTATGAAATAATAAATAATCATAATCTTTATAAAATAGGAATAATTTCATGATTTCTTGCAAGAAAAGGCAGAAGTCTCATCTTCGTACATTTTATTCTGATATGTAAGAATGTGTTTCTTCTGCTTATGTCTAAAATTTAAGCAGAATTAGAATTCTATCTTTCCTTTTTTCTATTTTGAGAGTCTATGTTTTAATTTTGCTCCTTTTCATTTTTTTCAAAAATAGATCTAACCATATTTTTTGTTCGCTCTGGTTTTATTTTTTAATACTGTCACTGATTTGTACCATATTTGTCTCTGCTGCAAACATCTATTTGGCTGCATTCAATCTCAAGTGAGTATCATTTCATAAATATTAAAAATTATTTTAATATTTGATACTCGTTCCTCTTTTATTTTTGCTCTTGGTTTATTCCATTGATCCCTACTTCAGTTTATTCCAAATTCACATTATACCTTTTAAATTTGCATTTCTGTCAAATGCAATGCAGCCAATGCTGCAAAAGTATTTCCAGTTGGGTCGTGAAACAATCCTTTGCAAAGCTTTTTTTTTCCCAAGAAAAATTGCAAAAATATGTCCAATCATTTGCAAAGGTTTTTTAAAAGTTTGCTAAAATGCGTCCAATTATTTGTAAGATTTTTTTTAATTTTGCAAAAATATGTCCAATTATTTGCTAAGGTGTTTTAATATTTTCAATATTTTGCAAAAATACGCAATCATTTGCAAAGTGTTTTTTTTAATGCAAAAACATATCCAATTATTTGATTTTTAAATTGCAAAAATGTATTGAATCATTTGCAAAGGATTTTTTTTTAATTTTGCAAAAATATGTCCAATATGTTTTTCAAAATTTTGCAAAACAAAATGTGCCAGGTTCCTGGCAAAACGGATGGTTGCGGAGAGAAATATTGTTGAAACCTTGTAATAAAAGGAAACATTTTAGAAATGTTTTAAGCCTCATTGGAGCATATTGTTTGCATTTGGGTTTGCTTTTGATGATTCAGTAGCAAAAGGACAAACATCAGTGCATTGCAGTGGTTTGCGCACTGGATTCAAAGTACGTCTGCGTTGCAGATTTAATGCGGTTCGGCACCACTTTAACCTCAGTGGCTCCATACTGTGGGATCTATCATGTTCCAAGTTCTTGGTGCTTTGGGGAAGAGAAGGATGCAAAACCTACAGTAGTTATCAAAGTGGTACCAAACCACATTACTTCTACAGTGTAGATGTACCCTCGCGTTCTGGGTTTGGACCATGCTTTGCTAGGGGTTTTTGGGGAGAGGTTTCCCATGGACTTCCTTCTTCCCTTGATGCAAGTGTTTCCTTCCCAATCTGCAAAAAGCAGGGAGTTTTGCAGACTGCGTTGCAAGTCCTTTTCCCGGACCTGTACCTCAATCTGACCTCCTTTGGGTTTCCATTTGCCGACAAGGCCACCTTCCCCTCCCAACCTGAGGCTTCCTCTTAATATTCTTCTTTTTTAAATCTTAACCAACTCCTTTTCTGCAGTGAATACCACCTTGTTCAATGCTTCAGCCCCACTGGCACCAAACAACACTAACATTTCTCTGGTGAGTAGAGAGACGCCACTGCCTTTCCCCCTTTTCTAATGGCAAATAAATGGGGTTTCCTGGGGAAGACACGCTAGGGTTGTTGGTTGGGGCTTCAGAGGCGGGGAACCAGGAACCATTGGGTCCAAATGGCAGGAAAAGATGGAGAATTTATTAAAGGTGGGATAGACTGCCTTTTAATATCTTTTAGCTACACATTGGCAGAATGGGGCTAGTCTAGATGATCTTTAGAGATCTCATCCAGTTCTGAGATGCCATCATACTCTGTTTCATGAGATCCAGGGAATGTCAGCCTCCCAAGTGTCATTGGACTCCAATTCCTGGGCTGGATTCCGGTACCTTCAGTCTGACTCTCTTGCCCGGTTTGGATGCTGAGTGATGTAGTCCAACTCTGAGCTTAGGGGAAATGTGGTTGGAACATGGAGCTCGGAGGTGGACTTCCATGTGCATTCCCAGGCCTCTTGCAGGGAATCCCAAGCGTCTCCCTCCAGATTACAATTCCTGCTATTCCACAGGAGGGAGCCTTGACCATCCTGAAGATACCATGAAAGGGGCAATAAGTGATATTCAGCTCAGGGTTTGTTTGGCACCACATGGAGGTCTCTGAGATACATAGTTGGATTAAAACTCCCACAAAGATCTTGGAGTCCTTGTGAACAACAAGTTAAACATGAGCCAACAATATGATGTGGCGGCAAAAAAGCCAATGGGATTTTGGCCTGCATCAATAGGAGCATAGTATCTAAAGCAGTGTTTCTCAACCTTCCTAATGCCGCGACCCCTTAATACAGTTCCTCATGTTGTGGTGACCCCCAACCATAAAATTATTTTTGTTGTTACTTCATAACTGTAATTTTGCTACTGTTATGAATTGTATTTAAATATATGATATGCTGGATGTATTTTCATTCACTGGACCAAATTTGGCACAAATACCCAACACTCCTAAATTTGAATGCTGGTCGAATTGGGTGGGGGGATTTATTTTGTCATTTGGGAGTCATAATTGCTGGGATTTATAGTTCGCCTACAATCAAAGAGCATTCTGAACTCCACCAGTGGTGGAAATGAACCAGACTTGATACACAGAACTCCCATGAGTAACAGAAAATACTGGAAGTACTTGGTGGGCATTGGCCTTGAGTTTTGGAGTTGTAGTTAACTTACATCCAGAGATCGTTGTGGACTCAAACAATGATGGCTCTGGACCAAACTTGGCACGAATACTCAATATGCCCAAATGTGAACACTGGTAGAGTTTAGAGAAAATAGACCTTGACACTTGTGAGTTGAAGTTGTTGGGATTTATAGTTCACCTACAATCAAAGAGCATTCCGAAACCCACCCACGATAGAATGGCCAAACTTCCCACACAGAAGCTCCATGACTAACAGAAAATACTATGTTTTCTGATGGTCTTTGGTGACCCCTCTGACACCCCCTTGTGACCCCCCCAGGGGTCCCAACCCCCAGGTTGAGAAACACTGGTCTAGATCTATGGAAGTCATGCTACCCCTCTATTCCACCTTAGTTAGACCACACCTGGAATATTGTGTCCAATTCTGGGCACCACAATTGAAGAGAGATGTTGACAAGCTGGAATGTGTCCAGAGGAGGGTGACTAAAATGATCAAGGGTCTGGAGAACAAGCTCTATGAGGAGCGGCTTGAAGAGCTTGGCCTGAAGAAGAGAAAGCTGAGAGGAGATATGATAGCCATGCATAAATATGTGAGAGGAAGTCACAGGGAGGAGGGAGCAAGCTTGTTTTCTGCTGCCCTGGAGACTAGGACGCGGAACAATGGCTTTAAACTACGAGAAAGGAGATTCCATCTGAACATGAGGCAGAACTTCCTGACTGTGAGAGCCGTTCAGCAGTGGAACTCTCTGCCTCGGAGTGTGGTGGAGGCTCCCTCTTTGGAAGCTTTTAAATGGAGGCTGGATGGCCATCTGTCAGGGGTGCTTTGAATGCAATATTCCTGCTTCTTGGCAGGGGGTTGGACTGGATGGCCCATGAGATCTCTTCCAACTCTATGAGAGCAGTTCAGCAGTGGAACTCTCTGCCTTGGAGTGTGGTGGAGGCTCCTTCTTTGGAAGCTTTTAAACGGAGGCTGGATGGCCATCTGTCAGGAGTGCTTTGAATGCAATATTCCTGCTTCTTGGCAGGGGATTGGACTGGATGGCCCATGAGGTCTCTTCCAACTCTATGATTCTATGATTCTAACTCTCAAACTCCCCATAATTTTAGAGCTGGACTACATCTCTCACAAGCTTGGAGATACATAGCTGTACTATATTTCTCACAATCCCGAAGATACATAGTTGTACTCTATCTCCCATCAGTTCAGAGTAGCATAGTTGGACTATATCTCCCATAAGCTTGGAAATAACTCTCTCTTTTGGCGCCCCCGTCCCTCCCTGGCAGTACAACCCCCCAAACACCACAGCGCTGGACTGGACGCAGCTGAGCAAGAAGGAGTGCCTGCGCTACGGAGGGAGCCTGGTGGGCAAGTCTTGCAAGTTCGTCCCAGACCTGGCCCTCATGTCCTTCATCCTCTTCTTCGGCACCTACTCCATGACCCTCACCCTCAAGAAGTTCAAGTTCAGCCGGTACTTCCCCACCAAGGTGAGTGAGCGAGCAAGCGGGCAGCCAGAGGTCACCGGAAGATGCCCCCCATTCTGTATACAAGGCCTGGGCCAACTTCAGCCCTCCCTCCAGGGGATTTGGAACAGTGGGAGTTGAAGTCCACAACACTTGGAGGGTCCAAGTTTGCCCATACCTACTATATGCTATACCATAATAGAACGTAATGTAACATTGCTGTTCTTGCCACTGAAATGGCCTTGCTCTCTCATGACAAGGGTCGGAAATCAGTCCCAGCCTTTATTCAACCTCATTCTTTAAATTCTGTTTCAATGTTCATATACTTTAGGTTTTAATATAGACCTTTGGCCATTTTTTTAAATTGTTAGCCACTTTGAGTCTCCTTTATTTTTATTTATTATTTCTTTATTTACAGTATTTATATTCTGCCCTTCTCACCCCACAGGGGACTCAGGGCAGATTACAATGCACATATACATGGCAAACATTCAATGCCATTTAGACATACAACGTATATAGACAGACACAGAAGCAATTTAACATTCCAGTTTTCTGGCTTCATGAGGTTATGCTCGATTCCGGCCACAGGGGGAGCTGCTGCTTCACCGTCCATTTGTGACACCGAGTCCTTTGATGGAGTACTTCCTCATTCTTCTGCATGCTGCTGGAAGGTTTTATGGTGTCGTAAATTAGTTAAATTAACCTCCCCGCACAAAATGGTACCTAAATTTCCTACTTGACAGATGCAACTGTCTTTTGAGCTGCAAATTTATAATATTATAATGTAATGCAATATAATAATATATTATAATTATATATTTATATTACATGTAATATCACTAATCATATTACGATATAGTGGTGTGGTGCAATATAGCAATGTTTAATGCTGATATTATACTATGCTAATAATATAATATTTTGTATGTAATATATACCTTGTAAGCTGCTCATTATAATATTATAATGTAATGCAATATAATACTAGTAATAATAATACAATATTATAATTATAATTATATATTTATATTACATGTAATATTACTAATAATATTACAATATAATGGTATAGTGCAATATAGTAATATATAATACTGATATTGTACTATGCTAATAATATAATATATTGTCTGAAAAATATATTGTAAGCTGCTCTGAGTCCCCTTTAGGATGAGAAGGGTGGCATATAAATGTTGTAAATAAATAAATAAATAAATAAAGGTCGACAGCAAGCTAGACAAATGGCCAGAAGCTCACTCCGACCCGGGCTGGCTTCGAACTCATGACCTCTCGGTCAGTAGTGATTTAATGTAGCTGGCTATCAGCTAGCTGCGCCACAGCCCAGTCTCTCTTTGAAAGAGAGAGAGAGCAGGATACAAATAATATTAACAAGTAGGTATGATTTGTCGGGTTGGAATGATTTTAATGTAATTGAAATGATTTACTGTACGCCACTTTGAGAGAAGAAGGCGGGGTAGACATAAACATAATGATGATGATGATGATGATGATGATGATGATGATGATGATGATGTACACAAACCAGTAAAGGTGGTCCCAGTGGTGATTGGCACACTGGGTGCAGTGCCTAAAGACCTTGGCCTGTACTTAAACACAATCGGTGCTGACAAAATTACCATCTGCCAGCTTCAGAAGGCCTCCCTACTGGGATCTGCACGCATTATTCACTGATATATCACACAGTCCTAGACGCTTGGGAAGTGTCCGACCTGTGATCCAATTCAACAGCCAGCAGAGTGTCTGCTGTGGACTCATCTTGTTGTGTTTCAAATAATAATGTACAATTGTTTAAAGTGCTAATTACTTTGAGTCTCCTTTGGAAGAGGAGGAGGAGAAGGATATAAATACGAATAAATAAATAAATAAATAAATAAATAAATAAATAAATAAATAAATAAATAATAGACTTTGGCCTGCACTTAAACACAATCAGCACTGACAAAATCACCTACTGGGATCTGCACGCATTATTCGCCAATACATCACATAGTCCTAGACACTTGGGAAGTGTCCGACGTGTGATCCAATACAACAACCAGCATAGTGATCTTGTTTGCTGTGTACTAATCTTGTTGTGTTTCAAATTAATAATAATAATAATAATAATAATAATAATAATAATAATAATAATAGGCAGATTATTACAGAATGGGGGACGATGCCTGGCTTGATAGCAGTACATATGAAAAAGATCTGTTTTCAGACATCTGTTATTATTACTATTATTATTGTCGTTGTTTTTGTTTGAAACACAACAAGATTAATACACAGCAAACAAGATCCCTATGCTGGCTGTTGTATTAGATCCCACGTCAGACCCTTTCCAAGTGTCTAGGACTGTGTGATGTATCAGCGAATAATGTGTGCAGATCCGAATCAGGTGGCCTTTTGCAGATGACAGGTGGTAATTTTGTCAGTGCTGATAGTTTTTAAGTACAGGCCAATATCTCAAGGCACTGCACCCAGTGTTCCAATCCCCACTGGACCCCTTTGACTGGCTTGTGTCAGAGTCTTTGCAGTTGTTATTATTATTATGTTGCTGTTGTTGTTGTTGTTATTTCCTTCCCTCGCCTCTCCTTCCAGGTCAGGGCCCTGATTGCCGATTTTTCCATTGTCTTCTCCATCCTTTTCTTCTGTGGGATAGATGCCTGTTTTGGACTGGAAACCCCCAAGTTGCATGTGCCCAGTATCATTAAGGTTTGCCGCACTTTACTGGGTTGTCCCTCTTTTCCCTCCTTTCGCTCCCTTCCTTCCTTCACTTGCTCCTTCCTTCCTTCCTTCCTTCCTTTGTCATTGGTTCCCCTTCTGCCTGCCTGCCTGCCTTCACTTGCTCCTTCCTTCTTTTCTTCCTCCCTTTCTCCTTTCCTTCTTTTACTTTCTCCTTCCTTCCTTCCTTCTTCCCTCCCTCCCTCCTTCCTTTGCCATTGGTTCTTCTACCTCCCTCCCTTCCTTCTTACCATCCTTCCTTCACTTGCTCCTTCCTTCTTTCCTTCCTCCCTCCCTTCCTTCTTTCACTTTCTCCTTCCTTCCTTTCTTCCTTCTTACCATCCTTCCTTCACTTGCTCCTTCCTTCTTTCCTTCTTCCCTCCCTTTCTCCCTTCCTTCTTTCACTTTCTCCTTCCTTCCTTTCTTCCTTCCTTCCTCCCTCCCTCCCTCCTTCCTTTGCCATTGGTTCTTCTACCTCCCTCCCTCCCTTCCTTCTTACCATGCTTCCTTCACTTGCTCCTTCCTTCTTTCCTTCCTCCCTCCCTCCCTTTCTCTCTTCCTTCTTTCACTTTCTCCTTCCTTCCTTCCTTCTTACCATCCTTCTTTCACTTGCTCCTTCCTTCTTTCCTTCTTTCCTTCCTCCCTCCCTTTCTGTCTTCCTTCTTTTACTTTCTCCTTCCTTCCTTCCTTCCCTCCCTTCCTTCCTTCCTTCCTTCCTTCCTTCCTTCCTTCCTTCCTTCCTTCCTTCCTTCTTCTTCCTTCCTTCCTTCTTCCTCCTTCCTTCACTTGCTCCTTCCTTCTTTATTCCTTCCTCCCTTTCTCCCTTCCTTTTTTCACTTTCTCCTCCCTCCCTCCCTCCTTCCCTCCCTCCCTCCTTCCTTTACCATTGGTTCTTCTACCCCCCCCCTTCCTTTCTTACTTCTTACCATCCTTCCTTCACTTGCTCCTTCCTTTTTCCTTCTTTCTTTCTTCCCTCCCTTTCTCCCTTCCTTCTTTCACTTTCTCCTCCCTCCCTCCCTCCTTCCTTCCTTCCTTTGCCATTGGTTCTTCTACCTCCCTCCCTTCCTTTCTTCCTTCTTACCATTCTTCCTTCCTTCACTTGCTCCTTCCATCTTTCCTTCCTGTCTTCTCAGCCAGAAGTCAACACCAAATGAGAGGCCCCTGGTGCAGTTGAGTTAAAAATTGTTTAATTCTGTGTCAACGTTTGTATTCTTAGATTTCAAGTTCCCAGTTGCATTGCTTTACTGGTTAGCCACTTTGAGTCTCCTTTTTAGCGAGATGAAGCAAAATAGATATAATCATAACTGACCAGCGCAGCCCCATGTCTAGCGTTTGGGGTGCCCTTATTTTAAGGCAGGCAAGCACAGAAAATGGCCCCTAGATTGGTGGCTTTGAGTCTATGATTATCCCTCCGAAATGCTTTGAAGAAAGTGATTAAAAGTCAGCCAATGGCCCCAAAAGACTGCTTTGCTTGGGATCCAAATAGACATGAAAAGTCGTGCATTTCCCTTGTTTTCCTTCCTCCGTGCTTCAGCAACAGGATTTGCAAAGTCATGCAATACTTACTTTCCAATGCACATGCAACATAGATAGATAGATACATGTCATAAGCCATGTCCGGTGGCAAACGGATGTCTTTCGTCCCTTGCAAAAGACCCAAAGTGGAGTGTGAGTGGGTTCTTTTCTTTGCCGAATGGCTCTGTGGTCACTCACTGCTTCCTCTCTCCTCTCTGCCATCTCTCTCTTCCTCCTCTTCCTTCTAGCTTCGCAAACTCATTAGCGACTTTTCTATCTTCATGTCCATTCTCATGTTTGTCGGTCTGGACATTTTGTTTGGGCTGAACACGCCGAAACTGCAAGTGCCTACGGATTTCAAGGTAAAGCGGACCCAACGGCCGGCAAAGGGCCAAGGGGCCCAATGGGGACTCAAGGGTCAGTTTCAGCTGCTGATTCCTCCGCTCTCCAAAGGTGGGAGGGTGGGCTGCATGACCTCCGGAGTCCCCTCCAAGCTGCGCCTGTCCTCACTCTGAAATTGCCTCCCCTGCAATCCATATCAGCCAAGAAGAGCTCCAGTTTGCTCATTGGCCATTACATGTTTCATCGTATATTGATACATCGATAGAAAGATAAATAGAGAGGGAGAGATGCACAGGCAGTCCCCAGGTGACAAACAAGAGAGGTTCTGTAGATTTGTTCTTTAGTTGAATTTGTATGCAAGTTGGAACAGGGACATGTATGTGGGGTGTGTGTGTGTAGACAAGTTCCATCTTGTCTCCTGCATATGCCATCAGCTGGAGACCCAATGTATGTCCTTCACTCAAAAAAATTGATTTTGTCATTTGGGAGTTGTAGTTGCTGGGATTTATAGTTCACCTACAATCAAAGAGCATTCTGAACTCCACCAACGATGGAATTGGACCAAACTTGGCACACAGAACTCCCATGACCAACAGAAAACACTAGAAGGGTTTGGTGGGCATTGACCTTGAGTTTGGGAGTTGTAGTTCACCTACATCCAGAGATCACTGTGGACTCAAACAATAATGGATCTGGACCAAACTCTACACGAATACTCAATATGCCCAAATGTGAACACAGGTGAAGTTTGGGAAAAATAGAATCTTGACATTTGGGAGTTGTAGTTGCTGGGATTTATAGTTCACCTACAATCACAGAGCATTATGAACACCACCAACTTTAGAATTGGGCCAAACCTCCCACACCGAACCCCCATGAGGGCCACAGCAACGCGTGGCAGGGGACGGCTAGTAATCTATATAAATAAAAATGTAATGTTCATTTGTGGGATTAACATAACTCAAAAACCACTGGATGAATTGATACGAAATTTGGACACTACACCCCTAACAGACCAACAAGTAACCATCACTCATAAAAATCCCCCCAAAACAGCAGAAAGGACTTCAAAACTCAAAAAGGGAAGGAAGAGGGAGGGAAGGAAGGGGAGAAAGAAAGAAAGAAAGAAAGAAAGAAAGAAAGAAAGAAAGAAAGAAAGAAAAGAAAGAAAGAAAGAAAGAAAGAAAGAAAGAAAGAAAGAAAGGACAAGAAAGAAGGAAAGAAGGAAGGAAGCATGGAAGCATAGAGCAAAAGAAAGCAAGGACAGGCAGGGAAGGAAGGAGCGAAAAAGGAAGTAAAAGAAAAAGGGCGGATGGAAGAAATGAGGTAAAAGAAGGAAGGAAGGAAGGAAGGAAGGAAGGAAGGAAGGAAGGAAGGAAGGAAGGAAGGAAAGAGGGAGTGAAGGAAGGAGGGAAAGGAGGAGATAAAGAGGGAGGGAAGGAAAGAAGAAAAGAGAGAAGGAGGGGTGGAAGCAAAAAGCGAAGGAAGGAAAGAGATAGAGAAGGAAGAAAGGAGAGAAAGAGATATGAAAAGAAATAGGAGGAAGAAAGGAAAGAGGTAGAGAAAGAAGGAAGAAAGGAAAGAAGGAAGGAGAGAAGGAATGAAGAAAAGGGAAGGAAGGAAGGAAAGATGGAGCAAAAGAAGGATGGAAAGAAGGAGAGAAAAAGAGAAGGAGGGTACAGCTAGTATAATATAATATATTGTATATACATGTAATATTTATAATATTGTAATGTAATGCAATATAATACTAATAATAATATGATATTAAAATTATATATTTATATTACATGTGATATTACTAATAATATGACGATATAGTGGTATGGTGCAATGTAGCAATGTTTAATGCTGATATTGTGCTATGCTAATAATATAATATATTGATATCCCTTGAAAGCCGCTCTGAGTCCCCTTCGGGGTGAAAGGGGGGGCATATAAATAAATAAACAAACAAACAAACAAACAAACAAACATGCAGTCTTTGGATAGCATAGGGAAGGGCTGATGCCCAAAGCATGAATGTGCATATAATATGTGTGTATATGTGTATGTATGGATGTGTGTGTGTATGTGTGTGTGTGCTGTCTCTGCCCCTGTTCAGAAGATTCCACATAACTTTCTCTCTGATAATTTGATTTTAAGAAATGTAGCTTTTTGTGGAAACAAGGATTGGGGATAAAGCTTCAGTAATAATAATTCTTTCAGAAGAGGATTTCCCTTCTTAAAGGTAGATTCCTTTCACTTCCTGCAGATTCAACACTATTCTTAACTGTGAGCTATTTGTAAGCTGGATGTTTGTAACTCGGGGACTACCTGTGCATGTGTGTATACAAACACACATGTATTTAGGGATATGTGACATGCATATAGCCACCTGCTCAGAGCCAGTGCGGTGGTGGTGCATTCGGGGGCGTGTGGCTCTGTGTACCGAGATGTGTTCTGCGCACCCAATCCTGGTGTCCTTGCCCTCTTGCAGCCAACCCGCCTGGACCGGGGATGGTTTGTGTTCCCCTTTGGGAAGAATCCCTGGTGGCTCTACCTGGCCAGCGCCCTCCCGGCCCTCCTGGTCACCATCCTCATCTTCATGGACCAGCAGATCACCGCCGTCATCGTCAACCGCAAGGAGCACAAGCTGCGGGTACGAGCATCTCCATCTTTTTGGGATAGAGCAAATAGGAAATGATATGGATAACCCAGGAACAAAAAACACAGTGCGACAGAGTGTAATGTAGCACTGTCCCTCCTTCCTGCTGCAGAAAGCGGCCGGCTACCACCTGGACCTCTTCTGGGTGGGCATCCTGATGGCGATCTGCTCCTTCATGGGCCTGCCCTGGTACGTGGCGGCCACTGTCATCTCCATCGCCCACATCGACAGCCTCAAGATGGAGACCGAGACCAGCGCCCCTGGCGAGCAGCCACAGTTCCTGGGTGTCAGGTGAGAGCGGTGGCACGTTGTCAGAGTTGGACCAAAACCACTGTGCTAAGAGGCTTGCCAGGTAGATGTAAGAGCAACACGAGAAGGCAGCAACTTTAGTTTATGAATATCCCAACACGGTGTCCAAGATGTCTTTTCTGCCCACTCTAATATCCAATCCATATTTGGTGTTTGGGAACCTCAAAGCAATGATGACAGGTCTTGCCAACTTGTTTTCAAGGGTGCCTGGCGGACTTGAAGAGGTTGAGTTCTGGCAGATTTGGCATAGCAGCAGGACAAGAGGGAGGTGTTTCTTGTATTGCTGGAATCACTGGGTTGTTGTAGGTTGTTTGGGCTGTATGGCCAAGTTCCAGAAGCATTCTCTCCTGATGTTTCCCCTGGATCTATGGCAGGTATCCTCAGAGGTTGTGAGGTCTGTTGGAAACTAGAAAAATTGGGTTTATATATCTGTGGAAAGTCCAGGGTGGGAGAAAGAACTCTTGTCTGCTGGAGGTAGGTGTGAATGGTTCAGTTGCCACCTTGATTAGCATTTGATGGCCTGACAGTTTTTAGGTGTGCCCTGTTACTGCCTGGGAAAATTCTTTGTTGAGAGATGATTAGCTGTTTGTCACGTTGCCGGGACTCTACCTTGTTTAGGTAGAGATGAACCAAACTCCCAGTTTTATCAAATAGTTTAATTAAAACAGCACTTACTTGCTGGCTGTTTTAATAGATCAAAACATAAAACATAAAGATAGTAAAAACAACTCTAGTCTGAACATGTGCAGAGCCAAACAATTACACTTTAAGTGTCTGCAGCCTTTGGAACTCTCTGCTGCAGGCACGAAGGGAATACATAATTTTGCCCCGGGGGGGGGGTTCATTCAACACCATTGAATCCTGGGGGCTGTAGTTTGACAAAGGAGGCGGATGCCTCTCCAAATTACACATCCCAGCATTGCATTGCATTGAGTCAATGCAATTAAATCCCTCAAGGAGGAACTCCAAGTGCAGCTTTGGCTTGGCACTAACTTTGATCAGTTTGATGCAAATCTAATGCATACACCAAGTCATTTAGCCCAAAAAGTTGAGCATTAGATTTGAGTAATTGTTGTTGTTGTTGTTTCTTCCCCTCCCCACCATCCTGCCTTTTACTAGCCACCTCCACAAGACAAAGAAAGCCTTACATTAGGTTGTTGTAGGTTTTTTGGGCTATATGGCCATGTTTTAGAGGCATTTTCTCCTGACGTTTCGCCTGCATCTATGGCAAGCACCCTCACTACCTCTGAGGATGCTTGCCATAGATGCAGGCGAAATGTCAGGAGAAAATGCCTCTAGAACATGGCCATATAGCCTGAAAAAACCTACAACAAACCAGTGATTCCGGCCATGAAAGCCTTCGACAAAGCCTTACAATAACTCTGCTACTTTGCACAGCTTGGGTCTCATAGAGACTTCTCAGAGCAAGATAGGAATAGCACTGGAGTAGTGTAAATGTGTTTTCTTGCACACGTTTCAAGCAGAATCTGTGCAAATTATCTGAGAATCATGCAATTTGCGGGTCATTGCCTCGACCTGAGCAAATCAGGGGAATCTGCAAATGAAACAGAGGCATTGCATTTCCTCTTTTTGTCCTTTCCCAGGGAGCAGCGGGTCACCGGCATCATCGTCTTTGTGCTGACAGGGATCTCGGTCTTCCTGGCACCGATATTGAAGGTACAATGGTCCCATTTCCACAGAACTGTTTTGCGTAGTCATAGTTTGAGGGTTGATTTGGATTCATGGAAACCGTAACATAGGTTTGGCTTTGGAATGCTGTTCATTGGAAATAACCTGAAAGCACAGAACATGGGTTTAGCAAATAGGTTTAGCCAATGGATTTAGCAAGGTAGGTAAAGGTTGTCCCCTGACATTAAGTCCAGTCATGTCTGACTCTGGGGTGTGGTGCTCATCTCCATTTCTAAGCCGAAGAGCCAGCGTTGTCCATAGACACCTCCAAGGTCATGTGGCCGGCATGACTGCATGGAGCGCTGTTACCTTCCCGCCGGAGCGCTACCTATTGATCTACTCACATTTACATGTTTTCAAACTGCTAGGTTGGCAGAAGCTAGGGCTGACAGCGGAAGCTCACGCCGCTCCCTGGAATCGAACCTGCGACCTTTTGGTCAACAAGCTCAGCAGCTCAGTGCTTTAACCCACTGCGCCACCGGGGGCCCACAAGTTGGGTAATGGTTTTAAGAATGTTGCCAAATTGTGTACCCTAAAGGGAAATATGAGCAAAACATTGTCAACAGATGTGAGATTTGGTCATCCTTGAGAAAGAGCGCATGTTTTCCTCATGTTTTTGTGCATTGCTTTTACGCCTCCCCAAAACTTGACAGAATTGAATTGGTTTCTCCCATTTGGAGCAGACCCATTGAACTTAATTCTGGAGCAGACCCATTGAACTTAATTAAGTCCCCTTGATTCCATCGATCTTCTGTAGTTGAAATGAAGAGTCGGGTCCGCGCCAATGTTTCTGTGCAAAAAAGAAATCCAAATGTGTTGCACGGGGTTGTCTTGGAGCATCTCAATTGGGGTTTTGTTGCATTGCCAAGGGCCCTGTGCAAGATATTGCTAGCCAAATTCTTTAAAGGGCAAACGAGGCCAACAGGCCATGGAAGAAAGACATGGCGGCTGCATCCCGATAAGGAGCCTCTTCTTTCCTCTCTCTGTGCAGTACATCCCCATGCCGGTGCTTTATGGGGTCTTTCTCTACATGGGAGTCGCCTCGCTCAATGGCATCCAGGTAGGAACCTCGGTTATCCTTTGCACCGTGTTGCTACCTCTCTGTGCCTTTTCTCCCCAGTTCTTGTTCCCTTTCTGCCTTTCTTTGTGCTTCGATGTGTCCTGCTGGAAATCCTCAGGGATTTGGGGCCAAAATCTCCAGGAATCCTCTCTATCTCTGGTGATAATTTTTGAGTGCAACAGAGTGTTTTCAGGCCTCTGTCTGCAATGCCATTATTTTAGCATTCTGCCTTCCAAGACACTATCTTCTGGGTATCTGGTGCTTGGCCGATGTGACGGTCTGGATGAGGGCGAATACCGTATATACTCTAGTACAGTGGTTCTCAACCTTCCTAATGCCGCGACCCCTTAGTCCAGTTCCTCATGTTGTGGTGACCCCCAACCATAACGTTATTTTCGTTGCTACTTCATAACTGTAATTTTGCTCCTGTTATGAATTCTAATGTAAATATCTGATCTGCAGGATGTATTTTCAGTCACTGGACCAAATTTGGCACAAATACCTGATATGTCCAAAATTTGAATACTGGTGAGGTTGGGAGTGATTGATTTTGTCATTTGGTAATGCTGGAGTTGCTGGGATTTATAGTTCATCTTAAATCAAAGAGCCTTCTGAACTCCATCAATGATGGAATTGAATCAAACATGGCACACAGAATTCCCATGACCAAGAGAAAATACTGGGAAGGTCTGGTGGAAATTGACCTTGAGTTTTTCGAGTTGTAGTTCACCTATATCCAGACTGTGGACTCAAGCAATGATGGATCTGGATCAAACTTGGCACAAATACTCAATATGTCCAAATGTGAACACTGGTAGAGTTTGGAGAAAATAGACCTTGCCATTTGGGAGTTGTAGTTGTTGGGATTTATAGTTCACCCACAATGAAATAGCATTCTGAACCCCACCAATGATAGAATTGAACCAAGCCTTCCACACAGAACCCCCATGACCAACAGAAAATACTATGTTTTCTGATGGTCTTTGGCGACCCCTCTGACACCCCCTCGCGACCCACACAGGGGTCCCGACCCCCAGGTTGAGAAACACTGCTCTAGTATAAGACGACCGGAATATAAGCGGAGTCACTTAATTTTACTACAAAAACTGGAAAAACGGATTGACTCAAGTATAAACCGAGGGTGAGGAATTCAGAAGCTACTGGTTCATTTAAAAATAGATACCAATAAAATTACATTAATTGAGGCATCAGTAAGTCAAATGTTTTTGAATATTTATATAAAATTGTAATTTAAGATAAGACTGCCCTGACCTTCTTAAATGTAAATGTGCTTACGTATCCTTCCAATAATAATAAAGACAGTAAAATAATAAATGGAATAATAATAATAGTGAAATAATAAATGCAATAACAATCATAGAGTAAAATAAGAAATTTAATGATAACACTTATAAAATAAAATAATGAATGTAATAATAAAGTAAATTGATAACTATAATAATAATAACAACAGTAATAATGACTGAGTAAAATAATAAATAACTTTGACTCAAGTATAAGCCGAGGGAGACTCTTTCAGCCTAAAACAAGGGTTGAAAAACTAGGCTTATACTTGAGTATATACAGTAAATTGAAACTGAATCCAGCCAAAACAGAGGTACTCCTGGTCAGGCAAAAGGTCGAACAGGGCATAGGGTTACAGGCTGTGCTGGATGAGGTTACACTCCCCCTGAAGGCACAGGTTCGCAGCTTGAGACCCGTCCTGGAACCCCAGGTCTCGGTGATGACCAGGGGAGCATTTGCAGTTAAAGCTTGTGCGCCAGCTGCACCCGTACCTTGGGAAGTCTGACTTGGCCACAGTAGTCCACACTCTGGTTACATCCCGTATAGACTACTGCAACACGCTCTACATGGGGTTGCCTTTAAGACTGTTCAGAAGCTTCAAATGGTCCAGCAGGCGGCAGCCAGGTTGCTAACATGAGCAGTGCTCAGGGAGCACACAACTCCCTTGTTACACCAGCTCCACTGGCTGCCGGTCTGCAACTGGGCACAATTCAAAGTGCTGGCTTTAGCCTATAAAGCCTTAAATGGTTCTGGCCCAGCTTACCTGTCCGAACGTATCTCTCCTTATGAACCATCCAGAAGTTTAAGATCATCTGGAGAGGCCCTGCTCTTGATCCTGCCTTCTTCGCAGGGAAGACCCCACTGGGGAGATGGTGGCGGGGTATAAATAAAGATTATTATTATTATTATTATTATTATTTGTCACATGTGGAGGCGTTTGGGCCTTCCCAATTCAACCCAGTCTGGCCCCATGCCTTGATGCTTTTGCCCTTTTCCCTGGCAGTTCTGGGACCGCTGCAAGCTCTTCCTGATGCCAGCCAAGCACCAGCCGGACTACGTCTACTTGCGCCACGTGCCGCTGCGGCGCATCCACCTCTTCACCATGGTGCAGATCGTCTGCCTGGCCGTCCTCTGGATCCTCAAGTCCACCGTTGCCGCCATCATCTTCCCCGTCATGGTACGCCAAACATGGGGGTGTTCTGTGTTTTGTTTCCGGGTCGTGTGGCCAATGTGTTCTATCAGCCGTTTCTCCTTTTTCCAGTTTGCCTCCATCTGTGGCTATTGAAATCTTCATTGGATCTGATGGTAGTCAAGCAAGTGGAGTATAGATAATACAGGGTTGGAGAAAGACCCCTTGTCTGTTAAACAAGTGTAATGGGTGCAATTAGCAAGCTTGGTATGCAAGTGTTGAGCGGGTTTCACCTAGACAAAGGATGTCTCCAGGCAGCAAACAATTCAGAAGAAGCTAGGCTACTTCTAAGCAGATGCCCTCACAATTGACTATGCAATCTTCTCAGTTACTCAGATGCTAATGGGTGGATCCAATTCAAACACTTGCAAATCTAGCTTGCTAATTGCAACATTCACACTTGCTTCAAACAGACAAGGCTTCTTCCTCCAACCCTGGACATCATTCCACAGGTAGATATGTACCGTATATACTCGATTTGCTTAGTTTTTATTATATGTTATATTTTTAATTGTATTTATGACATTGTAAGCATTGAATTTTGCCCTGTTAACCGCCTTGAGTCGCCTATGGGCTGAGAAAGGTGGCACACAAATACAGCAAATAAATAAATAAATAAATAAATAAATAAATAAATATATATCACCTTGACCACATGGCCCAGAAACCACACAACACCCTGTTATTGTTTGTTCTGTATGTAATAGGTATGTGTATGTGTATATCTATATCTATATCTTAGCTTCGGCTGGCCCTGTGGGGTTTCCTTTGCTGTCTGTACTCCTGTTCAGATTTCACCTCTCTTCCTGTCCTTGTGAAAATTGGGTTTTGTAAAATGTGGCTTGTTGTAGAAACAAGGATTGGGGATAACGCTTCATGGAAGGAGGTGTTCTTGGAAGACATGGATTATCTGGATCTGTCACAGTCTGGCTTTAGGCCAGGACATGGAACTGAAACAGCCTTGGTCGCCTTAGTGGAGGATCTACGCCGGGAACTGGACAGGGAGAGTGTGTCCCTGTTGGTTCTGGTAGACCTCTCAGTGGTCTTCAATACCATAGACCACGGTATCCTTCTAGGGTGCCTCGCAGGGATGGGTCTTGAAGGTACTGTTCTGCAATGGCTTCAGTTCTTTCTGGAGGGTCATTCCCAGAAAGTGTTGTTGGGAGACACCTGCTTGACCCCACAGCCATTGCTCTGTGGGGTCCCGCAAGGTTCAATATTATCTCCCATGTTGTTTAACACCCACATGAAGCCATTGGGGAGATCATCCGGAGTTTTGGAATTCAATGTCACCTGTATGCAGATGACATTCAACTCTATCACTCCTTTCCACCTGCAACTAAGGAAGCTTTTCAGGTCACAGTAGCCGTGACAGTCTGGATGACAACGAACAAATTGAAATTGAATCCAGACAAGACAGAGGTCCTCCTGGTCAGTTGAAAGGCTGAACTGGGTATAGGGTTACCACCTGTGCTGATGGGATTACACTCCCCTTGAAGGCGCAGATTCACAGTTTGGACCCATTGCTGAGCCTGGAACCCCAGGTCTCGGCAGTGGCCAGGAGATCTTTTGCACAATTAAAACGTGTACGTTAGCTGCGCCCATATCTTGGGAAGTCTGACTTGGCCACAGTGATCCATGCTCTGGTTACATCCTGTATAGATTGCTGCAATGCGCTCCACGGAGGGTTGCCTTTGAAGACTTGTTTTGAATTGGTCCAATGGGTGGCAGCCAGGCTGCTCACTGGAGTGGCATACAGGGAGCACACAACCCCCCTGTTGCATCAGCTCTATCGGCTGCCAGTCTGCTACCGAGCACAATTCAAAGTGCTAGCTTTAGCTTATAATTGCCCAGCCTACCTGTCCAAACGTATCTCCCCCTATGAACCTTCTCGGAGATTAAGATTGTCTAGGGAGGCCCTGCTCTTGGTCCCCCCTTTTTTGCAAGCACGGTTAGTGGGGCCGAGAGACAGGGCCTTCTCAGTGGTGGCCCCTCAGTTGTGGAACTCCCTCCTTAGTGATATCAGAGCAGCCCCCTCCCTCCTAGTGTTTAGAAAGAGAGTCAAAACCTGGCTCTGGAAGCAGGCGTTTGAAAAATAGAGCAGTGCAGGAATGTTAGTATGGAATATGTGCAAGTTGACTACGGATTGGCCTTTAGACTACGAATCTGGGTGACATGATTCATTGAAATGTAATTTTATTATACTTATTATGTTTTAATTTTTAACTTATGTTTTAACTGATGTTGTACGTTTTAAGGAGGTGTGACTGTAAGCCGCCTTGAGTCCCCCTTGGGGAAAGTAGGATTCAAATAAGATTAATTAGTTAATTAATTGGAAACCTATTTTTCCCATGGTAATAACCCTTCCAGAAATGAATTTCCTTTCTGAGGAGTAGATTTCTCTCACTTACTGTTGTCTCAGCCTCATTGTTCTTAACTAAGAGTTGCTTGCAAGTTGGCTGTTTGTAACTCGGGACAGCCTGTATAAGAAACCCTGAACCAAGATTCCTACTGTCTGATGCCTCCCTCTGTTTCTCAGATCCTGGCCCTGATCCTGGTGCGGAAGATGCTGGACTTTGTCTTCTCACAGCACGACTTGGCCTGGATCGACAACATCATCCCCGAAAAGGACAAGAAGAAGGAGGACGACACGAAGAAGAAGGGCAAGAAGGGCAAGGGCGGTGGCAGCAAAGGCAGCGGCAGCAAAGGGGAGGACGACAGCTCCGATGAGGTGAGTGGGCCCTGCCATCCCCTTGCAGCCCAATGCGGAAATCCTGGCTAAGCCCCCAAGTTCTGCAAAAGGAACCCGGATCAGAAAGGAAACCGTAATTCTGATTCCGGAATAGTTGCTTCTATGGGTTGGGTTTCCCTTCCCCCAAATGCTCACGATTTTGGATTTCTTTGGGTTCTGGAATATTTCCATATACAGGTTTAGTCTCCCTTTTTTCCTGAAATGCTTGGGGCCAATCGTTTCTCCTATTTCTGATTTTTTTGGAATATTTGCATAGACATAAGACAATTTTGGAGACCCAAATTGGAACGCAGCATACGCCTGATACATATACCCTGAAAGTCACTTTATACGCAGTACTTTTTAAATAATGAAAGTTTACCCCTTTATGGCCCAATGCGGAAATCCTGGCTGAGCCCCCAAGTTCTAGACTGCCTTTTGCAGGGAGGAAAATGGCTGCAGGCTGAGCAGTGTCTCTTAGATGCAAAAGGCTTGGGACCAAAAGAGTCCCGTGATCCTGATTCCAGAATAGTTGTTACTATGGGTTGAGTATCCTTTCCTCCAAATGCCCAAGGCTTCGGATTTCTTTGGGTTTTGACATATACAGATTGAGTTTCTCTTTTTTCCTGAAATGCTTGGGACCAAACGTGCCTCATGTTTCAGCTTCTTTTGGGGAATATTTGCATAGACCCAAATCGATGGGCACATTCCCTCTACACCTTGTGTACATAACCTGAAAGTCACTTTATGCACAATATTTTTTAATAATGAAAATGTTCAATAATCATGATAACTATTGCTATTTTATTGTTAATAAAATTATTAATGCAATAATAAAAATAACAATAATAATAATAAATGGTGGGGTGTAAGTAGTTGATAAAGATAATTACAATTTTATTATTAATAAACAATTAATAAAATTATTATTAGTATAACCGTTATAAAAAGGCAGGGTTTAAATGGTTAATAATAACTAATATTTTATTATCAATACAATTATTGTTATAATGATTAGTAGTATTTTATTAATACACTATTAATGTTATTATTATCATTATTATTATGAAAAGATGATATAAATAGTTAAAAATGATAATGATAATAATAATAATAATAATTTTATTAACTAATTTTACCTACATTATTATAATATATTATGAATAAATTATTATTATAAAAGGTAGGATAAAAATTGTTAATAATTATTATCATAATTACTGTTATTTTATCTATATAAATAAAAATGTAATGTTCGTTTGTGGAATTAACATAACTCAAAAACCACTGGACGAATTGACACCAAATTTGGACACAATACACATATTAGGCCAACGAGTGACCGTCACTCATAAAAACACACAAAACACATATACACAGACTGGGCCACAGCAACACGTGGCAGGGGGTGGCTAGTTATTAATAAAATTATTATTAATAAAATTATTATTAATAAAATTATTACAATAGTAAAAAGCCAGGATATAAATAGTTAATTATAATTTTGGTCATCAAAATGGGTGAAATATTCATGAGGCAGTTGCTCACCATTGCAAAAGGGTTCTCATTCATTCATAATGGGAGTGCTCTAGGAAGGGGAATGTTGTCGTGTAACCTGGAATGCTCCCAATGTTGACCAGGATGCGCCCAGTTCTAGGTCCGTCTTGCCTGCCGAGCTTTGCATTGCCCAGATCTTGGAAGCTAGCCTAGAATAACGTGCCTCTTTCTTGCAGCCCACGTTCCCCACTCCTACTGCCATCACCATCTCCTTGGACCCCATCCTGTCAGAACCCCAAAACAGTATCCGTTGCGTCCCCAGTAAGTAGCCCCTCCGGACGCTATCTGCTCGCACACCTTTCTAGCTTTAGCCAGGAATTTCTTAACACCAGAAGCCAATGAGCCGAACGGCCCATTTCCAGCTCATTTCTGCTATCACTAAGCAGACTAATCCATCTTGCAGTCTGGTTTCCAAAGTTTGGGAAATATGGCCATGAGGGACCTAGTCATAGAACAGTAGAGAGAGAAGGGAGCAGAAACTTCTCCATAGATGTTTTTCAATTAGAAGCTGTCCCCTTCGGGGTTGAGAATAGTATAGGAAGTAAGGAAGTAAGTAAACACATTCCGACATAATGGCAGAAAGAAGGGGTTGGGTTGGATGGCCCTTAGAGGTCCCTCCCAGTCTGGTATTCTGTGGCCCTCTATTCCATCCCAAACCAAGCCAGAGAATTGACCACTTGACTTCTGCTGGGAAACAGCCACCAAAAAATGGTCCAACATTTCGGTTCTGCGGTCCAAAGGCGCTTCTTCCCTTCCGGAAGGTCTTCCTAGTAGTTTGCTGTGAAGAGTTGTGTCCAAAGGGGTTTTAGGGCCATTGCATTGGAGCTTTGGACTGAAAAGGGGAGCAGATCCTCAAAGGGCAAACTGCGGGTGGGATGGGACCCAGACCCATTTGGCAACGACCTCCAAAGGCCGTCTTACCAAATAAATCCAAAGATGACTTTGGTCAGGTTTGGCAGTGAGCAAAGGCCTCTTTTGGGTCAAGGCAAACATCAAAGAGGTAGAGAGGCATCCTCAGAAAGAGTGGCTTTGTCCTTTGGCCATATTTCCTTTAGCACCCTTCCTTCCTTTCTCTTCTTTCTTCCTCTCTCCTTTAATTCCTCTCTTCCTTCCTTCCTCTTCTTTCCTTTTCCCCTCCCCCTCTCCTTTCCTTTCTCTTTTTTCCTCCCTCCCTCACCCTTCGTGCTCCCTTCCTTTTTCTCTTCTTTCTTCCTTCTCTCCTCCCTTCCTCTTTTCCTTCCTCTTTTCATCCTTCCTCACTCAATTCCTTCCTCTCTCACTCATCTTTCTTCCTCCCTTCTTTTTTTCCTTTTTCCTCCCTCCCTCATCCTTCCTGCTCCCTTCCTTCCTTCATCTTTTCCTTCCTTCTTCTCTCTACCTTCCTTCTCTCCCTCTCTCCTTTCCTTCCTCTTTTCTTCCTCCCTCCCTCCTTTTCTTTCTTACCCATCCTTCTTACCTTTCCCCCCTCTTTTTTCCTCCCTCCCTCATCTTTCCTGCTCCCGTTCTTCCTTTTCTTCCTTCATCTTTTCTTCCTCCCTCCCTCCTTTTCTTCCTCTTACTCATCCTTCCTACCTTTTCTTCCTCTTTTTCCTCCCTCCCTCATCTTTCCTGCTCCCTTCCTTCCTTTTCTTCCTCCCTCCTTTTCTTCCTCTCTTACTCATCCTTCCTACCTTTTCTTCCTCTTTTTTCCTCCCTCCATCATCCTTCCTGCTCCCTTCCTCCCTTTTCTTCCTTCCTTCATCTTTTCCTTCCTCTTCCTTTCTCTCCCTTCTCTCTCTCTCTCCTTTCCTTCCTCTTTTCTTCCTCTCTTACTCATCCTTCCTACCTTTTTTCCCTTTTTTCCTCCCTCTCTCATCCTTCCTGCTCCCTTCCTTCCTTTTCTTCCTTCCTTCCTCTTTTCTTCCTTTCTCTCTTTTCTCTCCCTCTCTCATTTCCTTCCTCCTTTCTTCCTCCCTCCCTCCTTTTCTTCCTCTCTTACTCATTCTACCTGTTCTTCCTCTTTTTTCCTCCCTCCCTCATCTTTCCTTCTCCCTTCCTTTCTCTTTTCTTCCTTCCTTCCTCTGCTCTCCTCTCTTTTGCTTTCCACCTCCTCCTGCCCTGCTCTTGCCACGAGACCCCTCTCACAGGGGACTTTCCCACGCCTGTCTTTCTCCACAGGAAAGAGGTCTTCCAGTTGGAACGCTGCGCTCTGATACCTCCCCAAACGAGTCAGACCTGGACCGCAGGTAAACGGTACACGTCACGGGATGGTATGGTATTATACCCTTCCTTTCTTCTTATTCCTACTTGATTCCCCCAAAGACAGGATCCTGAGGCACAAAGGGGCCCAAAGGGCAAGAGTGAAAAGGCAGAAACTCCTCTCTTGTGGAGAGACTGGGAAATTATCAAACCAGACACAATAGATCAGGCATGGGCAAACTTCACCCCTCCAGGTGTTTTGGACTTCAACTCCCACTATTCCTGGCCTCAGGCCCTTTCCTTTTTTCCCTCAGCCACTTAAGAGGATAGGAAAAGGAAAGGAAAGGGCCTGAGGCTATTGGGATTTGTGGGAGTTGGAAAACACCTGTATGGAGAACCAAGGTTTGTCCATGCCTGCAATAGATGCAATAGGTTAGGACACTCTCTATGGCACAGTGGGAGAGAGTCACCAGCAGTTTTTCCTTCAGGTGTTGGTTCTTTAATAGTCTCAAATAAGAATACAATCTTTGCTGGGCCCTCTTCACCAACACTGGCCTAGGTGAGCTCCCTCCGAACAATGACCACCTGTTCCGCTTGATCCACATGTATAACTTTGACCCTACCCCATAATTCTCTGGGCAGGAGTGGCAATTGTTAGTTCCTTAAAAGTTTCAGATAATACAGTGGTGCAGTGGGTTAAACCGCTGAGCTGCTGAACTTAGTGACCAAAAGGTCACGTATTCGAATCTGGGGAGCGGGTGAGCTCCTGCTGTTAGCCCCAGCTTTTGCCAACCAAGCAATTGTGAGTAGATCAATAGGTACCACTCTGGCGGGAAGGTAAGGGTGCTCCATGCAGTCATGCCAGTGGCCACATGACCTTGGAGGTATCGACAGACAACACCGGTTCTTCACCTTAGAAATGGAGATGAGCACCAGATTCGGACACGGCTGTGCTTAATGTCAGGAGAAAACCTTTACCTACAGTGTCTGCTGGGCCCTCTTCACCAACAAAACAACAAGTCTTAAAGAACAGAGCACCCAGGGAGTTAAAACTGACCATACAATAGAATAGAATGAACTGTATTGTGAGGTCTTCCTGAACAATACAGTTGTTTAGGGTCTCCTTAGTATGTGCCAGGGGCTAAGGTGCCCATTTGGTGCCTTTGAGAAGTTTAGGGTCTCCTTAGGATGTGCCAGGGGCTAAGGTGCCCATTTGGTGCCTTTGAGAAGTTGTTTAGGGTCTCCTTAGTATGTGCCAGGGGCTAAGGTGCCCATTTGGTGCCTTTTTGACGTTGTTCAGGCCCTCTTTAGTGTGTGCCAGGGTCCACTCTGCCCATTTGGTTTCTTTTAGAAGTTGTTTAGGGTCTCCTTAGTATGTGCTAGGGGCTAAGGTGCCCATTTGGTGCCTTTTAGAAGTTGTTCAGGGCCTCTTTAGTGTGTGCCAGGGTCCACTCTGCCCATTTGTAGCTCCCAGGGACTTAAAACGGCCATGCAGTAGAACAGAATAGTTCTATTGTCAGGTCAGGTCTTCCTCAACAATATTAAACCCAGGGACTTAAAATTGGCCATACAATAGAATTGGATTGTCAGGTCAAGTCTTCCTGAACAATAGAGCACCCAGGGGTTTCAAACTGGCCTCTTACTCCACTCGACCTCCATTGGTCCCTAATGCCCAGGTTTCTGCTCTGGAAGGGACCTCAGACCTCCCCTAGCACAGGGCTCCTCCGTTTTCCTCCCTCCTGACCCTCTTTTCCATGTCTCCCGCCCTTGCACAGCATCACACTCCACTTGAAGATCTCCTGCCCGACTTCTCCGGCCTTCGGCTACTCCCCCCGCAGCCCCCTCTGCGCTGTCCCGCAGGTCAAGATCGAGATGGAGTCCGACTACGAAGACACCGACACCGAGAAGCACGGGCGGGACATGGGCAGCGAGACCACCCTATAGTCCCAGCATCCCTTCCTTCCCTATAATATATAGAAAGATTATAGAGACACGCCAGCCATATTTGGTTTTCTACGTGCAAGACAGAGGAGAGGGTCCTGTTCCTCCTCTGCCGTTTGTGGACGGACCTCTCTCCTGTTTTTGGACAGGACCAAACTGGACTCTTCCTTGCAAGACCCACTGAAGGATACTTCTCCCTGGACTTTAGGAACTTCATGGGAGCAAAGGAACGGGTCCAACTGCTTTTGGGGAAACTTACAGCTTGAACATCCTCTGCACCCGATCTTCCCAAGCTGGATCTTCCGCCTCTTCTTATTTTACAGCTTTCTCCAAGCCTTTAAAACCATTCCAGCCCTAAAAGAATCCTGGTCAGGTGACTCTTTGAAGACCTGCTCTTGGCACAATTTGCAAACCATTGTTTTTGCACACAGAAACAGCACTTTTGTGTAAGAGCTGGTCAGCTTTTGATCTCACCAAGAAAACGTGTTCTGCTCATTAAGAAAACATGAGCATTCCACCAGAGGCATTTTTCTTCGTAAACTCCACATGCAATTGCATCGAATAGGAAAACAGCAGTTGTCTGCACGGAAAACAGCGTTTTTGTACGAGATAAGATTTTAGCTTGTCTAGCAAATGAAATGAGGGCATTTCTGCTCCTTAAAATATAAGCTTCCATTAGAGAATCCCAGGCGTGGTTGATTTGCCTAGTAAACAGAAGTGATTTTTCTTTATGGAATACAGCAGTGGTTCTCAACCTGGGTGTCGGGACCTCTGGGGGGTGTCGCGAGGGGGGTGTCAGAGGGGTCACCAAAGAGCATCAGAAAACACAGTATTTTCTGTTGGTCATTGGGGTTCTGTGTGGGAAGTTTGGCCAAATTCTATCATTGGTGGGATTCAGAATGCTCTTTGATTGTAGGTGAACTATAAATCCTAGCAACCACAACTCCCAAATGTCATGGTCTATTTTCCCAAAACTCCACCAGTGTTTGCTTTTTGGTATACTGAGTATCTGTGCCAAATTTGGCCCAGTTCCATCATTGTTTGAGCCCACAGTGCTCTCTGGATGTAGGTGAACTACAACTCCAAAACTCAAAGTCAATGTCCATCACACCCTTCCTCTGGATGGGTTTTCTGTTGGTCATGGGAGTTCTGTGTGCCAAGTTTGGTTCAATTCCATCGTTGGTGGAGTTCAGAATGCTCTTTAATTGCAGGTGAACTATAAATCCCAGCAAGTACAACTCCCAAATGACAAAATCAACCCCCCGCAAACCCCACCAGTATCCACATTTGTGTATTGGGTATTTGTGCTCAGTTTGGTCCAATGAATGAAAATACCATCTCAGATATTTACATGACGATTCATAACAGTAGCAAAACGACATTTATGAAGTAGCAACGAAAATGTTATGGTTGGGGGTCACCTCAACAGGAGGAACTCAATTAAGGGGTCACGGCATTAGGAAAGTTGAGAAGCACAGGAACCCTGTGTGAATTTTGCACAGAATCAACTCTGAATTGGGGACAACCCTCAAAAATGGCGGGGCTTTCAAATACTTTCTTGCAGCAGAAAACAATTGTCAGAGTTCAGTCGTGGCCCAATGCAAGGGAGGAATCCCATTGTCCCAGATTAACGGAGACTGGGATTGTCCCTTATGAGGAAGGTACTCGGGGTTGGGTAAAAACCTTTCCAATCTATTCAGTTCCCGAGAAAGGTAAACTCACGTAAGTGTTGTTGAAGGCTGTCAGAGAGGAATCACTGAGTTGCTGTGAGTTTTCCGGCCTGTCTGGCCATGTTCAAGCAGCATTCTCTCCTGACCTTTTGCCTGCATCTGTGCCTAATGGCATCTTTAGAGGTTCTGTTGGCAATGAAGCAAGTGTATAAATATCCCCGTGGAATAATGTCCAGGGTGGGAGAAAGAACCCTTCTCTGTTCAAGAAAGTGTGGAGGTTGCAATTAGCCAGCTTGAATAGCATTCAGTAGCCTCCTTCCTGTAGAGGGGTTCCCCAGAATGCTCAGCCGCAGATCCTTCATGAATTTGCAAAATTCCGGTTTCTTTCCTCTGAAACAATGCTGTCCTTCTAAGCAAGAGCTTTTTGTGTACAGAAGCCTGCTTTCAATATCGGTTCCTTGTAATAACTTTGTAAATACTAAAGTTGAAGGTGAAACTTGAATTTATTATCCTGTTTATCATCATGTGATTTGGATCAGGTTCCCACTAGCGGCTAAAGAACTGATTGCTTTCTTCTTCTTTTTTTGGTCTTTTTTTGCTGTAGTCACTATTTGAACTTGGGCGGGAGGACTTTGTACATTTCCCTCCCACCTTTTAAAGGGGCAGGACAATCGGCACCCAATCCTTTTAGCCTGTTCTTACCATAATGTTACAAATAGGTTATGCAAACCCAAAAGGGCACCCATGAAGCTGCGTTCTCAACATACGTGGCACTGCGGTTCTCAAAAAATACACCACATTCTCACTGAAGCATATGTCGTATTTCCTCGAAAATAAGACCCAGTTGAAATTTGTAGGCCAAACGGATGCATTTGGTACATCTGTTGCAACACATGATGGATGAATTGAATCGTAAGATAATAATAATATATATATATAACTCTTGAATATGTTATTGAAATAATATATGATGACAGTGTTCCAGAAAATGACATGACTGTATTTGAATAAATGTAGATTGTTGCACATGGAAATAATTAAGCCAACTCTTGCAAATAAGCCCTAACTCCTCTTTTGGAGCAAAAATTAATAGAAGACCCAAGTCTTACTTCCGGAGGAAAACTATCCATCTATCCATCCATAAACTCACTGATTGTTTCAACAGGAACAGACTTGCAAACCTTGTTTTCCACTGTGGTACAACACTCGCCATTTGTATTATTCTAATGCATTATAATAAATTCTTGAATCTCCTCCGCCGCTTGTGATGTCTTCCTTAAAAGAGACCTTGGGCATTTTATTATATCTATTAGGCTTGTGCATAATTTCGTTTTTAATTAGCATTTCGGATCAAATTTGTTAAATTCGTGCATATGAACAGATATCCGAAATAGGTAGGATTTGCGTTTTCGGTTTTACTCTGTTGTAATTTGTTGTTTGGGCTTGGCCTCATGTAAGCTGCTCTGAGTCCCAATCGGGGAGATGGTGGTAGGGTATAAATAAAGATTATTATTATTATTATTATTATTATTATTATTATTATTATTATTGGAAATGGGGAGGGGGAATTTAGAAATCGAAACAGTCACCAATCATTTTCATTAATGTTCTGTAACATTCGGATGCCTCCCAAGGTCAGTTTAATTTTCAGTGTAAGCATTAAGCAACTTTGACAAAGCCAAGAGAACATAAAGTGCTTGCTTTAAAAACTAATCCTTTTACTTTGGCGCAATCACCAGAAGGTAGGCACTGTGTGTGATTGGGGGGGGGGGGGCTAAACTTAAAGGGTGGGAGACTGAGAAGATGGCAAGCGAGCCCCCCAGTGGCAGACTGCAAAAGGCCCTGCTTTCAACTACATTTCCCAGAATGCAGTGCTCAGCATTGGGATGCAGCAGCTAGCCATCCATTTACATAAATAAAATAGTTGAACCTGCAAAGGGGACTAAGGTACGGACGTCATAGTATTAATCTGTGCTAAGTTGAAGTTCTGTGGTTGTGTGTCATTAAGACAGGCAGGCATTCCAGGGGATTGATTGGGTCACTTTTTAGAAGGATACGTTGTTTTTGTCCAAACTTTTTAAAATCCTCAAAAATCTGTCAATGCATGAATCTTTCTGAAACGTCTGGGGAGGGGTGGCCTAGTTATCGTGTGCATTGTACACTCAATTCAAGGAGATCGCTCTTCAAGGTTTTTTTTTATAATGTTTATAAAAACTTTTAAAATGCCCCAAAATCTGTGGATGAGTGAAACGTTCTGGAATTTGGTGGGCTCACAGTGGTCAGTGTGTTCTACCACTGTAGCAAGTTTCACCCCAATAGCTTTTAAAATGAGGGAGGTAGGAGCTCCCATTATAGTAATTATTGAATTAATGAAAACGTGCAATTACTGTAAATCAGGGGTCCTTAAACTAAGGCCCAGGAGCCAGATATGGCCCTACAAGGTCATTTACCCAGCCCTAAGTCTGAAATGACTTGAAAGCACACAACAACAACAATCCTATCACATCAGTCAAAAGCAGGCCCACACTTCCCATTGAAGTACTAATAAGTTTATATTTGTTAAAATTGTTCCTCATTTTAATTATTGTATTGTTTTTAAGTGGTTTTTTTTGGCACTACAAATAAGATATGTGCAGTGTGCATAGGAATTAATTCATGATTTTTTCAAATTATAATCCGGCCCTCCAACAGTTTGAGGGACTGTGACCTGGCCCTCTGTTTAAAATGTTTGAGGACCCCTGCTGTAAATGAAATAGTAATGCACCAGGATTGTGGCGCAGCTGGCTGAGTGTCAGCTGCATTAAGATCACTCTGACCAGAAGGTCATGTGTTCGAAGCCGGGTCGGAGTGAGCTTCCGGCCAATTTTGTGTAGCTTGTTGTCAACCTTTGCAACCCGAAAACAGTTGCATCTGTCAAGTAGGAAAATTAGGTACCACCTATGTGTGGGGAAGCTAATTAACTAATTTATGAGGCCATAAAAAGACTCCAGCAAAAAGCACTCCAGCAAAGCATGCGGGGAATGCGGAAGTACTTCATCAGTGTCACAGATGGACAATGTATGCGACAGCTCCCCTGGCGGCCAGAAAAAGTTAAATAGCCTCTGTGTATGTCTATATATGTTGTATGTATAATTGGCATTGAATGTTTGCCATATATGTGTACATTGTAATCCGCCCTGAGTCCCCTGCGGGGTGAGAAGGGCGGAATATAAAAGCTGTAAATAAATAAATAAATAATAATGAAATTATCGTAATGGGTTTTTCACTAAGGGCCTCATTGCACTAGAGAAAAAATCCACTTAAAATTCAGTTTCTGTCTCCTGCAGAATTCTGGGGTTTGTGGTTTAGGGAGAAGCCTTTAACAGCCTCACTAAATTACAAACCCCAGAATTCTGCAGGAGGCAGAAACCAAATTTTAAGTGGATTTTTTCTCTAATGTGATGAAGTTTTGAGTATACTTTAGAAATGCTTTAGAAACAAAGTGCCAGTGCTGCCCAGTTTTGTAAGTACTTTTGAACCGTTTTTTAATGGATCGCACATGCCGGCTATCTATCTATCTATCTATCTATCTATCTATCTATCTATCTATCTATCTATCTTTCTTTCTTTCTTTCTTTCTTTCTTTCTTTCTTTCTTTCTTTCTTTCTTTCTTTCTTTCTTTCTACCTAAGACTTTAAACAGCACAAAACCATTGCAATGCGGCAGTGACAGGGAGATGTTTGCAAACAGTATTCTGTCCTACTGACAAAATCCCAAAGACAACGAAGGGGGTGCAAGGCTCCTTTTTTATTCAAGCACAAATGGCAACTTCTGCTAATTGCCTATATAAACAGCAAGCTCAGAGGCAAACGCCCGCTAGGTTTGTAACATTCAGGACCGCTCCATCCCTTTAAGAACGCAGAGGGTCGGAGTGCTGGAAATGGCTAGAAATTGCATTGCTAGAAGATAACACGAGTGGGAAAAAATGCTATATAAATAAAGACTTTGTAGAAAACGGAGTGAACCTCTCCCTCCAGCAGAGGTTCAGGAACGATCCTAAGGCAGAGAACGCCGCCTAGAATTGGTTGGTAGAAAACACACATTTTTTTGGCCCTTACGTTATGCCAGAGGCAGCGGGATGCTCTTAGACGAGGCATGGACAAACTTCAGCCCTCCAGGTCGGCTGTTAGGAATTGTGGGAGTTGAAGTCCAAAACACTTGGAGGGAGGGCCAAAGTTGGCCTGTGCCTGCCTTAAACAATGGGAGTTGTGCATAAGGCCCCACTGAAGAGCAATGGCAGCCCTGCTCAATAAATACTTTTTGCTGCTGCCCCTTGGAATGCTGCTGACCGTCTCACAGGGCACGCGCCAGAAAGGGGGTGAGGGCTCAAGCACTGAGGGCGGCCACTTCTGGGGGGCGCAGCATCTTCTTGGCAGCAATGATGGTGTTCTTCATCAGCATGGCCACTGTCATGGGGCCTACGCCACCGGGGACCGGGGTGATGAAGCTGGCCTTCTGCTTGACGCCTGCGGAAAGGAGCAAGTAGAGATGCCGGTGAAGGGCAAGGCCCCAAAACAATACAACCAGGCCAGGTAAGTTTCCCTGCCCAAGGAAACAAGAGCATACAGTAATTGGGTTCTTAACATCAATAAGACCCAGGAGCTTTTAGCAGATTACAAAAGGAATAGATGAGAAATTCAGCCTTTGGTTATAAATGGAGATTTGAGTGGAGCGGGTGGCCAGTTTTTAAGTCCCTGGAAGAAAGGACTAATTGGTGGAGAGGGCCAGGCAAAAGTGCATTCCCTAAATTCATAAAACCCAAAAGCAAACAATGATGACTTCTAATGTGTATCCTGATCCAATGCCCATCCTGGGTGCTGCTGGTTACCTCCGCGAGTGATAAACAAAGCACACTCTCATCCTCACCCTACTTCCTTATGCAATATAATAATAATAATAATAATAATAATAATAATAATAATAACAACAACAACAACGCCACTTTATTTGTACCCCGCTACCATCTCCCCAAGGGACTCAGTGCGGCTTACATGAGGCCGAGCCCAAACACAACAATACAAGCAATAGTCACAACAGAACAAGCAATTAAAATAAAACATAGAAATAAAACATTATTGAATTTTACCAGTTGGATTGTTACTACTAGAAGATACCCATGATGCTCAGGGATTTTTCAAAGTCACAAACGTCACCTATGGACCAAGAAACAATGGCATACAGCCTCTACGCTCATCCAATGGAACCAAACTAATGAAGGACCAAAAATCAATTGCGCTACGTTGGAAATAACACTACCAAAGCCTCCTGAACCGCAGCTCCGAAGAGGCTCTCTTACAAATCCCGCAACAACAAACCAGGGATGAGCTTGCAGCACTGCCTAGTTTAGAAGAAGTCAGCAATGCCATCAACCAACAAAAAAATAACAAAGCCAGCAGACCTGATGGGATCCCTGCTGAAATCTTTAAAGAGGGAGGACCTGAGCTGACACAACAACTCCACCAGCTTATAGAAAAAGTTTGGGTGACCGAGAAAATCCCAGCAGATTTCAAGGATGCCACCATCATCACCCTCTTCAAAAAAGGGGAAAGAACAGACTGCGGAAACTATCGAGGTATCTCCCTTCTAACCTCTGCTGGGAAAATCCTCACAAGAATCCTTGCAAACCGACTTCTACCCCTCTCAGAAGATACCTTCCCAGAATCCCAGAACAACTTCCACCCCTCCAGAGGAACCGTGGACATCATGTGGAGATCATCTTCACTGCACTACAGCTCCAAGAAAAATGCAGGGAACAAAACCAACCTCTGTACATGGCATTCATTGACCTTGCAAAGGCATTTGACACAGTGAATCGCAGCGCTCTCTGGACCATCCTCCAAAAAAATCAGGTGCCCTAACAAATTTGTGAATATCCTGTGGCTCCTCCATGGTGACATGATGGCAACAGTCTTGGACAGCAAAGGCTCCCAAAGTGACCCATTTAAGGTGCAATCAGGTGTCAAACAAGACTATCCTACTCAGCCAACGAGGGATCACCTAAGTAAGTAAGTAAGTATTACTAGAAGACACTCTCCAAAGTATATGTGTGCATGTGTGTATATATGCATACACACATGCATATACTGGAGGCGTAGTGGACGGATGCCTTTGTGCCCAAAACAATGAATTGTCAAGACTGAGTACTTGCCCCCAGGCGACTGATTGATCTCTTTCCTTGACTGGCCACAGGGTTTTCCTATCCAAGTAGTCCCTTTGAGATGAAGCCCAAAGAACTCTGTTTCATGGCCCAGCATTAAAATATCGCAAGAAAGGGGGGAAAGTTTTGAGAAAGAGAGAATCAAGCCCAGAATGAGAAAAGGGGCATCAAAAAAATCAACAAACACCTCAGGTGCAAGATGCTGGCATCCTTCCCTTTGCAAACGCTGCAGAAAAACACAGTCCAGGAGGAACACAGGGCTTGTGAGGCCAATCCAAGCACCGGCCAAATCTAAATATTGCTCCATGCCTGGTTCAAGTTGCAGTGGGCAACAGAACAGACCCCACGCTGCAGCTCCCAGTAACCTGAGCTTCACACCAGGAATTGCTGAAATGAGGTCAGAAGCAGGGCTTCCCTCCCAGCTGCTGACGGGACTCAGGCGCACCCACCCCAGCTGCTGCTTCGTCCAAGGCAGAAACGACAGAATCATAGAATCATAGAGTTGGAAGAGACCTCATGGGCCATCCAGTCCAACCCCCTGCCAAGAAGCAGGAATACTGCATTCAAAGCACCCCCGACAAATGGCTATCCAGCCTGTTTAAAAGCTTCCAAAGAAGGAGCCTCCACCATGCTCCGGGGCAGAGAGTTCCACTGCTAAACGGCTCACACAGTCAGGAAGTTCTTCCTCATGTTCAGATGAGGAATCTCCTTTCTTGTAGTTTGAAGCCATTGTTCCGTGTCCTAGTCTCCAGGGAAGCAGAAAACAAGTTTGCTCCCTCCTCCCTGTGACTTCCTCTCACATATTTATACATGGCTATCATATCTCCTCTCAGCCTTTTCTTCTTCAGGCTAAACATTTATTTATTTATTTAGCAATTTTGTATACCGGTCTTCTCTTCTCTATCGGGGGACTCGGGCCGGTTTCCAACAATAAAACCAAAAAACAATCATTAAAAACATCATATTACATATTCAATTAAAACGTTATAATAGCAAAATGCAATCACATAATAACAATGGTCAGTCGTCATAGTGAATTCGTAATCCATCATTCATCGTCATCTATCCGATCACAGAAATATTGATTTATTTGTCGAAAGCCAAACCCCATAGCCAGGTTTTCACCCGTTTTCTGAACAACAGAAGTCGTTAAGCCGCTCCTCATTGGGCTTGTTCTCCAGACTCTGGATCATTTTAGTCGCCCTTCTCTGGACACAATGTCTCTCTTCAATTGTGTTGCCCAGAATTGGATACAATATTCCAGGTGTGGTCTAACCAAGGCGGAATAGAGGGGTAGCATTACTTCCCTAGATCTAGACACTATGCTCCTATTGATGCAGGCCAAAATCCCATTGGCTTTTTTGCCACCACATCACATTGTTGGCTCATGTTTAACTTGTTGTCCACGAGGACTCCAAGATCTTTTTCACACGTACTGCTCTCGAGCCAGGCATCATCCCCCATTCTGTATCTTTGCATTGATTGAGTCAGAAGAAACATGGCCCCATCGGTTAAGTGGCTAGATAGCCAATACTCCAGAGGACAGGAGCAGGATTCAAAACGACCCTGACAGATTATAGAGATGGGCCAAAACTAACAAAATGAAGTTCAACAGTGACAAATGCAAGATACTCCACTTTGGCAGGAAAAACAAAATGCAAAGATACAGAATGGGGGACAATGCCTGGCTCAAGAGCAGGACGTGAGGGAAAGATCTTGGAGTCCTCGTGGACAACAAGTTAAACATGAGCCAACAATGTCATGTGGCGGCAAAAAAAGCCAATGGGATTTTGGCCTGCATCAATAGGAGTATAGTGTCTAGATCCAGGGAAGTCATGCCACCCCTCTATTCCGCCTTGGTTAGACCACCCCTGGAATATTGTGTCCAATTCTGGGCACCACAATTGAAGAGAGATGTTGACAAGCTGGAATGTGTCCAGAGAAAGGCGACTCAAATGATCAAGGGTCTGGAGAACAAGCCCTTGAGGAGTGGCTTAAGGAGCTGGGCATGTTTAGCCTGAAGAAGAGAAGGCTGAGAGGAGATATGATAGCCATGTATAAATATGTGAGAGGAAGGCACAGGGAGGAGGGAGCAAGCTTGTTTTCTGCTTCCCTGGAGACTAGGACGCGGAACAATGGCCTCAAACTACAAGAAAGAAGATTCCACCTGAATATTAGGAAGAACTTCCAGGTTTTGCTTGCCCCTGGGGCCCTTGCTTGTGCAGAGGTTCCAGGGAGGTTGTGAGTGGAAAACTATCCTTTGCAAACCTATTCCATGACATGTTATCACGCCGGGCTTGCAAGAGGCGACTCTGGTGCCTACCTTCGAAATCCACGTCTCCCACCAACCGGGGTTTGGCCGTAACGGGATCCTGGACCCGGTTGATGCCCACATCGATGACAGCCGCCCCTTCTTTGATCATGTCTGCCGTAATGAGGTTGGGAATGCCTGCAAGAAGACGGGAAGGAGCAGGTAAACATCGGAGGGTCAAAGCGCAAAGGGAAAAGCCGGAGTAGAGTACACAAGCCCAAGATCCTGGCGAAAAGAGCATCCCATTCCCTCCTGCCAGTTCATCAAGGGAGACTCTGTGGGACTGGAATCCTCTGCAGCACTCGCTATTAAAGGGAATGGCAGACAGGCCAGCCCTCCCAAAATAGCATTGGCTTGCAGCCTCCCCTTTTGCTTACCTGCAGCGGCCACCACAATGTCTGCCAGGATTGTGTGCTTCTTGAGCTGCTCTTTGGGAGTGTAGCGGTGAGAGATGGTCACAGTTGCATCGCCTGGAGAAAACACGTCACGTTGAGAATATGTTTGCTTGCTTGGGACGCTGCAGGGCCATCTAAACCAGGCATGAACCAACTTCGGCCCTCCAGGTGTTTTGGACTTCAACTCCCACAATTCCTAACAACCAGTAGGACTTGGAAGTTCAAAACACCTGGAGGGCCGGAGTTGGCGCAGGCCTGACTCGTTCACAGTATGATTATTAACAGCTGTATTTATACAGGCAGTGCCTGAGTTACAAACATCTGACTTACAAACAGCTCACAGTTAAGAACGGTGGTAAGACAATAAGAAGTGAGAGGAATCTCCCTCTCGGAAAGAAGAGAAATCAACTCCTGGAAGAGTTGTTATCGTGGGAAAATAGGTCTCCAATTAAGCTTATCTCCAATCCTTGTTTTCACAGCAAGCCACATTTTCCAAAATATCATTCTCACAGGGACAGAAAGTGAGGTGAAATCTTCAAAACACAGGCACAGATAGAAAAGGAAACACCGCAGGAGTGTTCATCCTTCCCTATGCCATCAAATGCATGTGTGTGTGTATGTGTATGTATGTATATGTGTGTGTATATACATACTGTATATACTCGAGTATAAGCCTAGTTTTTCAGCCTCTTTTTTAGGCTGAAAAAGTCCCCCTCGGCTTATACTTGAGTCAAGGTTATTTATTATTTTACTCTATTATTATTATTTTCATTTCATTTATTATTTTATTCTATTTATTATTATTACATTTATCATTTTACTCTATTATTATACATTTATTATTTTACTGTATAACTGGTGTTATTGCTACATTCATTATTTTACTCTTTTATTATTATTATTATTATTGTTATTATTACATTTGTTATGTTGCTCTCTTTATTATTATTGGAAGGATACTTAAGCACATTTACATTGAAGAAGGTAAATAATCATTTAATCAGAGTTGGACAGTCTTATCTTAAATTACCATTTTTGTAAATATTCAAAAATATATAAAATACTAATTCCTCAATTAATGTAATTTAATTGGTATCCATTTTTATTTTGCAATTTACCAGTAGCTGCTGCATTTCCCACCCTCGGCTTATACTCGAGTCAATCCGTTTTCTCAGTTTTTTGTGGTAAAATTAGGTGCCTCGGCTTATATTCGGTTCGGCTTATACTCTAGTATATATAGTATATATATGTGTGTATGTGTGTGTGTGTGAAGTTGCACTTAAAAACCATCCCTGTTCTGACTTACACACAAATTCAGCTTAAGAACAAACCTAGGGAAACTATCTAGTTTGTAACTTGGGAGCGGCCTGTATCCCGCCCTTCTCCATGTTGGAACCCAAGCAACAAACAACAACACCTTCTAATAACCATTTAAAACAAAGCAAGTACAAAAATTAAAGAAGAAAACTACGATATAAAGTTAAAATACAATGAATAAAATTAAAACTATATTTAAATCTCACCCCCCCCCCCCATACAACAAAGCCCCAACCACAACCCTTGTGATCTTTGTCCAGTTCTAGTACCCAGAACCCCTTTAATTTTAAAGAACACAGATTTTGGACCAGGGAAAGGGGGGGATATCTGGGGGCTTCCAATAAAACACATGAGTAATAATAATTATTTTACTGACACAAAAATACAGTATGATACAGCAAACGAGATCTATATGCTGGATTTTGTATCACAAGTCGAACACTTCTCAAGTGCTTAGGACTGTGTGATATTATTATTATTATTATTATTATTATTATTATTATTATTATTATTATTATTATTATTGACCCCTGCTTTATCTCTCCTGAAGGGGACTCAAAGTGACAGCGAAAAATTGATCTCACAAGTTCACGTGAAGTGCCCCCCCTCCCCGAATTAATTCAATGCCCTTCAGGAGGTGGCCTGACCATTGAAGGCGAATATGAGGCTCTGCTATGTGGCTAAATCAGGATGTGCATTCCTGCTGCCGGAATGCCTTGAGATCCCCTTGCCGTTCATGCCTGGGTCAACGAGAGGGGGTTTCTCTGAAGAATTTAAGCACCCAGCAGCAATGTCAGGGGGAAAAGTTACACTGGAGCAATATACTTGCAGAGTTCCCAGCAGCACATCTGTGATGCCAGGGGTGCATCTCCATTGAAGCATGAATGTGGATAGACCTGGCATGGGGCAACTTCAGCCTTTCCTCCAGGTGTTTGGACGTCAACTCCTACAATTCCTAGCAGCCTACCTACCGGCTGTTGAAGCCCAAGACACCTGGAAGGATGGCCGGAACTAGCCCCTGTCTAGTGGGGAGCCTCTTACCTCCAGGGCGTTCGTGCCGCCCATCCGTGTGGAGGAGCATGGCGATGGGCATGCCCACGTTCTTGGATCGCCCGGCCACCACCACGTTCTTGCCCAGGGTCGGGATCCCTGAAAAGTGGCGCAGACACAAGCAGGCAGTGAGTGAGACCCCGCACCCTTCCTTGACCGCAAGCTTGGAATAGAATCACTTCACTGGCATTGTACATCGTCCCACAAAATTAAATGCCATCCCCAATACACATTACATCTATGTAGAAACACAATTCCTTCCACATTCTATTCGCTCTTCCACAGCTCCTCAGGCCAATGTATTTTCCTTATTTACTATATTCATCCCCGGCCCTTCTCAACCCCAAGGGGGACTCAGGGTGGCTTCACATATCAGATGCTTGCCATAGATGCAGGCAAAACGTCAGGAGAGAACGCCTCTAGAACATGGCCATATAGCCCGAAAAAACCCACAACAACCCATTATTATTATTATTATTATTATTATTATTATTATTATTATGTAGACTTACAAAACAAAGCACCCACATTCTAACTGCTCTTGCGTAACACTTAATGCTGCATCAATATGAAACCATAGAGTTCCATATAGTCAGATCTCTGTGATAATAGCTCTCTCTCAGCCGATTTGTTTTTCTCATCCTATCCGGTCTGCCAGATGGCAATAATTCACCTGTCCGCTTGATGATCTCCCACACGCCCCACGGCGTGGCCGGCAGCATGGAGTACTGGTCCAGGCACATCCGGCCCACGTTCACCACGTGGAAGCCATCCACATCCTTCTCGGGGTCCACGGCGTTGCAGACCTTTCGCTCATCAATATGTTCTGCAGAGGAGGAGGAAGAAGAGGGATAGTGAGCCCTTGGGTCACAGGCATAGAATCCTGTGTGGACATAGGAAGATGGACATCACAAAGAGGAAACGGTGCACTGCTTCACCAAAGGAACCCCATAGAATGGGCCTAAGGAATCTGGAAGCGAGAGGAGGAGGCAGCCTAGCACGCGCTTGCCGAGCGCTCTGTATTGAGCCTAAGGAAGCAGAGGAGGAAGCAGTGGTCTGGCTGGACCCTGCCTGGACCTGGGAAACTGTGAGTGAAGCTGGAGAGAGATAGAGAGGTGGAGGATGCCCAGGAAGGAGAGAAGCGCCCGCCCCAAGGTGCCCCAGGAGGCCTTGCTGCAAACCTTGTACTTCAAGACTTTAAAAAGGAATGCAGAACTTCCAAAGGAGGCAAGCGGGGGCGGGGGGGGGGGGGAGGGTTAAAGAAAAAAGGCGGGAGAGCACCCCAGGAGGAGGCTTCTACGAAGCGGCACACCACAAAGCCTCAGCAGGGAATTCCACATTCACATTGAAAGAAGAGTTGCCCATCTTCTAACACTCCACCTTGGTATGCTGAATAGCCATGACTATCACGATGTCTTATTTTCGGGGTATGGCTTATATTGCACAAATGCCTATAAATTCTGCTATGCCTCATTTTATGGTTCGCAGCTTGGGAATGATCCTGGACTCATCGCTGAGCCTGGAACCCCAGTTAAGACTTGTGCACCAGCTGTGCCCGTACCTTGGGAAATCTGATCTGGCCACGATGGTCCACGCTCTGGTCACATCCCGGATAGATTACTGCAACACACTCTATGTAGGGCTGCCTTTGAAGACGGTTCGGAAACTGCAGTTAGTCCAACGGGCGGCAGCCAGATTACTAACAGGAGTTACATACAGGGAGCATACCGCCCCCTTGTTGTGTCAGCTCCACTGGCTGCCTGTCCACTTCCGAGCTCAATTCAAAGTGCTATAAAGCTCTATATGGTTTTGGCCCAGCTTACTTGTCCAAACGCAACTGCCTCTACATCCCACCTCATAACTTAAGATCATCCGGGGAGGCCCTGCTCTCGCTCCCGCCAACATTGCAAACGCGGCTGGCGGGGACGAGACAGGGCCTTCTCGGCTGTAACCCCCTGCCTGTGGAATGCGCTTCCAAATGAAATACAATCGACCCCATTCATCCTGGCGTTCAGGAAGAAATTAAAATCTTGGTCTTGGGACCAGGCTTTCGGACAATAAACACAAAGCAGCACTTTGACTAGAAATGGATTGGCAAGACAATGAGGATACGGTTTTATGATTCTATCAGTGGGTTTGTGGACTGAGTATTGTTTTTCATTACTGTTATAATTTGGTTATAATTAATTGCTATTGTCTTAACTCTGTATGTATTTATGATTTTATACTGTGCTATTGATTTGTGGCATCAAATTGCTGCTTTTGTTAGCCGCTCTGAGTCCCCCCCCCCAGGGGTTGAGAAGGGTGGGGTAAAAATGCTGCAAATAAATAAATAAATAAATAAATAAAATGATGGGTATGTGTGATTTTCAGGGAAACAGGGTATATATGGATTGACATAGGGAGAGGTGGACAGCCTTTGCTTCCTGTGCTCCTGTTTAGAAGATTCCACCTCACATCCCATACTTGTGAGAATTAGCTTTTGAAAATGTGGCTTGTTCTGGAAACAAGGATTGGGGATGAGCGTCATTGGAGACCTCTTTTCCCCAGGATAATAACAACTCTTTCAGGAGTGGATTTCCCTTTAGAGAGGCAGATCTTTCTCACTTCCTGTTGCCTCAGCCCTATTGTTCTTAACTAGGAGTCATTTGTAGCCTGGGAACTGCCAGTATGAAATTACACAGAGCAAGGATCCAAATACATTAAACACAGGGCATGAGCTTGATATTCACTGTTAGCAATAGCCTCGGCAGGCCTCCAGATGTGGCTGAACTGCATATCTCAAGGATCCCAAGCCAACAGTGAGGCTTTCTGAAAAGTGTCAGTCTAAGACAGTGGTTCTCAACCTGGAGTCCCCAGATGTTTTTGGCCTACAACTCCCAGAAATTCCAGCCAGTTTACCAGCTGTTAGGTCTAAGAACACCTGCAGTTTCCTCACACTGCCCCACACTCCTGAAGCCCCCTTTGCCCTAGAGCCAAAGGCCTGCTGACTCCTTTGCAGCCCCTTCCCCCACTCCCAGGCCCCACTCACCAGGTAAAGGGAGCTGCACCAGGAGGCCATCCACCTTGGCGTCACTGTTGAGCTTGGTGATGAGATCCAGGAGCTCCTCTTCCGTGATGGAGGCCGGCTTGAGGATGGTTTCGCTGCTGATCCCTGTGTCGCCCAGGAAGGAAACGGGGGTCAAAAAGGGAGCAACGGCTGCCCAGAAAGACTGGCACAATTAGCAGAAGGAGAGAAAATGCCCTGAAGACACCAGCCTTTTTTATGGGAGGTAGGTACTGAGCAGTTACTTGGAAGGCTACACTAAAAACAACACAACTAAGGCACACTGATCTCCCAATTTGGCCTCAAGCGCCTGGAATAGGGGCTTGCCTACGTTTTGGCACTCTGCAGGAATCAGCCTGTAGCGGCAGTATATTCCTGGGCCTATAGGGCACTTTTCCCTCCTCTGGTTCCGAGGAAGAACGCAAACTATGCCAGGAACTCACAAGCCTATACGGCTCCGGCCCAGCATACCTGTCCGAACGTATCTCCTATGTCCCACCTCGGAGCTTAAGATCTTCTGGGGAGGCCCTGCTCTCGGCCCCGCCTCTATCACAAGTGAGGCTGGTGGGGACGAGGGACAAGGCCTTCTCAGTGGTGGCCCCTCGCCTGTGGAACTCACTCCCCGGGGAAATTAGGTCATCAACATCAGAAGGAAGCTGAAAACATGGATCTGGGACCAGGCCTTTAGGTAATCTGGCAGATTGAAAAGGCAATGACGACCAGAATTTGGAAAGGAATATGGTAATGATGAATGGACTTACAGATTTTAGAACTCAGTGAACGTTGGCCACTAGATTGGCTTTTAGTTGTTATGATATTAATTGAATGTTTTAACTTGTGGTTATTGTTATGTATTTTTATCTGTTGAATTGTTGGCACCGAATTGTGCCGGTTGTAAGCCGCCCTGAGCCCCCCCCCCCCCCCCCCGGGGGTTGAGAAGGGCGGGGTAGAAGTGCCCGAAATAAATAAATAAGCCTTGCAAAGGCCTGAATGTAGCTCAGCGGTGCAAAGGGAGGACGCAAATGTAGAATCATAGAGTTGAAAGAGACCTCGTGGGCCATCCAGTCCAACCCTCTGCCAAAAAGCAGGAATATTGCATTCAAAGCACTCAAAGCATGTACATTCCTGAGGATGCTTGGAGTTCAAGAGAGGACACACAGAAAGAGGGGGGATCTAGTGACCTCAATCTGATCGTCGAAGCAAAGAACTGAAGAAGCATGAACAACTGCCTGCAAGGTGTGTGCATCTTTGTGCCTTTCAAATTGCATCGCACAAAGCAGGGGTACAACTTTTTAAAAATTATTCTTATTGAATTATTTATATTGAGAATTAAAACTTTGCTCCATAAGAATAAGAGCAGAGTAGAAAGAGAAAGAGAGAACGCGAGAAAAAAGAAAAAAAAGAAAAAAAGGAAATAACTACATAAATCGGTACAATCTTATTTATATAGAAAGTGTGAGAACAATGTGTTTGAGAAAAGTAGGAAATGGGACATTTTCAGGAAATAAAAAATGGGGATAGAAGGAGAGAGAAACAAAAAAAACAAAAAGAAAATAGAAAAAAATATTTTAAAAAGCAACAAAAAAGGGGTACAACTTTTAAAAGGCAGCTGTGGAGATGGCCCTTGACTCACCCACGTCGGCCGCCGCCTTGGTCTTGTTCAGGACATAGGAGTGGCTGGCGGGATTCTCGCCCACCAGGACCACGCTCAGGTGTGGCCGCCGGTTCCCGGACGCCACCCATTGCTCCACCTCATGACGCGCCTCTTGCCGGATCTGACGCGCTAGCTTCCGCCCAGAGATGACCACCGCCTCATCCCTGGAAAGGAAGGCAGGCGTCTTTAAGAGGAGGTGTGGTGGCTTTTAAGGACAGCCTGCCCTCTGGTGAAACATACTTGAAGGCAGGAGTGTGGGGAATCAAAGGGTGGGAGGAATCAAAATACAAAGTTAAGCACGCTCGCATGGAATTAATGATGGGGGAGGGGAACAAGATGTCTTTGGCAACTGCAAGGTGTAATGCAAGTATGTGCCAACTTCCGCCCTCCCTCCAGGTGTTTTGAACGTCAACTCCCACAATTCCTAACAGTCAGTAGGAGTTGAATTCCAAAACACCTGGAGGGAGGGCCGAAGGTGGCCCATACCTGGTGTAGACTCTGGTCTGCAAACACATAGAAACTCAATGTATGTATATAAATACATATGTCAATAAAACACAGGATTGTTATATTCACATTTAACAGAAATAATTTGTTCTTTTCTTGAAAGATGAAAAAATCTTCTTCACGTGTGTGGAAATAGTCCTTGTGTCTTTACAACAGATGAGTAGACTCCAAATCCTTGCACAGTAAATGTCCTATTTTCTTTGAGACAAGAGTAGACTCCAACATTCAGAGTAAATGTCCTATTTTCTCTATTACACAAAACTAGACTCCAACATTCAACCGGTTTCGACTCAGAGGAGACATCAAGTTTGTAAGTAAGTAAGTGTGTGTGTGTTCATATATATATATATATACATACACACACACACACACACACACACACACACACACACTTAGTCATTTATCCGAAAGGTTTTTGCCAATTGTCATTGCCAATAGTGCACAACAGCACACACAAAAGCCCAGTAAATGTGCTAATGAATGTTTGGCCATTACAAATGGAGGGTACCTACAGGCCTAGATACAGCTGTCCAGATACTATTGGAGTGCAAGTCCCATCCTTCTCCACCATAGGCCCTGCTGGCAGCTGCAAGCTCACAACATCTGGAGGACCGGCTTCTAAATAGGTGAAAGGGCTCTAGCTAAACATAAGGCCCAGAGGCTCAATTGCATGACAACCTTTGCAGAAGAGAATGTGGCCCATCCGTAACATAATCTGCAGCAATTCTATGAATGCGATTCTGGATGAAAGCAAGAAACACAATCTCTTGGCCCAGAAGAACTGGATTCCTGCAGTCTCCGCCAGACCTCAGTCAGTGGTGGCTGGCAAATACGGGGAGGCGCAAGTGAATCCCGTCAATTACAAACACCAGAATGAAAGGGACCCTCCAGATGCAGTCACTTTGCAATCCCTTGCCAAGGTGATGGGAAACCACCAACAAGATTGGGATAACAATAAAGGCAATAACCACAATCTTGTGGCCCGGTGGGAGCATTTCCTTGAATGAAGGGCTGCAACTGGGTTCCAGAAACTGCAGGGCGCTGCCTGAGCACACCAGGTTTTTCCCAGTGATAAGAGATGGCAAGGAGGGAGGGATGATAAGAGAGATGGCAAGGGAGGACGCTCCTCCGGCCCTGGCAGCGCCTCCACTCCCACCTTGGGATGATAAAGTTTCCTTTTAGCTTCAGCCTCAAGGAAATTGCTCAATTCATTGCAAGGCACCCAGATGCAGGCTGTCCTCGAGCTACAAACATCCGACTTACAAATGACTCCTAGTTAAGAACAGGGCTGAGACAACAGGAAGCGAGGAAAATAACAATAATAATAATAATAATAATAATAATAATAATAATAAATCTTTATTTATACCCTGCTACCATCTCCTGAAGGACTCGGTGCGGCTTACAAGATGCCGAGCCCAAGTACATCAGTAAAAACAACAACAGCAATACAGACAATAAATAAACTCATAAGCAAAGCAATAAACAGTAACACTAACACCATGACGCATTAAAAACCTATGGCAGGGCCAAATGTAATAATTTTTTTTAAAATGCTGGGCATGACTAGGTGACATATAACTAGGATAGGTATTTGGAGAGAGATGAAGCGAGCAGACAATCCTAGATCATTAGTAAAGTGCGATTAGGAACATGTTGCTTAGGGTTTCTTTATTCTGGGAAGGTACACTGGAACAACCATGTTTTCAGGCTCCTCTTAAAGACTGCCAGAGTTGGGGCATGCCTAATGTCCTTGGGGAGCGAGTTCCAGAGTTGAGGGGCCACCACCGAGAAGGCCCCCTCCCTCGTCCCCACCAATCGCGCTTGCGATGGAGATGGGATTGCGAGTAGATTATATATTACTATTATTATATTGTGAAACCCCCAGTGGTACAGTTAAACTGCTGAGCTGGTGAACTTGCTGACCTAAAGGTCGGCAGTTCAAATCCGGGGAGTGGGGCGAGCTACTGCCATTAGCCCCAACTGCTGCCAACCTAGCAGTTTGAAAACATACAAATGTGAGTAGATCAATAGGTACTGCCTCAGTGGGAAGGTAACAGCACTCCATGCAGTCATGACCTTAGAGGTGCCTATGGACAACACCAGTTATTTTGCTTAAAAGTAGAGATGAGCACCAGAGTCAGACACGACTGGACTTAATATGTCCACACATGTAATAAAAGCAATCCAAGACAGCAGGAATCAACAGGATGCAAAGACAATCCAAAAGGCTAAAAAAACTCCACAGGAACAAGACCCCTTGAACAGGATTTCCATGGCACATAAACTTGGTTTCCAAATGATGCCTGATCTAACTGGTTTCACCTTGAGGCAAACTTTATATCCCAAAACTCAGAAATTGGTTTCGCTTCCCCCCCCCACATTTACCCCTTATCAGATGATGCCTTTCGGAGCGACGTAAGCACTGAGTTTGCTGTCGATCCTGGCTAATCTCCAGCCGCCTATTCTTCAGCTCCCTATCTGGCTGCTCATTAAAATTCCCAGGTGTCAGATTGTGCTTGAGAGCTCACAGAGAGCAGGAAAACCATTACTATTATATCATGGTTTATCTATACACATACAGACACACACAATGTTTACCTTTAGCTTTTTTAGCCAATGTATTTCACAATTCATTATAATAATATTTAATATGATAATATTTATGGGTGGATGGATCTCCTTGCTGCCCTCCCCCTCCCCCTCCCAGCCCAACTCCTTGGGAAAGGAACTCATTCCTTTTTCAACTTTGAGCTTTCATCTATGCCAGTGTTTCTCAACCTGGGGGTCGGGACCCCTAGGGGGGTCATGAGGGGGTGTCAAGAGGGGTCGCCAAAACAATAAGAAAACACAGTATTTTCTGTTGGTCGTGGGAGTTCTGTGTGAGAAGTTTGGCCCAATTCTGTCGTTGGTGGGGTTCAGAATGCTCTTTGATTGTAGGTGAACTATAAATCCCAGCAACTACAACTCCCAAATGTCAAGGTCAATTTCCCCCAAACTCTACCAGTGTTCACATTTGGGCATATTGAGTATTTGTGCCAAGGTTGGTCCAGATCCATCGTTGTTTGAGTACACAGTGCTCTCTGCATGTAGGTGAACTACAACTCCAAAACTCAAGGTCAATGCCCACCAAACCCTTCCAGTATTTTCTGTTGGTCATGGGAATTTTGTGTGCCAAGATTGGTTCAATTCCATTGTTGGTGGAGTTCAAAGTACTTTTTGATTGTAGGTGAACTATAAATCCCAAATGACAAAATCAACAGCCCCCTCTCACAACTCTACCAGTATTCAAATGTGGGTGCATTGGGTATTTGTGCCAAATTTGGTCCAGTGTATGAAAATATATCCTGCACATTAGATATTTACATGATGATTAATATCAGGAGAAAAATTACAGTTCTGAAGAAGCAACGAAAATAACGTTACGGTTGGGGGTCACCCTAACATGAGTACCTGTATTAAGGGGTCACGGCATTAAGAAGGTTGAGAACCACTGATCTATGCCTTTTGAATGGGTTTAGCTTTTTATGACCCATGTATTTCATTCCAGTTCAAGCTTAAGTGATAATATTTTCATAATTATCCATGATAATATAATATGATGATGACTCACGAATGGCTCTCCTTCCCCTCCCAGCCAATTCCAGGCCGTTCCTTTGGGAAGTAACTCATTCCTTTTTCAACCTTGTATGCCTTTTGAATGGCATTGGGATTTATAGCCAATATACTTCATAATTGATCATAATCATCATATTCATAGTTTAATCTATGCTGATGATCGTGCCATTACTGCTCAAGCAGGGAGCTTTGAGATGGTAGAACAGAAGCTTTCCGAAGCTCTAGGTGCTCTTCCTGCCTATTACAGGGAAAACCAGCTGATCCCCAACCCATCTAAAACACAGACACGTGCTTTTCATCTCAAGAACAGACAAGCATCCCAAGCTCTGAAGATCACCTGGGAAGGAATCCCACTGGAGCATTGCAGCACACCCAAATACCTGGGAGTCACTCTAGAACATGCTCTTACCTACAAGAAGCATTGCCTGAACATCAAGCAAAAAGTGTTGTGCTAGAAACAATATCATACAAAAGCTGACTGGCACAACCTGGGGATCACAACCAGATACAGTGAAGACATCTGCCCTTGTGCTGTTCTACTCTGCTGCTGAGTACGCATGGCCAGTGTGGAACACATCTCACCACACTAAAACAGTGGATGCGGCTCTTAATGAGACATGCCGCATTATCACGGGGGTGTCTGCGCCCTACACCACTGGAGAAATTACACTGTCTAGCCGGTATCGCACCACCTGACATCCGCCGGGAAGTGGCAGCCAATAGTGAAAGGACCAAGGCAGAGACATCTCCAGCTCATCCCCTGTTTGGGTATCAGCCAGCACGTCAACGATTTAAATCCAGACATAGTTTTCTAAGATCTACAGAGACACTCGCTGGAATGCCTCAGCAAGCGAGAGTCCAAAAGTGGCAGACTCAAACCCAGAACCTCAATCAATGGCTGATACCAAATGACTGGGCGACTTGGAAGGCGCTGAACAGACTGCGCTCTGGCACCACAAGATGCAGTGCCAACCTTCAGAAATGGGCCACAAAGTGGAATCCTTGACATGTGAGTGTGGAGAAGAGCAAACCACTGACCACCTGCTGCAATGCACCCTGAGCCCTGCCACATGCACAATGGAGGAACCTTCTTGCAGCAACACCAGAAGCACTCCAAGTGGCCAGATACTGGTCAAAGGACATTTAATCAACTACCAAACTGACACATTTTGTATTTTCTCTGTTTGTTTGCTTTGTTCTGTTAGAAATGTAATATAATTGACTGGCTGCCCTGACACGAGAAATAAATAAAATCATATTCACGGGAGGATGGATCTCCTTGCTCCTCTCCCCCCCCCCTAACTCCTTAGGAAAGTGCCTGGTTCCTTTCCCTTGAATGTAGGTGATCCCTAGGAAGTTGCTGTATGACTGAAACCTGGTCTTGGATTTCATCAGCCTGCAATTCCCCTTCCCGCCGTCGGAGGCGCGCGCGGGTCGGCTTGTGCTGCCGGCGCGGCGCATGCGCATACCTGCGGGCGCTGAGGTGGACGCGGCGGGCGCCTTGCGGAGCCGGGAGGAGGCGACCCTGCCGGTGGCAGGAGCAGCAGCAAACGCAGGAAGAGGCGAGCGTCGGGAGGCGGCGGAGTAGGCACAGCGCAGGCGCGGTTGCCATAGCGGCACGACCCTCTCCCTTCTACACAACCGCCTGGAGTGGCCGCGTGGGTCGCTCCGCGCCGCCTTTTAAAGCCTCTGCCGGTTTCACCCCGCCCACTCCAGCTGAACGCATCACCCATTGGCTGGAAAAGAATGTGACGTTTGCAGGACCCGGCGCCGCACCCATTGGCTGGGACAGAAGGTGACGTTGGCAGGACCCGGCTCCTCATTGGATGTCAATGGACCGGGTTGTCAATCGCTTCTCTCGCGGTTGTGGCTGACGCAAGAGAGGGAAGCGATTGAAGCAGCGCGGACTCGAAGCCCCGCCTCCTCCAGCGCTGATTGGTCACCGCCGTCAGGGGAAGCGCGCGCTGATTGGCTCGCCAAGAGGTTGCCCATGTGCTTGCTTTTTCTTCTTGTAATAATGCATTTCTTGTGTAGTTTAATAAATTATAAATTAAATTATAAATGGTTTCTTGAAAAAAATGCATTTTAAATGGAAATCTGGCCCAAGGCACTTCTTCTGTTTTGGGGGAAATAGTGAAGCTGAGCTTGGAAAAGTTCCTTTTGGGAGGACTACAGTTCCCAGAATTCCTCAAAAGGTCAGGATCCCTAGGAGCCAGGGGCGCCTCAAAGAGAGGTTCTCAGGGATTTTTCTGAAGTGATGGTCTTTAGAGTCTTTAATGATACAACAAAGTCTTCAATGGTTCAAACAACACTTCAAGGCTTTCTTAGTCTAGTCCTCAATGGACTGGTACCTAACTTTGATTAACTGTACTTTCTCTGTAGGAAAAAAAAACCCTATTTAACCTCTCCCAGGCTGTTTACTATCTATGCCTCATCAGTGTGGGTCCTACTACCGATTCCAAATGCGTCTGGGTATCGAGTAGACCTACCAGCCGAGGCTTGTAGATATTTCAGATGGAGTTCCGTGGATCTGTAATGCTGCCCTCCCTCAGAGAATTATCTGAGAACTTCAGGGCTGTTTTCCCTCTGTTTGCTGAGAGGCTGTGAGCTCTCAGCCAGAGCCTTGGGACCTTTTCCCTAGAATTTCTGTTTCTGTTCCCCCGGATGTTATTGAGAAAAGAAGCTTTTCTATTGGACGAGCTGGTCTACGTCCCGTTTAGCTTCCTTCTGAGAGACTGCCCCCCAAAAATGGCTCCTTTCCCTCCCAGAGCCCTGAACAAGGGGCGGAACCAAAGTTTAATTATGATGGACAGGAGGCCTGCCCTATGACTGCAAACATAACAGAAAGAAAATAAAGTTGGAGCTCCTGGTACAGCTGTACCAGCACAATTATCTACGCACATATACTATAGATAAACTCTATTACTGCAACACCTCCAATCCCCGGGGGGGGGGGGGGGGAGTGCATGTGTGTGCATATAAAATGTTATACACTACTGTCTATCTATCTATAGTTATACACTATATTATATATGCATGCACATACACATACACACACACACTATTACTGCAACACCACAAATCCCCATGTCATATATGATAATCTGCCAGTATTTTAACTTGGATTGTGATAGGTTTGGTGCAGCCATCAAGCCATATAGGAGCTATCCTGGAACACACAAACAGATGTCTTTCCACTTTAATAATAATAATAATAATAATAATAATAATAATAATAATAATAATAGAGTAGCTCCAGGACCTCTAACAGGGTCTGCAAAGTTTGGCCCAAAACCTCAAGTGGAATCATAGGTAAAAGGAAGATAAAGGTTTTCCCCTGACATTAAGTCCAGTCATGTATTACTCGCCAGAGTAATACCAATTGTTCTACTCATATTTGTATGTTTTCAAACTGCTAGGTCGGCAGAAGCTGAGCCTAACAGTGGGAGCTCACACTGCTCCCCAGATTTGAATCTGCAACCTTTAGGTCAGCAAGTTCAGTGGCTCAACAGTTTAACCCATTGTGCTACTGGGGGTTCCTGTAAGCCCCCTTATCAGTAAGGAGAATCCTACTTTGTTGGACAGGATGCCGGGAATTGTAGTGCCAAAAGCCTGGAGAGGAAACGCAGAGAAAGAGAAAAAGGGAATCTGTCCAAAGCCTTTTGATAGAAAAGAGAGCCCTGTCCTCAGATGACCTTTTTTTCCCGGAGAAGGAGCTGCCTTCTTATCTCAAAAGGGAGGATGCAGGGAGAAGCCAATTAACACCAGAAGTAATAAACCGGCTCCACAAAGTAACCAAAAGTCTAAATCAGGTCAGGGCTGGCAAAGGAGGCAAGGTGCCAGGGATTCTTTCGCCTACCCCTCGGGACTGTATTGCAAACTATTATTATTACCTCACTACCAAAAGACCTCACTACCTCTGAGGATTCTTGCCATAGATGCAGGCAAAACGTCAGGAGAGAATGCCTCTAGAACATGGCCATATAGCCCGAAAAAAACCTACAAGAACCCTATTATTATTATTATTATTATTATTATTTGAAACACAACAAGATGAGTCCACAGCAAACATGATCACTCTGCTAGCTCTTGTATTGGATCACACATCGGAAACTTCCCAAGTGTTTAGGACTGTGTGAAGTATTGGTGAATAATGTGTGCAGATCCCAGTAAGGTGGCCTTCTGTAACTGGAAAATGGTAATTTGTCAGCGCTGATTGTATTTAGGCACTGCACCCAGTGTGCCGATCACCACTGGGACCACCTTTACTGGCTTGTGCCAGAGTCTTTGCAGTTCTATCTTTAAATCCTCATTTCGTGCCAGATTTTCCAGTTGTTTCTCTTCAATCCTGCTGTAGCCTGGGATTGCAACATCGGCAATCCATACTTTGTTTTTCAGCACGATCGTGAGGTCAGGAGTATTGTGCTCCAAAACTCTGTCTGTCTGAATTCGGAAGTCCCCGAGTAGTTAGACATGTTCATTTTCTGTTACTTTTTCAGGCTTTGGGTCTCACCGGTTCTTTGTCACAGGCAGATGGTATTTGTGGTAAAAGTTCCAATGAATCATCTGAGCAACGGTGTTATGCCTCTGCTTGTAGTCTGTCTGCGTGATCTTCTTGCAGCAGCTGAAGATGTGATCTGTTGTTTCATCTGTTTCCTTGCAGAGTCTACACTTGGGATCTGTTGTTGACTTTTCAATTCTGGCTTTGATGGCATTTGTTCTAATGACTTGTTCTTGGGCTACAAGAATAGGGCTGTCTCCTTTTTCAGAGTTTGTGAAGCCACAGCCATGTTTTTCTTTGTCAATTTGGCTCTCATTTTTTCCGAGGAACTGTCCATGGAGAGCCAGTTTTCTCTTCTGCTCTGGATTGTGTTTTTATGGTGTTCACTCTTTGTCTTTTGCACTTTAAGCAGTTTACTAGTATTGACTTCCCTCAATGTTGGTTCTTGACTGCCTTTCACATAATCTGCCAGTGCATGTTTCGCTTCTTCTACCAACGACAAGCCAGCACCCGATGGGGGATTATTATTATTATTATTATTATTATTATTATTATTATTATTATTATTATGTTTATTTATATGGAAGACGACTCTGGGTGCATCTACACTGTAGAATTAATCCAGTTTAGCACTACTTGGATTGCCATGGCTCAAGGCGATGGAATCCTGGTTCTTGTTTCGCCAGGTCTATAGCATTTTTCTGGATGCATCTAAACTGTACAATTAATCCAGTTTGGCACCACTTGCACTGCCATGTTGTGGAATTCAGGACATTGCAGTTCTGCCTTGCCTGCCAAAGAAGGTGGAGGGCTCACCAAACTAAAACTCCCAGCATCCCATATAGCACACAACGGTGTGACAGATGAAGTGGTGCCAAACCGCAGTAACTTTCCAGTGCGGATGTACCCAAAGGGCTATATCTCACCAAACAACATACTGCAAGTCACTTCTGGTGTCATCACTACTCAAGCAGGAAGCTTTGAGAGGGTTGAACAGAAGCTCTCTGAAGCTTTAGGTACTTTTACTGCCTATTACAGGGAAAACCTGCTGATTCCTAATCCATCTAAAACGCTAGCGTGTGCTTTTCGCTTCAAGAACAGACAAGCATCTCAAGCTCTGAGGAGTACCTGGGAAGGAATCCCACTGGACCACTGCAGCACACCCAAATACCTGGGAATCACTCTAGACCATGCTCTGACTTAGGAGAAGCACTACTTGAATATCAAGCAAAAAGTGGGTGCTAGAAATAATATAATACGAAAGCTGACTGGCCCAACTTGGGGATCACAACCAGACACAGTGAAGACATCTGCCCTTGCACTTTGCTACTCTGCTGCTGAATACTCATGCCCAGTGTGGAATACATCTCACCACATTAAAACAGTGGATGTGGTTCTTAATGAAACATGCCACATTACCACAGGATGTCTATTCTCAATTACCACTGGAAAAATTATACTGTTTAGCCGGTATTGCACCCCCCTGACATCCATCAGGAAGTAGCAGCTTATAATGAAAGGACCAAGGCAGTGACATCTCCAGCCCATTATCTGTCCGGCTATAAGCCAGCATGCCAATACCTTACATTACGAAATAGTTTTCTAAGATCTACAGAGATACTCGCAGGAACACCCCAGCAAGCGAGAGTACAAAAGTGGCAGTCTAAAACCTGGAAATTCAATCAGTGGCTAAGACTGGGTGAGACACTCCCTGCTTGGCACACAGAAGGCAGGGCAACTTGGAAGGTGCTGAACAGACTGCACTCTGGCACCATGACATGCAGAGTCAATCTTCAGAAATGGGGCTGCAAAGTGGAATCCACAATATGCAAGTGCAGAGAAGAGCAAACCACAGACTACCTACTACAATGCAGACTGAGCCCCACTACAAGCACAAGGGAAGGCTGCCTTATAGCGACACCAAATGCACTCCAAGTGGTCAGCTTCTGGTCAAAGGAAATCTAGCATAATGCCTAGTTTTTAAACTTTGTTTATGGTTTTTATACATAATAACTGTATTCTCAATTAGCTTCTGACACATTAAATAAAAATAAAACCAAACCACAGCTCCCAGGATCCCATCGCATTGCACCAATGGGGGTGCCAACCTCTATTCCTTCTGCAGTGTGGATGCAGCCCATATTCTTAACACTGTAAAGGTAGATTTCACCCTCCAATTTGCCAGCATTAAAACCTCCGTCAAATAAAAAACAAAATCATTAAACTACAAAGGATGATAAGAGCAGCAAGGATATTATGTGCACAGTTTTGGAAGAAGGTGAACCTCCCAGTAAGAGAAAAATTGATTGTTAATTTTTTAAAAATAGCACAAATTGACAAATTAGCAATGATGAACAAAGAAAACACAAAAAATGGTATCATGTACTGGGAGCAATCTGTAAACTTTGTAAAAGAGGGAAAAGTTTGGATAGAAGGCTTCATAATTTAATGTTAGAATCTGTGTAGAGAATTTATAAATAATAATGATCAGGGCAGAAGGAAGAATAGAAAAACAATGTAACAGGAAGGAAGAATGGAATTATATATGAATGTCTCCAACCCATTTTGGGACAGGAAGTCACCACAATGGTAGGGAAAGATATAACCAAGTATGAATATTGCATAGATGCTAGCAAGTATTATATTGGTTCATGTGTATATACATGTATATAGATTTCTTTAATTGCTCTTTATGAATATGTAAATGAAAAACATAGTAAATCTCCCCCCTCTCAAAAAAAAACCGTTCAGTTGGGCCATTAAAAATATGCAATTTCGGCATCCAAAGGGGCCATCAAAGTAATCCAGGGAATGCTAAACACAGCAAATAGCTTCTGGGCTTGAATGTTTCAGTGCTTAGACAATGCTAGAAATGTAGGAAATGAAAGGAAACATCATGGATTTCAGAAAGATCCCCTTTTTTCATTCCCCTTGCATTCCCCATTGCAAACAGATTATGCAACTTGGCATTCACAGTGTATTTCCATTGCAAAATGCAGTGAAAACATTGCTCATGTGCAAAGTCAACCAGCGGCTGAGTGTTCATGGCATCATTGCTGTACAATCAAATGGAAGGCTTAACTGGCCTACTTAAAAATAACTGTTATTGGAGGGCAGCCTATCCTGAATATTTTTCTAATTATGCAGTATATCTTTCTGAGTGGCTCCAATGGAAATCCTAATGTGTTGTTGTTGTTGTTACTATTATTATTTATTTACTAGCTGTACCCGCCACGCATTGCTGTGGCCAACCTTCCTTCCCTCTTTCTCTCTTTTTCTTTCTCTCCTTCCTTCCCTCCCTCTTTCCTTCCTTCCCTCTTTTTCTTTCCCTTCTTCTTTCTTCCTTCTCTACTTGTTTCTTTCCTCGTTTCCTTTCTTCGATTCCATCCTTCCTTGTCTTTCATTCCTTCCCTCCCTCTTCCTCTTTCGTTCCTTCTCTCCTTCCTTCCTTTCCTCTCTATTTCCTTCCTTTCACTTTTTTATTTCCTTCTCTCCTTCCTTCCTTCTCTATCTTTCTCTCTTTCCTTCCTTCTCTCATTCCCTCCTTCTCTCCCTTCCTTATCCCTTTCTGTGTATATGTGTTTTGTGTGTGCATATATGTGTGTATATGTTTGTGTATATATGTGTGTTTGTTTATATATGTGGTTTTGCGTATGACTTGTAATGTATTTTTTGTTTTTTGGCTTTAAAAGTCTCTTCTGCTGTGTTTTATGAGTGATGGTCACTCGTTGACGTGATGGGTGTCTTGCGTCCAAATTTGGTGTCAATTCGTCCAGTGGTTTTTGAGTTTTGTTAATCCCACAAACAAACATTACATTTTTATTTATATAGATAAAATAATAGTAATTATGATAATAATTATTAACCATTTTTATCCTACCTTTTATAATAATGTTATTAATAATGCAATAGAAGTAATTATATTATAATAATATAGGGTCGTTACATTTTTATTTATATAGATACCTCGCCTTTCTTCCCATGGGAACTCAAGGCAGCTAACAATCCGCACTAAATTTAAACAGAGCAATAAAAAGGTTAAAAAACAATTAAATAGTAACAGTGAGGTAAAAACAGAATGAAAATACAGGAAATACTCAAAAATGGCCTTCAAAACTCAGAACCACAAAAAGCAACATTTCATTGGGGAGAGGCGTCTTTTTTCTCTCTCTGATAACAGACTCAGCAAAGGACTTGTTTTTGTAACAACATTAGCATGCAAAGTAGCCACATTTATTCTGTGAGAATAAATTTATTTATTCATTCTGTGAGAATGGCACTCCTTTCCAAGCCCTATTATTGCATCTTCCCTCTCTTATTTGTGGCTCTCTATCAAGGAATAGGCAGTATGTTTGATCCATAATTTTAATCTGTTCCATCGCTCACTTTTGCCTTTAAAAAAAACCCTTGCTTGACTTTCTGGACTATATATGGATCCTCTTCCTGGATTCAGTCCCATTTGCACAAAAGGGGTTCTCCCATTGCAGTCCTTGGGACAAAATAACGAACGGATGCAGTTAAGGCATTGGTGTTTTGGGAGACCTTACATTGTAGCTTCGTATGTGTGTGTATTGTGGCTGCAATGCAGAGGAAAAGAAGCCAAGTGTGGGTCAATGGAGGCTTCTGGCTTCATCCTAAGCCTCTCCCTCAACACCCAACAAACCCCAAAATCCGCAGACTATCATGGCAGCAGGGGATCCTAGCTGGTCTGCTTGGGGACTGAGGTGAATATCCGTAGTCCATGCATGGACTTGATTTCTTCACTGAGAGCCTAGAAGGAGAAAAGGACATAGTAAATAACAGTGCAAATGGAGGGCAAGCCACAGAATACACATCCGAAGACCAGAGCCAAGCCTATCCATGCCAGAGAATTTCCAAGTTCAAAGTCTGGGTCTAGTACATTTGATTGAATACCAAGGAAGGTTATTTTAGATATTTTATAAAAGCAGCAGAGCTTCAAGCCTAATGAAGTAGCTCAAAATAATTTAAGAGGAAGTTGCCACATTTCTTCAACTAGAACAGTGGTTCTCAACCTTCCTAATGCCACGACCCCTTAGTACAGGTCCTCATGTTGTAGTGACCCCCAACCATAAAATTATTTTCATTGCTACTTCAGAACTGTAATTTTGCTACTGTTATGAATCGTCATGTAAATATCTGATATGCAGGATGTATTTTCATTCACTGGACCAAATTAGGCACAAATACCCGATATGCTCAAATTTGAATACAGGTGGGGCTGGGGGAGGGTTTATTTTGTCATTTGGGAGTTGTAGTTGCTGGGATTTATACTTAACCTACAATCAGAGAGCATTCTGAACTTCACCAATGATAGAGGCTCCTTCTTTGGAAGCTTTTAAACAGAGGCTGGATGGCCATCTGTCAGGGGTGCTTTGAATGCAATATTTCTGCTTTTTGGCAGAATGGGGTTGGACTGGATAGCCCATGAGGTCTCTTCCAACTCCAGAATTCTATGATTCTATTATTCTAAATACACAATACGCCCAAATTTGAATACTGGTGGAGTTGGAGGGGATTAATTTTGTCATTTGGAAGTTGTAGTTGCTAGTATTTATAGTTCACCTATAATCAAAAAGCTTTCTGAACTCCACCAATGGTGGAATCGAACCAGTTTTGGCATACAGAACTCCCACGACCAACAGAAAATACTGGAAGGGCTTGATGGGCATTGACCTTGAGTTTTGGAGTTGTAGTTCTCCTACACCCAGAGAGCACTGTAGACTCAAACAATGATGGATCTGGGCCAAACTTAGCACGAATACACAATATACCCAAATGTGAACACTGGTGGAGCTTGGGGAAAAGATACATTGACATTTGGCAGTTGTAGTTGCTGGGATTTATAGTTCATCTACAATCAAAGAGCATTCTGAACCCCACCAATAATAGGAATGAGTCAAACTTCCCACACAGAATCTCCATGACCAACAGAACATACTGTGTTTTCTGATGGTCTTTGGTGACCCCTCTGACACCCCCTGGCGACCCCCCCCCAGGGTCCCGAACCCCAGGTTGTGAAACGCTAAACTAGAATATTGTAATACCTTTAATTCAGTACCAATAACAGCCAGAATAATACCTAAGACACACCAGTGATTCTAAGGCGCACTTCCTTTTTAGAAATATATTGACTGATTCTTGTCTATATGACAAGGTGAGATCTCAATATTGACAACCGCTTTTGGTCAGAACAACCAACTGGGACCCAATTGTCAAGCTAGCTTATTTTCCTTTTCATTTTACCACATATTTAATTTAATAAAGTTTTATTGCATTTTAATTTATTTTCATTAACAGGGGTTTTTGCAGTGATTACTCTCTATTTGTCTGTGTATTTTTGTTTTTGTCTTTTTTTGTTGATATGGTCAGTGGAGTAATCAATAAACCTATCTATCTAATGATAGACATGCGTATACAGGGAAAAAGTGAGTTTTAGAATTGAAGAAATGCAGTATTAATGCCCAGACATGAATGCTTGAAGTATCCTGCGCAAGAGGAAAATGTATTGAGCATTGTTATTATTGTTGTTATCATTATTGTTGTTGTTGTTTTTTCTCTCTGTAAAAAAGAGACTTAAAGCGGCTTGCAGTAAAACTAATACAAGAGAATTTATAACCCAAAAATAAACAAAAATTAAAACAGAATTAAAAATTGACAGCATTAAAAATAAATGGTTTAAAACCCTTACAAGTGATGAAGAACCTATTCATATAGCTAAAACCACAGCGACCCCCTGAGGTGATCTTAAAAACCTCCTTCTTAAAAGCCTGGCTGAATAAATGGTGGGAATTATGTAGCTTTCCAGGTGATACTGAACTATAACTCCCATCATTCATCACATCCAAAGGTCTGCGTAAAAGTCTTCATAGAAGAACTTATTCCACTTTTATATCAAGCCTTCTTGGCTACAGTTAGAGCATTTGGAAAAAATATTATTTCAAAGATACTTGAAAGAGGCACACATTGCATCCAGTTAACCTAGAAAATTCATGATACTCAGTCCCATCTTCACTGCCATATAATCCAGTTTCTGAATCCAGTTCAAAACAGAACTGGATTCAGAAACTGGATTATATATGGCTGTGTAGATGGGACCTCAGAAGGCCAAATCTCCAAGCAGACAGAAAGAAACTATCACTGCATTAAAACACTGTCAAAGCTATGCATGTAGGGTGACAGGATATGACTTTTAAAAGCCATTTTAGTGTACTTGCTGCATGTTAATTCTATTTTTTTACCACACTGCTATTATTTAATTATTTTGTAGCTTTCACATTGCTCTTTTAAAACTGTTTAGTGTGGACAGATGTTAGCCACCTTGAGTCCCATTGCATTGAATTCTGGAGGCTAGGGCTCTGGTTCCTCCTCTCCTCCATGGCACCCGCCGTGTGATCTTGGGCAAGACACACTCGCTCAGCCTCAGAGGAAGACCTTCTGAACAAGCCTTACCAAAAAAAAAAAAAATCTGGGACAGGTTTGCCATGATCTGCAAACGAAGGCACACAGCAACCAAACTTGGTTGTGCATTTAAGTAATCAGATCTAATATGCCAAATAGTCACTATTGAATGTTTTATGTTGAATGTTTTTATATTATGAAATGCTATTTTAAATTGTAAGTCGCTCGGAGCACCTTGGTGGAGAGCGACTAATTAAGAAATAAAGTGAAGTGAAGTGAATTTCAAAGCTGGTACCATAAATGTATTTTGCACAAAAACGTCCAGAATATGACCTCTTGCTTACCTCATTGACCATTTGATGCTGCTGCACGGTTCTCTTTTCCTTAAAGTCTTTGGATTCTATATGGATTTCATACATTGCTCCACAGCCACCTTAAGGCAAAAAAGAAAGGATTTGCAGTCTAAGCAAGAGCTTCCTGCAGACCTACCCGGTCAGCTTTGACTATGAAACCACATTCTATGTTCCTTGTGTTTCAGGTATGTTAATATGTGTATATTTTAATATATGCTTTGATGGTCGCAATTCAACTAGGTGTTACTATGTGCTTTTATAGATATATTTAACTATGTTGCACCCTGCCTCAAACTGAAAGGAGAGACAAGTAATAAATACATTATTATTATTATTATTATTATTTCCAAGCATTTCTTGTAGGAGATACACTTTTGAGACATGCTTTATTTCACAATGCTGTCATTCAGTTTTCCTGGCAAATTGGAAGTTAAACTAACCCTTTATAAGCGATACGGACACCTGGTAATAATTCTATGTAACAAAATTTGAAAAAAATCTGTTCCTGACTTGGAAGTGTTATTTCCTGTTTAACGGTGTAGTCCTTTGAAAGTAGTTGTTCCACTCCAGAAATGTCTTCGTTTTTGTGGTTGAATTGGTTGAGACACAGAGATATTCATTGGAAAACTAGAGTAAAGTGTGCTGCTGCAGAAACAAACTGTATGGAGTTAAGTTTTTCCCATTTTTTATGATAGAACCAATTAGGAAATAATGACATTTATAACCCAGGAACAAAATTGTGTTACAAAGTATAATTAAATGCATTGGACCTGCCTACCTGTGTGACCGCATCTCTGTATATGAACCCACACGTTCCCTCCGTTCATCTGGAGAGGCCCTGCTCGTGATCCCACCTGCGTCGCAAGCGCGTTTGGTGGAGACGAGGGACAGGGCTTCTCTGTGGTGGCTCCCCGACTCTGGAACACCCTCCCCAAGGACATCAGACAAGCCCCAACGTTGGCAGTCTTTAGGAAGAGCCTGAAGACTTGGCTGTTCCGGTGTGCCTTTCCTGAATAGGAAACTCCCAGGATCATGTCCCAGACGCACTTTATTAGAGATTTAAGATTGCCGCACATTGCACCTACCCTAGAATCCTTCCATCTTATTATTATTATTATTTTATTATTAAACTTTATTTGTACCCCGCTAGCATCTCCCGAAGGACTTGATGCGGCTTACAAAGGCCAAGGCCTCAACATAACAACAACAAACAATAACAATGCAAGCAAATTAAAACATAAGCAATAACACAACAAAACATTACACTATTACACAATAAAATCAGGGCCGGGCCAATGATGGGTACAGGTTAAAAGTGCTGGGTGTGTGAGGTGGTATGTTGGAGTTCTGGGCAAGTGCAATGTGCAGAGAGTATTAAACTCTAATAAAGTGCTTCTGGGACAAAGTGCTGGAGGTTATCCTATTTTGTCATCTCCAGCACTTTTAACTGTACCCATTACATTTGGTCCAGCACTAGTTTTTAAATGTGTCACGGCGTATTGTTTTGTTGTTTTACTGTTACTGCTTTAATGTTTTTTGGTTTGCTTGTGAGTTAGATAATGGATTTGTTATGCTGTTGTTTTATTGAGGGCCTTGGCCTTTGTAAGACACATCGAGTCCTTCGGGAGATGTTAGCGGGTACAAATAAAGATAATAATAATAATAATAATAATAATAATAATAATAATAATATCTCCAGAAAACCTTTTGTTTATATTTTAATCTATCTATCTATCCATCCATCCACCCACCCACCCACCCACCACAGGCACAGACAAAGAGGACATGAAGAGCAGAGTAATAAGACTGGATTGACAGGGCAGCCGACAGAATTCCTCCGAGCAGCCAAGGTTCCCATCAAGGCTGAAGCTTTGCCAGTTAATTACCTGAAATATCGACTACCTTGATAGCAGCGGCCTGCGGAAACTTCTCCTTGAGGATTTGTGCCACTCGGACCTCCCCCTCCGTTTGTGAGGCAAACGTTCGCATGGCATTGCGCAGGAAGAAGACGTGCTGGTGGGGAATGGAAGTGCTTCTCGTTAGCAAAGGAAATAACACCCAAAATAACCCATGCAGAAAGCCTGGCAGGCCACTGGTCTAAGTCTGTACTGCTTATCAAGGCATTCCTGACAGATGGCCACCCAGCCTCTGCTTAAAAGCCTCCAGAGAAGACAATAGATAGATAGATTCCTAGAATTTGAAGAGACCCTGGGAGGCCATCCAGTCCAACCCCCTTCTGCCATTAAAGAAGACACAATTCAATCCTTCATGAAAGATGGCCATCCACTCTCTGCTTCAAAACCTCCTGATAAGGAGATATATGAATAGACAGACACTTAACTTAATTTTTTTAATACCTCATCTCCATCTCCCCAAAGGGACGGGGTGCCAAACCCAATCACAAGCTTGTTTTCTGCTTCCCTGAAGACTAGGATGCGGAACAATGGCTTCAAACTAGAAGAGAGGAGATTCCATCTGAACATGGACCTACAAAACCCTGTACGGTTCCGGTCCAGTGTATGTGTCCGAACGTATCTCCCTCTACGTCCCACCCCGGAATTTGAGATCATCTGGGGGGCCCTGCTCTCGACCCCACCGCTATCCCAAGTGAGGCTGGTGGGGATGAGGAGCAGGGCCTTCTCAGTGGTGGCCCCTCACCTGTGGAACTCACTCCCGGGGGAAATTAGGGCATCAACATCCCTCCTTTCCTTCAGGAGGAAGGTAAAGACGTGGTTGTGGAACCAGGCCTTTGGGCAATCTGCTAACTAGATAAGGACAACCAGACAAATAGGACTGACAGGACTGACAATTGTGGAATTGGAATTTGAACTATGAGAAAGCGAACGGTGACCGGCAATAAGGAGTAATTGGTTTGTATGGATTTTTATTGGTCTTATTGGTTTTATCGGTTTATAGATGTAATGTAGAATTGTGGTTTAATTGCTAATTTATGCTATTTTGTTTTATTACTGTTGTGTGATACGGGCATTGAATTGTGCCTTGTTTTTGTAAGCCGCCCTGAGTCCCCTTCGGGGTGAGAAGGGCGGGGTAGAAGTAAACCAAATAAATACATAAATAAATAAATAAACATGAGGAAGAACTTCCTGACTGTGAGAGCCGTTCAGCAGTGGAACTCTCTGCCCCGGATTATGGTAGAGGCTCCTTCTCAGGAAGCTTTTAAACAGAGGGTGGATGGCCATCTGTCAGGGGTGATTTGAATGCAATATTCCTGCTTCTTGGCAGAATGGGGTTGGACTGGATGGCCCATGAGGTCTCTTCCAACTCTATGATTCTAGTAATTATTATTAATTTTATTCTAGTAATTATTACTATTATTAGTAATAGTAATAATAATGCTGGTTTTCCATTTTAATATATAATCAACATAAAAACAGAAGTCAATACCACATTAAATCTTTTCTTTATCATAGAGATTCCCATAAACCTACCAAACTACATAAAACGAAAAGAAACGTCTAGTACTTGGCAGGCGTTACTTTCCCCCAAAAGTTACTACCTCGAGGCCTGGAGTTGCTGGGGGGCATGTTATGGAAGCCGAAGCCCCAGGAAAGGAACTTCTCCAAGGCTGTCCTTGGAGAAAGAAGGAGGGGGCTTTCTCCTCGACAGAAGGTACTTTTCCCGGCGTGGGAACGGGCCTTTATGGCGGGGAATGGCTCACCTTTCCTCTTGAGGCGGCGACCCTGGCGACAGCAGTGGCGGCCATGACAGCTCCAGGCCAGCGCCTTCCTCGGATGTGACGTCAGCCTGGCGGTTATTCCGCCCGAAGCTTCCCCGCCCACTCAGGGCAAGGCTTTGAAAGCATTGGATAGAGTCCAAGGCAATCTCCCCAAACCGGAAGTGAGGCCTGCGGGTGGTAGGCCTCACTTCCGGTTTGGGAAGATTGCCCAGGAAAGGCTTAATAATAACAACAATAATAATATCCTGTATTTGGAAGGGCCGCCTAGTCCATAGAATCATAGAATCAAAGAGTTGGAAGAGACCTCATGGGCCATCCAGTCCAACCCCATTCTGCCAAGAAGCAGGAATATTGCATTCAAATCACCCCTGACAGATGGCCATCCAGCCTCTGTTTAAAAGCTTCCAAAGAAGGAGCCTCCACCACACTCCGGGGCAGAGAGTTCCACTGCTGAACGGCTCTCACAGTCAGGAAGTTCTTCCTTATGTTCAGATGGAATCTCCTCTCTTGTAGTTTGAAGCCATTGTTCCACGTCCTAGTCTCCAAGGAAGCAGAAAACAAGCTTGCTCCCTCCTTCCTGTGGCTTCCTCTCACATATTTATACATGGCTATCAGATCTCCTCTCAGCCTTCTCTTCTTCAGCTCCTTAAGCCGCTCCTCATAGAGCTTGTTCTCCAGACCCTTGATCATTTTAGTCGCCCTCCTCTGGACACATTCCAGCTTGTCAATATCTCTCTTCAATTGTGGTGCCCAGAATTGGACATAATATTCCAGGTGTGGTCTAACCAAAGCAGAATAGAGGGGTAGCATTACTTCCCTGGATCTAGACACCATGCTCCTATTGATGCAGGCCAAAATACCATTGGCTTTTTTTGCCGCCACATCACATTGTTGCCTCATATTTAACTTGTTGTCCACGAGGACTCCCAAGATCTTTTTCACACATACTGCTTCTGGTCAAAGGACATTCATCATCATGCCAAGTTCTTAACCTTCTTTGTGGTTTTTAAAAATTCATTACAACTGTATTCTCAATTTGCTTCTGGCATGATAAATAAATAAACCCTCATCCAAACAAATTTCCCTAACAACAGGAGCTTTATTGATTTCTGCAGAAGCAAAACTCACAGTAATAATAATAATAATAATGTCACACCTGAGTTTACCACAATTGAGCCTCTTTCCTACAGGTTGTTAAGGTGACACAGAACTCGTCAAAATTGCTTCACTCTACTTCTCAACTCTTGTTCCTCCAACCTGGCCTCACTGAGCAGGTGCAAAAGTTTTCAATTAAGTAATTGATTGTTTTTCTCAGTTTGCAACTTGCATTATCTTATCCTTTCTTTTCTTTTCTTTTTCTTCTTCTTTTCTTTCTTTCTTTTTTTTGGCTGCTTTTGTAGGCCAGATGCCTTGAGGCCCAGAATGGTCCCTTGTTGTGGTAGAAACCAACTCTTTTCCCCACTTAACCTTCCCTTGATGTGTTACTGAACTGACATTTCAACAAAATGGCAATTTACAGATTTCATTCTCTAACTGAAGCCAAAAATTTTGGTTTTCTAAAGGCTGCAGATACAGAGACCCTGTTCCGTCTTCCAGGAGCTTGGTTTGCATTGCCCCTTAGTTGCATAAAACAGCATCCCTTTGCTTTTCCCCAGGGTTGCTACAGCCTCAGCAGCACCCTGAAAGTTAACCATTAACAGGGGCTTAAAGCCAGCCTGCAAAGCCTTTTCAGCTATTGGCTTAAAAAAGTATCTCTTTGGTTCAGAGACCGCCCTTTTTCCTGGGGATAAGATCTCCATTTTGGAGAAGCTCTCCTGCCTTCTTTAGTATAGAAAAGGCCTCAGATGTGCTGATGGCCAAGGTAGGCAGCTCGGACAGGCCATTGTGGGTACAGTTACCCTCTTGCCTTAGAAACTGGTGCTGAGTTCAGATAGGGGAAGACCTGCACGTTCTAAAAGATAGTAACTCAGCGCTGGGGCAGAGAATATCTCAGGATTTCTCTGCCATTGGGAGAGGCTCCATTACTTCATCCCCAAACTAACCTTGAGCTTGGATAGAGGAAGACCTGCTCTTTCTAAAAGATAGCAGCTCAGGGTTAGGGTAAAAGATCCCAGGATTTTTCTACCGTTGGGGAAAGTTAATTCAGCAGCTGAAGAAAAAGGGAAGGAAAGAACATCTATATGGTTTCACAAGTTGACTGTGTTTGTAACTTCATCAAGCTGTGCCAAGTCTGTCAAGGACTTTGAGAAATAAATGTTCTGTTTGATGTTCAAATATGGACTGGCCTCAGTTGCTGGGAATTCTGAGCTTCTAAGTAAGGCACTCGCAGTTCACCCAGATAAAGAGAGAAACACATCTTAGTTTTAACTTTATAGTGTCTAGGTGTGACGGCACAGACCCACCTGGCAAGTTCTGCTAACCGCCAATGTACCGGAACAGAGATCAGGACTCACCAGTTTGAACGCAAATGACGGAGGCTTTATTCAACCTGCAGAAGGAATGCTGTGCACAGCAATGCATGCATCTCTCATCAGCAATGTGGGAGATGCAGTAGCTTTCATACAGGAGAAATGGAATGCATTAACATTGCTAATGTTTGAAAGTCCCTCCCTTCTCCCTGACTGGACAGTGCTGGAAAGCTGGCCAGCATTCTCCTTGCTCCTGATTGGGGCAGGCTTAGACAGTGCATGCCATGATTGGCCAGGGAAAAATATAATTATTTTGGGTTTCACCTTTACCTCAAGGCGTTGGCAAGGAATCTCTGGAATTCTAGACCAGACCCAAATGTCTGCAGGGGTTAAGAATAGTCCATTGAAGTGTGCCTCCCATTTAATATACATATTCTCAAAATAAGCAATGATGTTGTTGTTGTTCATTCGTTCAGTCGTCTCCGACTCTTCGTGACCTCAGCCCACGCCAGAGCTCCCTGTCGGCCGTCACCACCCCCAGCTCCTTCAAGGTCAGTCCAGTCACTTCAAGGATGCCATCCATCCATCTTGCCCTTGGTCGGCCCCTCTTCCTTTTACCTTCTACTTTCCCCAGCATAATTGTCTTCTCTAGGCTTTGCTGTCTCCTCATGATGTGGCCAAAGTACTTCACCTTTGTCTCTAGTATCCTTCCCTCCAATGAGTAGCCGGGCTTTATTTCCTGGAGGATGGACTGGTTGGATCTTCTTGCAGTCCAAGGCACTCTCAGAACTTTCCTCCAACACCACAGCTCAAAAGCATCGATCTTCCTTCGCTCAGCCTTCCCTAAGGTCCAGCTCTCACATCCGTATGTTACTACAGGGAATACCATGGCTTTGACTATGCAATAATAAAAATGGGAATCAAATAGAGTTGGGCATCAATTCATAGTAATGGAAATAGGGTGCATAAGATGGTTGGAACGAGCGGTGTGCAATTCGGGAAAAACCCGTGTCATTTTTGGTGTCCAATCCCTGAAATCAGGCGGGGTTTCTGTTTTCATGCCGGAAAGATTTGGTCCTAAAGGGAAACTTTAGAGCAGGCATGGGCAAACTTCAGCCCTCCCTCCAGGTATCTTGAACTCCAGCTTCCACCATTCCTAACAGCCACAGGCCCCTTCCCTTTCCTTTTTTTGCTTAAGCAGCTGACGGCAAAAAGGAAAGGGCCTGAGGCTGTTTAAAATGGTGGGAGTTGAAGTCCAAAACACCCAGAGGGAGGGCCAAAGTTTGCCCATGCCTGCTTTAGAGGCTAATTTCTCCATTATTTTTAGACCTACCAGCATGAAACTTGCCTCGCTTATAGGCTGCATCTTCTACTGCAAGCCCTCTAAGTTTCATAACATTTCACCAATCCATTCTTTTTTGGATTTTTTTTTTACATCCACAAGAGGAAGTTCTGGGAATTAGAGTCCCAAGCAGCACATGCCACAAGAAGGAGGAGAATGGACATAGTCAACCAGGCTCCTGATTGGCTGAGAAAGGAAGTGAGAAACGTAGAGAGAAAAACCTCAACTCCCATCATGCCCTGAGAGGGAGCACAAGACTCCTTCAGTGCTTGCTGGGAAAGTGCTGCTGGGAAAGCGAGTTCCCATTTGCCTTCGAGAAGGGATGGAGAAGCCTGCTGGGGAAGAAAGCAAAGGAGGAGAGACAGCTTTCCTGATTAAGGAGGCTGTCCTGCATACACACCTCCGCCTCAGGTAGAGAGCCACTCAGCCCCATTGGCCCCCATTATTAGCCCCATTAGTTGGAAAGATCCGGCTGCTGTGATCTGTTACAGCTAAGGCTTCAGCTGCCCCACATAAAGCCTGTTTTCATGCATTCAGCAACTAAATCCGCTGAATCATCTGAATCCAGCACACAAAAACGAAATCATGCACATCCCTAGTTGGAAAGGTTATTTCTCTTGATGTTCTTATCTGGTTCCCTGCGCACATGCAGATACTCATACATGGGGAAAATGAAAAAAGGAAGTACATGGATGTAGATACAGTGTAGCATTGTAAGGATACATTTCATTTTGGTAAATGGGACATTGTATGTTCCTAGGGAGACCTCCCTTGTGGAGGGGCCAAGGTCCCTACGATGCATGCACTTGACCTTGCCAAATACCTGGGGTACCCTAACCCCCTGTGAATGTGCGCTCATCTGGGCAGGTTTAGATTAAAGGCTTGAGCCAAAAGGTGTAAATGGAAGAAAAATGGACGTTGTGGGGAATATGGCTTGCTGCCTGTCCATGGTGAGTTGGGGAAGAATCATAGAATCAAAGAGTTGGAAAAGACCTCATGGGCCATCCAGTCCAACCCGCTGCCAAGAAACAGGAATATTGCATTCAAATCACCCCTGACAGATGGCCATCCAGCATCTGTTTAAAAGCTTCCAAAGGAGCCTCCACCACACTCCGGGGCAGAGAGTTCCACTGCTGAACGGCTCTCACAGTCAGGAAGTTCTTCCTCATGTTCAGATGGAATCTCCTCTCTTGTAGTTTGAAGCCATTGTTCCTTGCCCTAATCTCCATGGAAGCAGTAAACAAGCTTGCTCCCTTCTCCCTGTGGCTTCCTCTCACATATTTATACATGGCTATCATATCTCCTCTCATTCTTCTCTTCTTCAGGCTAAACATGCCCAGCTCCTTAGGCC